AATGTAGTACATGATAGTATCATCGTTAGAATGCCCCATTAGCAATCTTCTCTGTGCAGGAGTTGCCGTTTCTATCAATGGTAAGTGGAGGACGGAGTATCAGAGCATACTACGCGACGTACTCTCAACCGCTTTAGCATAAGCCCGACGAAAGCAGTATGCACTTAACCTGTCTTCGTACCTAGCCTGTTGACCAATCCCCTTGAGCATGTTGTTAAAGCATTCGTAGGTGAGGATGCCGTTTTCAGAAACTGAGCCGTCGCTGAGAATGCTTCGAAGGATAGGCCGTTGTTTCGCTTCTAACTTGTAGCGATATTTGTACAGCGAACTGCCTAGTGGCAGCTCCTTTGCTTCAATGTCTTGGAACGAAGTGCATTCTTCGAACACCCCGTCTGCCAGAGCTAACGCCATAAAATGTGTAACTAGGAACATAGATAGCATAGTAGCTTCCTCGTACAGAAGCATAACAGGTCTGTTTCTCTTAGGACTCTCGTTTCTGTCTTTGCGTGAGTTCTTACTTACGAGTGTTTCTTGTTGTTTCGGTGTCCCTTCCAATTCCGCAGCCGCAGATGAAGAAGGAAGCCCACGTACGTGCTATTCTAGTAACGTACAAGATCTATGTCACTGTATAGAAGTCCTTCGTTGCTGTGCTTCCAGGCTGCCGATTCAATGAACTCTCTAGGACGACTGCCTAGAAGAGTCATGAGTACGACAGAGAATGCCAGCTGCAGGCGTGCGCGTGGATGTGTGAATTGATATTCGTCACATGCCCACATGAACCGAATCAAGTCTTCAGCGACTGGCAAAGGTGCTACCGGCTTAGTATAAGCTCCTGTTGCAATCTTTCCGTTCTGCGCAAGGTCTTTCGTGATGAAAATCTCCAGGTCCTTGTTCTCCGCTGAGTTATACTGGCGACCAGTAAGTAACTTGATCTTTCGTTTGAGTGACGAGAGGCAATTTCGAATAGTAGTATCCGTGATGTTCTCCTCTAGCTGACCAGTCCTAGTTTCGGCGAGCCAGCGAAGAAACAGCTGGATGCGATACACACTTGGTGCTTGTCTGAACGTAGAATGCACGTGTTCGTTGAGGATAGATTCAGTGAACCTGATCTGTTAGTGATACGTTCAGACATGTGTTAACTCTTAACTTACTCTGACCAAAGAGCCATAGTGTACTCGTATGACTTGTAACTTGAGCGGATTAACAACGCCTTAACATCCTCGTTTGTAAGCGGAGCTGGTTCTTTTTCTAGCTGAACTAGGGCGCGCAAGTGCGAAAGATCAACTTTGCTTCTCTTCTTGGGCGCCTTAGTGAGTAGGATAATTTGAAAGGGCTGTAAGATAACTTTGTTGACGAGAGAAGGGAGGAAATACAAAAGTGAATAGGTGGCAAGGAGTACCTGAGCTAGAGGCAGCCATGTTAAAACAGCGCGCTTCGATTGCAGTGGGCGTAACCGGAAAACTGTTTGTAGGATGATAAATGACTGTTAATGGTCGTTTGGGGCTGTGGTAGTGGTGGCGCGACAACAGAGTCGCGACGACTGAAAAAGGTAACCGGGAAAGAACAACAGTTAATCGACCTCAACCCAGCACCGCGAGTTTTGACGGGTGGGACGAGTGAACTAATTTTCATGATCCTATGGTCGTATGTGAAAGAATATCAAATTCATCTATTTATAATATCATGCAATCATCGTGGGTTGATGCACAGATCAGAACGACTACAGCGCTTGTCGCTAGCAGACGGCGCATCTGTATAGTCTTGATGTTCCTCATCAGAAGACTTCATGTATATGTTCTCGTCATGCTACTTAGCTTGAGTAGTCCGACTATCAATCTTATCTGCCTGAAGACCAAGGTACAGCTGCGCCACCTCTAACGACCTTTCCCAGTATGACCTCCAACCACCAAATTCCTTGGCAATCACATTCGTTGCCACCTCTAACGGCCTTTCTTCATCTGGCCTCCGACCACGAAATTCCTTGGCATTCATAAACGTTGCCACACCAAGACAGTCCGCGTCATTTGATCATTTCGTCTCCAGAGAATCGGTGTCCAACCACCGTAATCCTTGGCACGAACAACTTCATAGCCCTTTCAAGTGCTACTTAACCCCCATCACTTTTCCTGCTGATTTCTCGAGGGAAACACCTCATCGAACATCACTACGACTGTCACTTCAAACCCTTTCCAGACCTACTTGCTTTTAAGTACTCTTCGTTGCTCTATACTTGATTGCGTGTAATCTTTCCACTTTTATTCCATCAAAGAAAAGGATAGACTATAGGCCTCGGAAGTCGACTTGAAGCCTAAGGGATGCTCCGTCTTGGTTACAGAGGCATCATTTTTCCTAGGGCGACAATTTATATCCCATTCCAATGCAAATGCCGGCAATACCTTCAAATAGTATGTTGCTTGGTCGACCTCCGGCCTCGTAGTTCTAATCACACCCAGCCGTCTCCCCCAACGCAACTCCTCCGGATGAATCTATCACTAGCCCTCAATGGTCTAAGGAAGCGCTCTTTGGTTTGCTTGGTGTTTTGATCGTCGTGCTCATCCCTTGCGTTGGGTTCGCGTTCAAAACTTGGCTCGGCAGACGTCGAGGCATGGGCTTGTCGAGAAAGCATTCCTATAGTGAGTATGCGCAGCACACTTCGTTGACGCGGTGCTGACAGCACACAGATGACAGCGATTCTACTGTAGATCATCCGAGACCACGACGAGGGAAAAGAGTACAATACAAGAGGGTTCGAAGCAACACGGTCATCGTAGTTTGCTGACGCTTTGGTGATGGGTGGGCAATAACGGTGCTGGCGGTACGACCGCTGGAGTGGGTTCGTGCTTTACAGGTAGCGCAAGAACATCGGCGTTGGGGACTTCTTGGCTGGAATTTCATCCGGAATATCAGCGCAAACAACGTATGGGGTCTTACTGGCATATATTCCTATCCAATCTCACTACCAGGGTATCATTCGTAACCTTCTCCTACATCCCAGCCGGTGCCGCGGATGACAGCCTGACAACCTGTCCTCCATCGCCTCCAGCTTCTTTCTTCCATCCAAGCACCTCGTCCTTGTTCTTCCCCTTGTTGACTTCCCATGGGTTGATAAATCCAGCGCTCAGATTACCCGTCTTCACACCTTGGATGGCCAACTTCTGCTTCGCCTGAGCAATGTACGCATTCAGATAGCCTTGGGTGATGAGACTACCGCATATACACTCCATCTCCAAGAGGTCATACTCGTGGGTATACGGCTGCACTCCTTCCATGCCGACAAAGTCCGGATCGATGTATGTTGATTTACTTGTTGATGCATGGTCTTGGTAGATGTGACCAAAGTTGCGACGGCCTGGGCCACGGTCTTGCGCGACCATTGCGGCGTTTTTGATGAGCGAGCGCGCCTCTAGAAAGCGGAATAGAAGGACTGCTGCATTGAGGTCGAGTAAAGCAGCTGATTTAGACGCCTCCCCTATGCTTCCAGTGAGGATGAATGCCTTTCGGAGAAGCGACCACCATACGAGGGGCTCGCAATAGTTCCCGATCGGGTAGAAAATCCGGTACTTGATCATGAAGTCGGCACTTGGATGGGAAAGATCCAGGTTCGTTACCCGACGGAATGTCTCCAGGTCTCCTTTGCGAATCGCACGACAAAGCGGCTCGAAGACCTCCCGGAAGCCAACGCATGCAGGGTCGTTGTAGATGTGTTCGTTTGGAAAACGACCGAGGAGTATGTTGGCAGCGACAAGGCAGACTGCGATTAAGCGACGTTGCTTTGGACATTGCCCGTGGCAGCCCCTGTACGCTAGCTCTAGAACAAGCTGGGCTCCATAGAAATTGGTGTTACTGAAGTGGTACCGCCCGAGGTAGTAAAGGAAGGTAATGCGCTCTGCAGCCGGGTAGATGTGCAAGGGCGGCGACGAGTTGGATATGTTGTTGAAGATGGTTTCGCAGCTTCCCAGCTTGTCGGCCTGGAAGAGTGTCTTAAGACATATGTTTGCCATCTTATAGATTCCAACCTTCTTCCCGTCCGGCTTACCGTCCTTAATGCCTCCAGGTACAGTGTTGCGGTCGTTGAGACATATAATGAAGGCCTGTCGTACAATGTTCGCTGCCCGCTCCGGCAATGATTCGCTTTGGCCATCCTCGTCCACGTCGGTGGTAATGAGATGCATCGTCAAGTCCGGTCTCTTCTCTAATCCGATCGCTACTCTTGCGAATACCTTCGCATAGTACATGATGGTAGGAAGCATCAGGATGCCCTTGGTAGGATGCTGCAATGCGCTATTTGCTCGTCTAGAATCGCGTTAGCGTAAAGTAACTTTGTGGGCTACTTCCGTCAACATACGATTGAAGATCCGTCATCAGCTCGAATACCAATACCAGATTCTCTGTATCCATATCTCGGAGAAAAGTCATCCACCCAACAAGGAAGGTGACCAGTGAGCCCCATGACTGTATAGGCCTCCCCTCCTCATCCTCAGACTCTGCAGTCTCAGTGACGACTCGCCTGACAAGATCCTCGAGACGTTTCTCAGAAGCTTCGTTGTTTGCAGGATAATTTTGCTGCAAGGACTGGATGAGCTCTTGATGGTCTGGCGGGAAAACATTGCCTTCGCCTGGCTCCAGCAGTACGATCGACTGCAATTGATGCGGATCTCCGGCTTGTATGGCAACGTTGACCGCCGTGCATAAGCGCGTCTCTACATCAGGTTGACCCCGGAAGAACGACATGGCTACAAAAGCCACCGTTGGTGGTTGAGGAAGGATTGAGCTAAGTGGTGGAGCTCAAACAAGTAGCTGGGCGCTTTCGGATTAGCGTCAGGTCCAAGCTCGAAGCCTCACTATCCGCCCCATCCCTGTCGCCGATCCGGACGAGGCATTTCATTCGTCCCAGCATGCTGGGTAGACTTTGGACGCTAGGATGGTACTTGAAGGCAGTACACGTGGGAAGATGGAATTTTGGAAATCCAGGATACTTTCAATTACCCATCTTCTAATGAGTCGAAACCGAGCCATCCCAGCCTGCGCTGCCGGAAGCAACGTTGCAGCCCAACAACCTTTCACATGTCAGACCAATGCGACGGACCCACCCGTGACATCACAAGTCGTAATATGCGAAACACAACATCCGAAGCTGCACGTTTCCGCAAGGCTCCACGTGAAAAGTTGAACGTCATGCAAGATATCGAGCTCATGCATATCAAGATGCTGCAGCCAATTCTCCCATCTACGTCTCTCCATCCCCCATCTCTCAGAAAGTAATTGAGCCACCCGCTACGATGGGCTACTTTATGAGTTACATCAGCTATTTTCTCACTCACCCTGTCCTCTTCATCTACGAGGTCATACAATATGTGCTCGACTTTGTACTCTCGCCAACACCGCCGCCACCACATCCGAACCTCGTGCGCCCTAAGATTGCCGTCATTGGCGCAGGCCTAACAGGAGTTTCTGCTGCATCGCACATTGTCGGTCATGGCTTCGACTGTCGCATCTTCGAAGCCGGATCAAAGAAGAATCTCGGAGGGATTTGGAGCCGGGTGAACAACACGTCTGGTCTTCAAATCCATTCGCTCATGTATCGGTTTCACCCGTCCGTGCATTGGAGCAAAGGATATCCGGATCGCCAGCAGATTGTTTCACAGATCAGATCGCTTTGGGAAAGATATGGTCTTGAGAGTAAGACGGAGTTCAACATGCGTGTTGGAAAGGTGTACAAAGATCCCCACGGGCGATGGATAATCAACGACCCCTCTCACGGACGATTCGACGGCGTCATTGCTGCAATCGGCACCTGTGGTGATCCCAAGATGCCAACGCTTCCCGGCCAAGAGCACTTCAAAGGCGAAATCTGGCACAGTTCGCAACTCGACGGTAAAGTTGCCGAAGGAAAGAAGGTTGCCATCATAGGCGGTGGAGCCTCCGCCGTCGAAGCCCTGGAATTCGTCGCCAGTGCAGAAGCAGAACACGCCAACGTACTGGCTCGATCTGAAAAATGGATTATCCCGAGAAACCCTTTTATCGACAGTCTTCTCGCTCTCAATATCTTCGGAATGGAGACCATATTCAGTTGGATCCCGGAATACATCCTCCGTCTCTTCTTCTATCGCGATCTCTACGACATCTCGCCAGCACCCAACAGCGGAAAGGGCCTTCTCACCGAAACACCAATGGTAAACGATTCAGTCCTCGACCTCATCCGCTCAGGTGAAGCATCATGGCTCCGCGGCGACATCATGGGCTACGACGAGTCTGGCACGGGCATCAAATTTAACAAGCGCGCCCAAGGTGTCCCCAAGAATGGCCCTGGCTCTGAGAAGCTGATCGAAGCCGACATCGTCATCATGGCGACTGGTTATAAGCGTCCAAGCCTAGGCTTCCTTCCAGACGAGGTCTTCAACGAGCCATACGAACCACCGAACTGGTACCTCCAAGTCTTCCCACCGGAACACCCTTCCATTTGCGCAAACAACTGTACCTATGTCAACGCGATCGGAACGGTCGGCAACTACCATATTGGCATCTACACGCGCTTCCTACTCATGTACCTCGTGGACCCCCTCGCTCGCCCGCGTACTTGGTGGATGAAGCGCTGGATCGACATGACGCGGTTCATCAAAACCAAGGCTCCTGGCGGCGCTTTCGACTTCTTCACGTACTCTGAACTTATCTACTGGTTCTTATTCACCATCGCAATCAATCCGTTCAGGTGGAAGTGGGCGGCTTTTGTGTTGTGTGGTATTGGCAAGGGACTGCCGTTGAGCGTGGTGGAGCAGGAAGACAGGGCGAGGGATGGCCTGGGTATGAGGCATATCTTGAGCAATCATGATAACGGGGAGGACTAGAAATGTATCGAAGAGCGATGCAACCGCAGATATTGGATCCGAGAGGTTCTTCTCCTCGACATATACGCTCAGGAGATTGTAATCATCGTGCGCAATATGGTTTGATTTGCACCGCTGTCTTGCCGGACGTCTGATTGCTTCGTTCGTGGTGGTGATGTCAACCTGACTCCACGGGTCGCATCAAGGCTCTGCTGTATCCCTTCTCTTGCAGCATCTAGAACATTATCCAAGCAAACTTTCGGCATCCAAGGGTGGGAGTGACGTGATCCCATGGACCCTTACATCCGCTCCCCAGCTTCTTCAAATCCACATACGATGCAATCTCTCAACACAAGATCACATGATCTAGGTCCGCAAGAACGAAGAGCGTGCAATGCCAGTTGTCTGATGTCAGAATGAAGCGGGCTTACCAGCTATTAAATATCTCAGTCTTGCTCTGTGAGGTTAATGTCTACCGTTTTCACCAAGAAAAAGGAGCAGGCGGTGAAGTTTTCCCTATCGATATCGCAGATTGCATGGTCGGTGCCTACGCCAAAACTCCACCCCCTTTTGCACATTTTGAAAAGTTTGCTCGGATGCTCATAATTTACTGACTCTTGAAGGAATTCGGATGATACGAATAGAGTTGTGCAAAGAGGGACCGGCTGGGTACACATGAGGCGCGTCTGACCCCATGCATCGCCATGGCAACAGTGTTGCAAATGCGAAAGGCGCCGGGCAAAACCACACCGTCATGCGGAGGGATGAATCGCAAAGATTGGCAACGGACGATATGCACGAGGGTATGTTTGGAAAATCATGAGGATATACCCCGCGGGAAGACGAAACCGCGTTGCAGATTTAAATATACCCTTCATTGTGGTGGTACTCTGAATCTGACGATGCGGATGCTCACCGGATGTCCCCGCAGTCACAGGCTGAAAGGGAAAGCGCATGTCACAGCGTCCCGCGTCGTCTCAGAATCGCACCTTCCGAAAACGCAAGGCCGCAAGCGAAGGCGCCGCATGCATCGAGGTGAAACCCGTGCGTCTTGTTGGAGGTCGAACCCTCGAGGTACATTACTATAGTAACTATAAGTGAATCCTTTGTCAGACGAAAGAGGGTCTGATGTGCAACGTGCTGGCCGAGAACGGGATGCAAGCGACGCAAGAGATTGAATTTCCGAGATGGCTGATACTGGTGAACGCTTCAAGGAGCTCCAGGAGCTGTCTGGGTTTTCATGGTGAGTGACCCTCGGGCCCGAAACATGTCCCGCGATGTGTCTTGGGAATCATGGGCAGAGTTTTTCTTCACACACAGTGTCCACCATGATGTATCTGTTACTGCACATCATGTCGGATGCGTCCGGCCAGGTGCTGACACGATGAAAGCGAGAAAGCACCATGACAAAGAGTTTACGGCTAAGCTGCCACCAGTGACGAGAGTGCAGATTTTCAGGGTCTCGAAACGCGAGGCCTGCTCTGGCGGCGTCGTGAAGCGGGTCCCGAGGTCTGGGGTATATGACGCAGACCCTGTGGTGAGACTCGCCTTCACCTATTTAGGTCAGGTGATGGCGCGAAGTCGGTTGTTTGTGTATACGAAGCTTGACGCGTCGCACCTGGCGACGAGACGATGGTTTTTCGAGGCGCTTGCAACAAGCGCCACAGGTTGGCCGTGCAAAGGCTTGTCGTGTGTCTGGCGGTCCACAAAAGGAGGGGTCAGCCCGTTGGTGGTGGGGTCCAGCCGATCGTGTGCCGGTTATGAAGGCTTTGTGCAGAGGTGTGGTGGGCAGAGCCGCCGTTCTCGAACAGCGACTCAGCTCGCCTCTAAATGGCACCACAGCAACTATGACAGCGGCCCCCGGCCTCTCCGAAAGCCATGGAGGGTCTGCGCTGACGTCTATTGTTGTTGTCATGTTGTTGCGGCTCTTAGCGAGGGTCGGTGGTCGACAGGTCGACAGTTGTCTGAACTGGTTTGCAGCAGTAGAAGCAAACCGGCGGCCGAGAATAGCAAAGTTGGCAGTTCATCTCAGCCTTATTGCCTATGACGTTTGCAACATGTCGCCATCGCGATCTCAGAGGGGAGAGCTCGATCGCGAGCACGGGACTAGAGAGGTAGCGCGTTGGATGGAGCCATTCCTGTTTTATGCAGCCGCTTAGGGCTAAGGGGATCAGAGGGCGAACGGGCCGGGGTGAGCTCACGTCGTCAAGCCAGCGGCGGCTGCGACGTCGGTCTCGCTGCACCGAATACAGACTGAAAATCTCCCGCTCGCCCAATGAGTCGCCGCAAGAGGAGGCAGCCAATGGGGGCGCGGACAAGCCATGTTACAGCGAGGCGGTTCCCTGGCAGAGACGCCAAGGCTCGTCGCTGGGCCGTACGATGACGAAAGTATGCGCAGATATAGACCGAGCTTGCCTGATCAAAACATGTCGCGCGTCGTGAGCAAGGCTGGAGATGGGGTAGATGATGCCGAATCTAGCCAGCAGTGTGCCGTAGCGCGCACAGAATCTAGATAGTGTACATGATGGACAGAGAGGGGTGGCCGTTCGGTAGCGAGTGCAGCTGGTTTCCCTGGGAGACGGTTTGTACGTTACGCAGGACGGCTAGACGCTCCACGCAGCCCACGCAGAACCACTCCGAAGGGAGAAATTCTCTCGGCGGCGCGAGTTTAGGCGGAGAGCGAACGTATGGTTTCACGTATCGTGCTGGGCTTACAGGGAGCATCCATTCCGCTTGCGTCTGACCCGTGCCGAGCTAGGCAATTGCTTCTCTGGCAACCATGGCAGGAGTGCGCTTTGGCTGCGCTTTGTCGAGCTCTATCTGAGATCGAGGCCGGACTGAAGCAGCGCGCGTTAGATCAGTGTGGCCGTGATGCTATGCCGGACTGCTATTCTATGGATACTGTGCGAGGTGGAACAGCTGCGAACGGTTGTTGACGAGCGTGCAGCGTGATTAGCTGCAGCTGCACGGCGACTACGCGACAGCCTACGCGTGGGATCGCGATCAAATCATGGGCCGGTGTACCTGCGGCGGAATTAGAGGCTGCGGATCAACAGCATAGCTTGGGCTGGGTGCATAGCCGGGCAAGCAAACTCCAGTCCCCAGTATTCTTTGTCCCGTGCTGAGCAGTGAGGCCTCCGGTGTGTGCAAGCGCCTAGCTCTCAAGCCCACGCCCTGGTCGTCGGCCCTAACCTGGCCCAGCAGCGGGCTACCCCAGCAACCACGGCATCCTCAAATCCAGTGCGTGACCGGGCTCTGCTTCTCTCTTCTCTACCCTTCTCGCACCCAAGAAGGCCCAATCCCCTCTTTAAGTTGGCTGAGCGGATCTTGGACGACGGTTATCGCCAGTATCACTACGGCAGGAGCTACCTCGTTCACCATCCACCTGCCGACCCTCTCCCGGAGCCTCAGCCTCAGCCTCAGCCTCGCCCATGTCCCGAGCCCGCCTGTAGCATCTCTATCGACATCGACGCCATCACCAACCGCATCTTCAGAGATTGGAATTAGCTTTTCTGTCTTGCATGCTTATCGCCAGTATTGCATCCTCCCGTCCGATATCACTTCAGTCCCGACGTGCAAACGCTCGCTCCGCCCGTTGCCCGGTACGACAATAACCACGACCAACACGAAACCAGTCCACCATGGAGATGTCCTCGCCCCTCGCCGCCATGCACCCGCCGCCCATCCCCGGCCCCTGGGGATACCGCCGTGACCTGCCGCAGTCGAAGCCGCTGTTTGGAGGAGCACACAGCCTGGGCCCCAAGAGCTTCAACTTCCGCGACCTCAGCATGAAGAAGAGTGGGGGAGACTACTTCACCCTGCAGCCCATGCGAGGCTCGTCACCCACCACCAGCCTGGCCGCCGACATGTCGAGCAACCTGCACATGGACCAGAGGTACAATCCCTCCTTTGTCTCTTTGATATTGGCGGCATACTAACGTGCTTGTTTCAGCCCACAGCTCGCCACGCCGCGTCGGTCGCTCTTCACGTCGAATCTCTTTCACCAGATCGACACTCGGGGTAAGTGGCTGCGCACTCCAAACTGGAAGTACAAGGGCTAACAAGCCCAAACAGAAACCACGACTCCATTGGCTCGATGGGAAGGCGTTACGACTCCGCCAATTCCCTCATCCTCGCCCGGCTTTGCACCAGACTCCATGGACATCTCGCCTCTTCCCCACAAGGCACCTTTCAGCTTCATCAACGACCGCTGCCTGCCCCTACCATCTCCCTCACCAGAGGTCACTCCCGGCTCCGACAGCGACATGCTCACCCCATGTGACGAGCTACCCACACCACCTACATATTCTACACCCTCGCTCGAGGTTCCCCGACCCGTGTCAGCCGCCGAGTCAGTACATCAGCTACTCACTTGTCCAGTCCATGCTAACAATCCACAGCCGCCGAAAGTCCGCTCTTCTCAGGCCCTCTCTTGCGCGCCACAAGAACTACTCCACTAACACTGTGTCGTTCAAGGACCAAGAGAAGCCATCGAGCACTCCGCTGCCGGCCTTCCAGTTTGGCTGCGGTGACTTCGCCCGGAACTCGTCTTCACTGAGCTTGGACGAGTGCTTCACTGCTTCACCTCCCCAAGAACGTCGTCCTACTTCCAACGGCTCTCTCTTCGCTTCAAAACCCAAGCCGTTCACTCTCAACTCTACTGCCGCCCGTGCCAATGGTTCTCCCCTCGCCGCCGTCAGGAAGCCCGCTGGTCCTCCTTCTCGTCGTCCCAGCAAGTTCCGCAGATCGTTAAGCATGTTCGAAAGCCCCGGTGAAGTAATGAATGCCAAGCAAGAACAGGATGACTACCAGCCCACCGGGCTCCAGTCTGTGATGGACGTCGATGATGCCAACCCTCTCAAGCTTCCCCATTTTACCACGAATGAGCCAGAGAGCCTCCCTCGTATCACCCACGAGACATTGGTAGAAGTGCTGGATGGTGCTTATGATCACTTGTATGACAACAAGGTCGTCATTGACTGCCGCTTCGAGTACGAATACAATGGTGGACACATTGAAGGTGCTTTGAACTTCTGTGACAAGGAGAAGCTTGCCGAGCGTCTCTTCCAGGCCCCGTCAAGTGAGAACACTTTGCTGGTGCTCCATTGCGAGTACTCTGCGCATCGTGCTCCTCTGATGTAAGTTTATTCTGTATTCCTGTTTTGACCCATCACTAATAACAGCAGGGCCAAATTCGTTCGCTCGCAAGATCGCAAAGAGAACGCGCATCAATACCCTTATCTGTCATTCCCTGAAGTGTACATTCTCGACGGCGGATACAGCTCCTTCTACCATGCACACGCCACTCGCTGCTATCCCCAAAACTACCTTCGCATGGATGCCAAAGAGCATGAACAATCATGTGAACGTGGCCTCAACAAACTCAAGTTCAAGTCGCGTGCCAAGCTCAACCGTGCTACCACTTTCACCTTCGGACAGCACTGCCAGATGGAAGACAGCCCTACAGCCATGGGCCGGTCAAGATCTGGAAACAACATCTTTGCCCTCGGCAATGACTCTTTGGAAGTCGGACGTGTCACGGCCGCTTCCCGTCGCATGGCTTCTTATTAAGCCTGCGCAACGAACAACCAACACTATAACGAAACTAAACTAACTCATGGCGGATTGATTCACGGCGTTATGGATGATTGCTGCATGGCATTGGATCCCCACAGCATTGGCGTTTGGTCCTTTTCCATTTCCGGGGCGTTCGAGCGATTCCATTTGGTCTGCATCACTCTCGGAATTTTTGCACAGCGGCAACAGTCTGCATCTGATCTTTGGGGTGTCTCCCCGTTTTCGTTTCTATACCCCTTGTCGCGGAGCTGTGGGCCCGGACAAAAGTTCACATTTCTTGATAGGGATTGCTGGATACCCATCTTGTCTACGGCGAGCGTTGCGCAGTCCAAAGAAGGCTGCCTCGCGAGCTCCTTCATTTCCTTTGTTCCTAGTACCCCCATCCTCAGACGGATCTCTCCTGGTCTTGCAGCGCTGAAACATTGCCTGCACATGTTCTTCAGAACAAGAATCTAAGAAACGTCACGAAACCAAGTACACAAATAGGTCTACGTGCCCCCAGAGCATTAATCACCTACACGGCATCTTCTGCCTTTTCCTTAATACAATTCATTTGGTATCATTCTCTACAGCACACAGACTGAACTCCCTGCCTTCTCTTCTATCACCCTTCGCGCGACCCCTTCATGTATCTATTTGCTTGTACCTACTTCTCTTCTCTGTTTCTTGTGTATCTACAGAGAGGGGTATGAGGAGGTAATGGGCTGTACATGTTTCTAGCTTAGTCGACTGCAGGACTTCCTCGAGCCATTCTTCGTCCATCTGCATTACTACAAATAACAACGAAACTTCACCAAATCGATCCACCCGTACCATTTTCCTGATGAAGAAGTCACAATGCACCAACTAATGCATGCACGGTTTATATGTTGAGCCAGACACTAACAGTAGTTCATATTGAAATACTACGGTAGCGACGGCCGTTGATAGCTGCACCCTTAGCTTCTACCAAGGCGTCATACATGTGTAGCCTGCTTTTCCTCGGGTGTCAAGTCGCGTCAGGACCAAACTGGGACGCGTCGGCGCTAGTCCTTAGCGATCCCCGCATCGCGCATCCCTGCCCCACCAAACATCTGTAATCTGCATGCACACTCGCTGCAAGCCAACACACGCATACATCCGGCCCGAGACATACTTCAGATCTCTGCCTTGCATCCCGCTGCTCTTCGGGTGCCTGCCGATTGCTTACTCTCGATCTCATCACCCCGCCTTATCTCGATCTTCGTACCTGGCTAAGGGCCACGATACACACGCGCGGGACAAGGCGAACACGCGGTTTACATACCCGACCGATACGACCGTTGATTTCCGAGAAAAGCAAAGAGCTTGTTTGTGTGGAACGGTACAATGGACATCGACGACCTTCTCGCGGAGGTCGCGGTCGATTCGACGCCGAGGGAGACACGCGATCTGCAGGAATTGACGAGGTGTTGGGTTGCGGAAAGGGTTGCGCCGGAGATATTACCATGGCCTGAGGAGCTTATGGAGAGAGTATTGGAGCGGATTAGGAGACAGGTGAGCGCATGGAACTGCAGCTCGCGCGACACGAGATGCTAATGACGCAGCCAGATTGAACTTGTCGAAGACCAAACGGGCGACATGAACCCGAAGACGAATTTCAAGCTCATCATCATACAGACCGAGCTTGAGCGATTCAAGTTCTTGGTTCGCAGTTTCTTGAGGGCAAGGATAAAAAAGGTAGAGTCGTGTCCTACCTTTCTACGGATGTCTATTGCAAGAGTCTGACACCACGTTTGTAGATTGACGCACACCCCCTATATATCCAATCGTTACATACGGCCTCCCTCGAAACGCCCTCTCCGCTACTCTCACCATCCGAACACCAGTACCTGACGTCGCATCAAGCGCTCCTCTCCTCCCACTACACATCCTCGTTCCTCTCGCAGTTCCCGGCGTCGCTACAACGGCTCGATGATACCACTGGTGGCATTAGTATGATTGATAAACCGGATGAGGACAAGGCGGTCTTCGTTAGGGCGCTACGCGACGTGGGGGAGATATTTGTCGAAGGAACGGATCGGCGTTTTGAGATGAAGAGGGGGGATGTTTGGGTTGTGAGGTGGAGTGCTGTGAGGGCCTGGTGTGTCGGGTGTGGCACGGGAGATGTTGAGTTGATATGAGGGGTCAAAAGAGAGATCTTTGGACGCAACGTGGTTTGCGATACGCGATACGCATTTGCACAAGATGGCGCGGACGGCTAGGGCGTTGGATGGCACTCCAGAGCGCGAGCCTATGCTGAAAAACTCAGCTTCACCTAGACGCGACACTATCGCTGGTGGTAACAAGGCGATGGTTTTTAAACACCTCAAGTGCTTTCAAGGGAACCACCCGGCACATCACCATTGGTTAAGCCGACCGGCGTAAACCAAATGTTTACGCAAATTTCCATGTCATGATGATGATTATCATCATCATCATTTTCCATGCATCCCGTGTTTTACGTCTCCCCCATGACAGCGACGACTCAACGTGCATCTCCGTACACAACGCGAGTTCACATCGCCTCTGGTAATCGATGTTTTGTTCGTAGGAACAGGAATGCAGAGCCTACGAAGTCGTCGGAACCCAGAGCTAGAAATAACACATGTTGTTCTCATAGACATCTCTCGGTGGGGATATCTCCTCCTCTTCTTCTTCTTCTTCTCCTCCACATTTTTACACCCTCAAATTGTTTTGATAGTCCAGGTAATTGGTGTTATGGGGAATGATTGATATCGCAACGAGGGTTTTATACCTGAATCTAGTCATGCTAATCGCAGACATGTCTCTAACTGCCTGCTCTTTTCGCGATACACTAGGGACGTGCTGGATGTAGAAAGCACATGGTTCGGTCTTCTGATGTATTTTGGACAACTAGACAACATGGCGACTGGATAGGTAGCTTTTGAGATGCACAACGAGAACAAACCACGTAGAAGGGTCCTAGTTGGTATTTTGTTTTGGGTAGGCACGTCTCTCTCCATTCTCCATGTGGCTGTGTTCAGGTCTTTTTTGAAAAGTAAATGGGAAGATGTTTTGTGTTGAAGGATGAATGCTAGGTACCCATCTTTGAATCCTTTTTTTGGGGATTGTCAAGTCGCGTAAGTGTAGATGAGAAGATCATAGACGACCAAGAGATCTCTATTTATACTGCCGGAATCTCGAATAAAAAGACATGGCGCACTAATAGATATGTTTCGACACCACTCTTGACGTTCCCACTCTTCAGGAAACCTCACCGTCTTTTGGCAGATTCAGAGTGGGCACGGCGAGTACGTACGAACTTTTCAACTCCAGAGAAGCGATCACACAGACATGTCTGCGTCAAACCAGGTTTTGGTCCCCGCAGAGCAAGCTCATAGAAGATTCGCTCTTTATTTTCGATAGCTTGCAATATAAGAAGGATGTGAGGAACAGGTGATAGTCGGCAAGAGAGCGAGGCTTTATACTGCTCAAGGTCCACCTCAACACATGGGTTTGGTTTGTATTGTTTTGATTCAGTAGCGCACCGCACATGTGGAGCCTCGTGCCCATTTTGTTTGGCTCAGTCGAGAAGCGTCTCTCATCAACCTGTTTTGGCATCGTCCACTGTCTTCAGCGCAGTCATCAGATAGCCATCCAGATCTTTTCGTGGCCGGACAGCCAACACCATCAGTGTTTGAATCGCTGTTTTTGGTGTCTCACCCGCATGGTGGTATACAGAAAAGGAATAAATCAAGCATTCGGTTGAATTCATATGTACTCCTCACGAGCTCAATACCGCAAAACAGGTCATACTACCACAGCATTGTTTTTTTTGTAGTCGCGATACATGGCGATGTAGAAGCTCGTTTTGTGGACTATGCTGCTGAAATGGACATCTAGCTGATCTTTCAGATTTTGGTTCCCAGGAAAACACATGTCCGTGGACGATCCTGTTTTTGGTAAAAGAGATTGAGGAAGTAGAGTTAGTGAAGAGTGAATGACAGTGAGAGATGCAGTATCTATATAACCTGGAGAAGCTCGTGCATGGTCGGGCTCTCGGTATGAGTTCCCGCGAGAGCATCGTTCGCACATGATACTAAAGCTCGTTGTGCAGACAGATGCACTCACATGTCGGCGAGTATGTCAGCACTCAGCTTGAAGTCCGCATAATTTCACTTCACATGACATGTAATTACGCTTCGAACGCATCATTGGTGATAGCACTTCCATTGCGCATTATCACACTTCTACACCACCATATTCTACCCAACGCTCTATACTCAAACAACAGTACTATACCCCCCACCATAACCTCTCCTCCCCTTCCACCTAACATACCACTTCCTGCCCTCATCTGCCCAAAACACACAACTTGCCACCGCAACAAGATGCGCGAGATCGCCCAAACCCAGGGCCTCAGTCTGGAAAACACTTTGCAGCGGCGGGAAGTAAATAACAGCTAGCTGTCCGAGCAAACTGCCCGCAACAGCGTAGTTAAACATCTTATTATCGAAGACACCAATCTCGCCTGCAAGAACGGATTTGCTGGAGGAGCGGCACGTTAGTGCGTTGAACATGTCGAAGAGGACGAAGCAGGTAAAGGTCATGGTTGTATCGCGGGCGGTGACAAGATTATCGGTGGACATCTCGAGGTAGTAGGTCGTGAGGGTGCCGAGCATGATGATGGTGGCGGATTGGAGGACGCGTTGGATAAGGGGGCGGGTTAGGACGCGGGCGTGGCGTGGGCGAGGGGGTAGCGCCATAACTGCTGGGTCGACGGGTTCTACACCGAGGGATTGCGCGGGTGGGCCGTCCATGAGGATGTCTGGGGTTGGTGGTTAGCAGGTATGAGTGGGGATGAGAAAGGGAAAACTCACTGATCCACAGAATCTGCATGGCATTCAGCGGATTCTGGAAGCCGAGAAATGTACTTAGGAGTACTAAGCTCAGTGCTGCCGCACTGGTGCTGAGTTGGAAGGTAAGGAAGTTCTGGATATTGTAGAAGATGCCCTTGCCCTCTTCGATCGCATTGAGGATGGTCGCAAAGTTGTCATCTGTCAGGATCATGTCTGCGGCCTCTTTGGCGACATCTGTGCCAAGTCGACCCATGGAGATGCCGATATCTGCTTTCTTGAGCGCGGGTGCGTCATTGACACCGTCACCAGTCATAGCCACAACGTCGCCTCTTGATTGTAGTGCTCGGACAATCTTCATCTTGTGCTCAGGACTAGTTCGCGCGAAGATTGAGGTTGTCGCAATTGCCTGTGCAAGTTCTTCCTCGCTCATGCGATCCAATTCGTCACCGCGAATGACTGAGCGCCCAAGTGCCGAGTTCGGCATGATTGGCATACCCAGACTTTTGCCAATGGCAACTGCTGTGGTCTCAGCATCTCCCGTGATCATGATAACCTTGACTTTGCCGGCCATGAGTCTCCGGATAGCTCTCTCTACACCCTTACGAGGCGGGTCGTTCATGCCAACCAAGCCAGCGAACGCAAGACCGCGATACTGCTCATCGTCACCAAGCGCCGAGCTAGTTGACGGTACAGGTGAGGCTGTGCCACTAGCATTCCTCTTCTTTCCTTTGGACGCACCGCTTGCGAAGCCGAGCACACGCAAGCCCTCTTGCGCCATTGCATCCGCGGCCTTCATCGCTTCTTGCTTGCGTGCTTGATCCAGTGCCACCTCTTTTCCTTGTGCTGTCACATACGTATCGCAGCGGTCTAATACCCGTTCCAGTGCGCCTTTGATGTATGCATACTCAGATCCAGGGGTGAGGCTGCCAGAATTACCGCCAACGACGACCCCCATCCACTTTCTCTCCGAACTGAACGGTGTCTCAAACTTGCGCTCGCCGAGTCTTTCTCGGATGTCGTCTTCCCCGAAGGCGTCCATCAAGTCTAAGAGCGCGACATCGGTGGGTTGACCAACCCATCGGCTCTTGGCAGCCGTGTTGTCGTCGCCTCCCAGAGTTGAAGAAAGTACCGCTGCCGTGGACGCCGAGGCTGCCTGATCGCTCAACAAGCGAGCGTTGTTGACAATGTTTCCGATTCGTAGTATATTACGGGTCGGCGAATCGAGGTCCGTGGAGTCGTGCTTCGTCTTTACATCGATCGGTGCTACTTCATCAAAGTGCCATATCTTCGTAACGGTCATGTGGTTTGTGGTTAACGTGCCTGGCTCATGTCAGTAGATGCTATATCCGCGTAAATGATGAACTCACCCGTCTTGTCAGTACACACGACATTGACAGAAGCCAGCGTCTCAACACTGGGTAACCGTCGAACAATAGCGTCGCGCTTAGACATTCTCAGCACACCCAGCGCAAGCGTGACAGTAACAATAATAGGCAATCCTTCGGGAATAGCGGCGACAGCAAGTGAAACAGCGATTTGGAAGACCTCGAGGAACTTCCAACCGCGCCACAGTCCTACCAGACCAATAAAGGCAATGACTCCGAAAGACATGTAACTCAGATCTTTGCCCAGACGGTCCATGGAAAGTTGTAGAGGCGTGCGTGGGCTTTCGATCTGCTGCAGAGACGCAGAAATAGCGCCAAACTCCGTATTCCCTCCTGTACCGACAACGATTCCTTGTCCGTAACCCGATCTAACCAATGTACCCATGAAAGCGATGTTCTTCTGATCATTCAGTCGTATATCAGCGCCGACCGTTCCTGCGGCTTCGGACGCGTAGAAAGGTGAAGATGGCCGTTGTAAGCCCGGTGGGGGTGTGATGGTGTCTGGTGACTTGGAGACAGGCTCGTTCTCTCCGGTGAGGTTCGACTCGTCGATGCTAAGGTCTGCGGCGTGCGTGATACGGATGTCGGCGGGTATGCGGTCTCCAGTGTGGAAAAGGACGAGATCGCCAGGTACCAACAACGTCGCGGATATCGTAGTAGACTTCCGCTCCGCAGCTGACAGGGCCGAAGTGGTGTCTTTCAGATTCTCCAGCTCGACGTCGTCGGTTGCCGTGCCATTCGGTATGCGACCGTTCCGTGGCTGCTCCACCCCAGCGCGAATGATGTGTGCCGAATGTGGAACCAGCTGGTTCAGCGCCTCAATTGACTTCTCCGAGCGGTATTCCTGCACAAAGCCCACTGTCACCACGATGGTCACAGCCACAGCAATGCTCACAGCATCATCCAAGTTGCCCAGTATAAGGGACACAGCAGCAGACCCGAGTAACAGCAAGATGAGCGTCTCCTTGAACTGCTTGAGAAAGCGAAGCCACAGCGGTTCGGGCTCTTCGTGGGGGAGTTCGTTGAGGCCATGGGTGTGTATGCGCGCCGAGGCGTCTGAGGCAGAGAGGCCATGTGTAATCGACGTCGAGAGCTTCTGGGCCGTGTCCTGTACCGAGAGGAGGGAATGGGCGGATGTTATTGACTATTCACACGTGTCAGCGGCGTCTCCATAACTCCACAGTAGACGTGGTGGTGGGAGCGCATGGCGTACTGAGGGCGTGGTGCTGCGCTTGATGGCTTCTGGCGGCTGCAGCATGGGCGAAGAGGGCCGCGAAGACTTGGAGGGCAGGCCCGAGGCATTGTAGAGGGGCAATGAGGACGTGGATGCTTTTGACATGTTGGCATGGCCAGGAGTTGACTGTTGCGCCGCGGTCCAACGTGGCCTATCCGTCCAGAGCTAGCGTGCAAAAAGATGCTCGTCGTCCTGGATTATCGCATTGGTGCTAGTAGTAATAACGCGTCTTTGATTGGTGAGCGGGGCGAGAGATGAGAATCGCGAGTCGATTGCGGGTTGTCGTTGGGGATGGTGTTGCTGGATGTCGATGATGGACCAAAACGTCAAAGCACACCGGTACTCTCGAGCAGGGGTCTTCGTCGAGGGTCTGGTCACCACTTTCACACGAACCACTGTTTGACATCACAGCACTAATCCCATCTGGTGACGTGTTCTGTTTTGAAACACTCTCTGTAACCTTCACTTGCAGGCTACAATCGCGAGTAAGATGCCGCTTCTAGCAGCGTCGAGTGACGCATTGGCAGGTACATGTCCGCTGCGCGATCAAGTCATGGCGCGCTTTCTGTCCTTCTGTATGTGATGTCATATCCCAGCCTCTCTGAATCTGTCAAGCGTCACAGCTGTGGCTGAAGCCTGCGCAATTTCCTTATCATCATCTTGTATTACTTGGATTTACTTGGATTAGACGCTACCTGAGTAATAATACACCTTGCCCTCGAATAACCGCCGAGCAGTCCGCGAGACAACGCACCTATCGACAAAAGCAAACGATTCCGAGCTGGTTGCCAAAACATCAACCTTGATCGACCCGCTCGAATGCGAAAGACAGACTCTCCTTTGGCTTGGTAGAAGATCCGAGGAGCTACCATCAGAGTCTGAGCAGGGACTCGGTGTCCGCTCAGGTGAAGACGACTGCCAGGAGGACTGTGTCTTGCCGCCGGATGCAAGTCCGTGGGCTACGGTACCTTCTATGCACACGGCCGACGCCAAGCATGCCGCACCTGTGAGTTGCAGGCTCGGGTGGGGTTTGCCCATACTGAAAGCTTGGACATGAACGTCCGGCGTGCCTTCCCGGCCATGGTCATCTGGTTGAGGAGAAGAAATAATCGCCAGCTTCGGTGTGCCGCGGACTTTTGCAGCAGCGTCTATATCAGAAGCAAGACCCATCATGACGGCGCCAGTACATCGTATTGCCTCCATGTGCTTGAGGTAGGCGGCGGCATCTTTGCTCCCTGTCCTCAGGTATGGCGGTAATGTTCGTTCGTCGACTAGGACAAAGGGATTTGCTGCATCTATTAACGTGGCCTGGACTGAGAAGCGATCGCCGTCTTGTCCTTTCACATGAATAGTATCACATCTTCTCCCCGTAGGAAAGAGAGTTCCGGTCATGCTCCCGGCAGGATCCACAAAGGCCACTTTTACTTCGCTTCCGGTTCCCTTGACACCTGGTATCGCGTAGTCTCCGTCTTCATCAAACGACCCGTCTTCGCCTACTTGGACAGTGTCGACAATGAGCCGCGATGTGTTTGTGTTGAAGATCCGGACATCAAGCTATACGAAAAGTAAGTATTCTATCACCTTTGATGAGAATGAATAGACTTACAGTCTTTTCTCCAGGCCTTGCACGCACTAAGCCTTCTTGTAGTGCAAATGGTCCGACGCCAGCGCACATGTTTCCACAGTTTCCGCTGAAGTCGACCACCTCCTGACCCACTGCTACTTGTACAAAAGTATAATCGATATCGACGCCCATTCGTGATGATGGCGAAACCACTGCAACTTTGGAAGTCGTTGAAGTCGCTCCTCCAACTCCGTCAATCTGTCGAGCGTCTGAGCCTTGAGAACCCATGGCAGCAAGTAATGGGCCAGCCCACGCTGATTGGGAAGATGGCAAATCATGACGATGAATGAAGAGACCTTTCGAAGTACCAGCACGCATCAATACGGCTGGTAGGCTGTGTCGCACCCTTTTTGGGGCGCTTTCGTGTGCCATTGGGAGTTCAGGTATGCGGATCGGCGAGATGTGTGAGACAGTCGAGGCATGTGCCTTTTGGACAATGGATGGTTTGAGAAGTGTGCGGAGCATCTATAGAGGACACTGCTGCGATTGAAGGTGATGAAGTTGATGAAGCCGGTACTTCGTTTCTAGGCCGAAATGTGCTATCATATCCGGCGGTGCAGATCTCTATATATGTCTTCGTTCCATGAGTGTTCGGGTAGTTACAACCAGAAGTCCGGGCCGCAGTGAATCCAACGGGTAGTAGCCTTCCCGTTAGCGCGTTAGATGCCGTGGGATCTTGAGTTACTGCGGAAAGCTAACCGCGGTAAAACTTCGGCGTTCTTCCCGCGGGATTTGCTGCCCCACAGGATCTAACGCGGCATGAGGAAGGGCCAGATGGCACCATACCCGTCTCTTACATGTCCCAATTTAGGATTGGGAATTGATCAAGCTCTGAACCGTTGAATCCATAGAGGAGGTCATCCACTGAAAACGGTTGCTCACTGAAGGTATGTTGTTGGTCCTGATACGCCCAGTTCCCAGAATTTCCGTATTGCATGTTTGCCGTCTCCATGGTATTGTACGCCGACGGCGGCACTCCAGGTACAGCCACGTCAGCGGCAGGGTCTACTGGACCTGGCATATGCGACGAGTCCTGCTCTCGGACGAAACTCTGAATGATGCCATCGATGTCGAAGCTCTGCAAGCTTGGTTCGCGATCCATCGACCTGCTCAACGAAACATCTGGTGTGCTCTCGTGATTATCCTCGCTACCACTGCCGATATGTGTGTCGTTCAGGTCAGGCGCAACAACACCTAGTCTCTTCATCAGATTCTGGATAATGGCATTGGCCCGTCGTACAGCCCAATTTGTCTCTTGGTTCTCGCGGAAAACGGCTAAGCAAGTCTCTAGGCTCTTGTGAGCTTGGGAGCCCGCACCACGCTTCGCCGCAATACGGGCATGCACAGTGGCAGCGACATAAGTCGCATAGGAAATCAGATAGGGAGCCCTCCGCACACTGAACGTTTTGTCGTATGCTCTCAGGAGCTGTACAATAGCATCTGCCGCAGTGGCGCATGCCATAAACGAGTTCACGGAGATGGCACGGGATGTATTGTAGAGATGCCCGTCTGCGACGAAGGGTCGGTGCAAGAGGATCGTGAGAACATGGTACAAGGCGCTAGTGTTGTTTTAGTACATCCGTGGAGTTTGCAGCCTTATGATCACTTACTGTAAGCTGAGGACATGCGGAGGAGGAGTCGCGGCTACTTCCGCTACATCTACCGTGAGGTGTTCGGGCAGAAGCCCACGCCATGTTATCAGCTTTTGATGGATGCTCTCCAACTTGGACGACAGCTCTGTGGGGCTTACGTCGAAGCTTCTTTCGGTATAGATAGTGCTGAGTATATCGCTCAGAATGACCGAGAGCTGGCAAAGGTGTCGAAACGTAGAGATACTATATGCCGGCGAACCTAGATAGACGGCGTCTGGTTGCGTGGAATAGGAAAAAGGCGTCCAATGTTCGAGTTCCTCGTACGTGTCGAGGAACTTGGTGGGCACGAGTGTATCTGTCATACTTACTGGGCGACCTTGATAGAGGCTTTGGATTTTGTCGACGACTGCGCTTTTTGTTAGTGGAATGATGAGCAATACGAACACTATACCAACCAAATGCTGCCCAGAAAACGCGTCGTCGGATTTCATGATCCTCATCAGAAAGCTTACGATATCCTGCAAATTCAGGCTTATCGACATGAAGACCAAGGTCAACGATCATGCGAAATGCTAACCCAGCGTACAACCAGGCGGCACTGCGCTCATCGCCAAGAGCAAACAACGAGTTAGTCATAACTAGCAACGCTTGAATTGTTGTGATTTCGCTCTTATCCAAAGCACCTCCTAGGAGCTCTCGCACTCTTTCACGAAATTGCCAACCAGCAGTGCGGACATCATCCGCTACGCGGCGCACCTCATGCCGTGGACTGAACTTGGATGCACCAAAGTAGATGGCATTGAGGAGAAGTTTGGAAAAGTATGGACCGCCGCATGCCATGTCACGCATGAAGGCTGGGCGATAAGTAGTAAGGAACGAATGGTGTTGCCGGTTCCAATGTAATGACAACAAGTGCATGCCAAGCTCAGGTTCGACGCCGTCGAAATCGAGCTTCATAAGTCGAAAGTTGACCGTCTCTAGTTGTCTCTGACGGGCAGCTTCAGCAACAAGACCTTTTTCTATCCATTCATCCGACATCTGGGGTCGTACTTCAGCAGCATATCGATCATTTGTGCCTTCGTCAAATAAAGTGCTCGTGCGTCCATGGTAGCTAGAGGAGCCATTAGGAGCGACAACAATGCGCGACACACTTTGGGGTGTAGTCGCAGCGGTATGCGCAGCAGGTGCAGAAGCAATGCCTGATGGTGTCGACTCTGATGTTCTGTCCGACGGTTTCTCGGATGTTCTTTCTGCTCGCGGCGTCTTGCGCGGACGACTGTCAGCATGCTGTGCGTCATCTATGGATATAGGTTCGTAGTGGCAAATCGCATCATGTGTTTTGCAACTTGCGCACGTTGGCTTCTCAGCACTGCATTTGATCTGCCAGCCTCAGTATGCAGCTCCCTAGCGACGACATGCAGGCGTCGGGCTACGAACCTTCCTCCGTCGGCAGAACGTACACGCCTCTGCAGCCCTCTTGCGCGTGCGGCCTGTCGCCGCTCCATTCGTAGGCATCGCGGTGTGCGATGGTTCCGACGGGAATGTGGGGACGGTGATGTCTTCGCCGGAGTGCAGGAGGCATGTAGGTTGGAGCGGGAAGGCCGCGAAGACGTAGTTGCCGACCTCGGGATGATTCGCCGCAACGCACCTGCCTCAAGATGGACAGTCCAACTTCTTCCGAGCATGTCACACTAATTCACAGGGATACTTTCTGTGAGCCATGAATTTCAATTAATTGACTCATTGTGGAATCGCAGCACTTGACGCATCACCTGCGAAAATCATGTACCGATACGTAGATGTAGTACTGATTTCATTCCGTCTTCCAAAGCTAATGTAACTATCCTAATACAATGATACAAGGGACCAATTCCCCACAAACACCATACCTCACATGAACACCAAAACACCAGTCAAAGTCCGTCTCCAACGTGAAAAGAGTCATACATGAAAAGGGTATCCAGCCAACACCGACAGATGATACCAAGCCCCAAAGAAGGTCGGAGAAACACAGATTGTTGAACTTTTAGGCAGATACAGACACCTCAGGTGGTCCCTGGAACATGGCCTCAGCGGGCGCGTCGGGATCCCCTGTAGGTACTGCTTGAGCCTGGGATGCCAGCTCGCCACTAGCTCCAGTCTCTGCCCATTGTCCCCAAAGGCCACGCTTAGCGCGAATGCGTAGAGGGCCACCAAGCTCGTTAGCTGGTTGCTCAACTTTGATGGCATCCTTGGTCGCCAGCACCAGCATTTCGAAGAACATCTTGGTCGCGTCTGTCCTTGATGTGCGGGCCTCTGGGAAAGCGTCCTGGAAAACAATACTGGTCTTTTGTCGTACCGACTCGCTCTCTTCAGCTTCGGGTCCAAATTGTTCTCGCAAGAAATGAACGGCGTGTTTGGTGCCGAGTGATACGGGCCCGGCTTCATCGGGATGAACTAGCGGCGCAGTTGTGTCGTCAAAGTTGTCTGGAACGGGAGAGAATATGTCCTCTTCGTCATCACCAACCTGTTGGAACCCAGGGTCATCGGGAAGTTGAACGATATCGTCGGATCCCGCAAGCGTGGGATCGTTGTCACCACCGAGGCCAATGTTACCGCCTCCCAAAGTCGGCTCATCCTGCTCGAACTCCAGCTGCAGCTGTGGCGTTTTCTCTCCTTCAGCTGCGGCCTCATCTTCGGTAGCGTCATTGTCGGCAATTGCACCGCCACGCTTGCGCTTCTGGGCTGGGCGTGAGATGACTTCCAATGAAAGGATACCTCGAAGCTCTGGAGCCCATCCTTGACTTCGTCCATCGCCCAGAATGCTCGAGACAAATCCTCCAGACTTTTGCATGTTCATCAAAGCCATCAGAAGAGGGTCGCGAGGCAAGAACGAAGCAGGCTTGAGGATCTTCTCACGATTGTTCTGTTGCTCTCTCAGCTGGTGGCTTGAGATCATGGTTTCGGCATCAGCTGCAATGACCCTCCTGCGCTTGGCGCGAGCTTGATGGATTGACTCTTCCTCTTCCTGCTCTTGCTCTGGCTCAAACATGGTGGTGTTCTGTTCGGCAACCTCCTGCTCAAGGCGTGTGGCCTCTTCCTCTCCTAACTCAGAGAGCGGTGACTCTTCGCGTTGTCGCGTAGGCAAGTCACCAGCAATAGAGCCTGCAGGAAGTTCGGTGTCCATATCCATACCGCCCATGGTGATATCCAGATCGTCATCCAGATTGAGTTCTTGGCCACGTGCGAGTTCAGTGGGAGGATCTTCGCCAAGGTCGATGCCGAGATCATCGTCATCCACTATCATGTCTTTGCCCAGCCCGGTAAACTCCTCGGACCGACGTCGTTCCAAAGGCGCGTTACGGCCGACTTCAATGCTGGTACCCTCATCGTAAGCGGCTGTCGGCTCCAGGTCATCATCCTCTCCGATGTCCAGGTTCAGGTCGTCGTCCGGCAGTTCCATGGGCTCCCCGCGCGCCTGTTCAATGCTGCCGGAAAGGAACTGGCTGTTGTCCCAATCAGGAACTGTGGTGTTGCCGAGGTTGAGACTGCCACTAAGAGGCTGAGAGAGAAGGAAAGAAGGGTCGGGCATAGGAGCCAACAGATCGAGATCGGTGATCTGATCCTGTAGCATGAGGTTTGTGGGGTTGGCGACGTGAGTCTGAGCGGGCGCATCGATGTTTCCGGGACGGAAGGCCTGTACATGGGTCAGAAGTGGTCATGTCACGCAGTCAAACTTAGGACCTACCATCCTGATCTTCCACAGCGCTTCCTGACAGTCATCCTGTAGGTAGTTGACCTTCTTGTTGTAGATGCGAACCTCGCCGAGGAGCAACTGCGCGTTCAACCGCAATGCAAGCGGACCGCCAGCGGCCACCTCAGGTCGGATAATGACCTCACAACTCTCTGGGATCTTGTGCTGCAGCACCTGAGCTTTCGTAAGCTTCTTCTGTTGATTCGAGGCAAGCCAGACGTGCGCAAGCGCGCCCTGCTTGAATAGGAGATCCTCTGGAAGAAACATGGTAGTGGTTGGGTAGATCGATTTGTGGGCGGGGTGGTGGAGGAGTCGCGCTCTTGTTTACGTCGACGCGTCGCGGACAAGTCGATGCGCGTGGCGTGAAAGCGCGCCGACAATGTCAAAAGTGGGCCCCCGAAATGCGCGCAGATGCAGCAATCGCAGTGATGGTCAGAAATGGTTGAGCGACGATGGTGTTGCGGACGCGCTCGGTCGTTAAAGGATGAATGAGGCTGGTTAGGGCTGGCTGGGATTACATGGCAAACACGACCCAACCCTCGCTTAGTCATAGGCTTGTCTGAAGACCAAGCCCAACTTCACTCTCCACACACGTCATCTTCCGATCCGCATTATTTTCACTATACGGCAACCTACTATGCACATACTTCGGTAGACGATAGGAGCAGTGTTTCTGTTTGTGGTGTCATTCAGCATGACGACCGCTCATGCAGTTTGGACAATCGACTCAGTCAGGGTAATGAGACAGTGATGACTGATTTCAGATGCAAGCCTCAGCAACTACTACCTCAGATCCGCCTACTCCACCTCAATCCCGGACTACTCGCCCCCACGTACTTCACATCGACCTTTCTCCCTCTGGCTGCAAACCCCTCCCTAAGCCATACCACCAACCGCTCGATCAACGGCGCACAGTCCACTAAAACGTTCTGCGTACCGTGCCGATCACTTACCCTGATCCGAGGCCAGGCCTCAATTATCAACGTCTGCAAACTCTCTACATCTAGGAGATTGTCCAACCGATAAATTGTGATGATATCTTCCAGCTCTCTGATACGCGTTTGATCAAAGGTCCATAGATCAAAGTCCCACAACATTGTTGGAGGGATAATAACATCCTCAGCCCAGTTACATGAGCCAATCGTCATGTACCCAGCTTCAAACTTCAACGTGACTTGCGTTAACCCTGTACAGCGCTTCATGAGCTCGATGCATATGTTCCTAGTCCCTGCGCTCGGTTCATAGCGGCCGAAGAGCTGAAAATCGAGTTTGCGAATTGCGGCAAAGCCTTGGTCGCTCTCGCTTAGACTCTCCAGGAGCATTGTGAAACGTTCTGCTTGCTCAGGGTACATGAGGTAGAACTCAGTCGTCCGTAGAAGATGCAGGGAGACGTCGACGCATGTGGCTTGGTTCACGCGACAGAGTTGTTGGAGCCACTGGAGGTAGAAAGGGTCGCCTCCACGCCGGGTGTCTACGGCGCCGAAGTTCACAGGCTGAGACTGAGAAGTAAGGTCTTCTGGGAGTATCGCATGATGGTAGATGATCTCGCGAAGCTCCAATGGTAGATTTGGAAACATAATCGTGGATGGTGCAGAGTTAGTCGGGTTCGTTGTGTTCATTATGTTTTGCGGAAAAGGTGCAATGCGAAGGATGTTGTTTGTTTCTTGCAGTGCTCAAATTTGCTGTTTGCGAGAACAGAAGACATGTCTCGCAAGTCAACAAAGCAGTGTTTCGGCACTACTGTTCTCGTGAAGAGCACTGCTTCATGGTTTTATCACGTAATAAAACTAAATTGAATTGGTCACTCCTTCTATTGTACACTCATCCTGTGCCTGCGTGCGTATCGCATTGAGTTTGTTGGTGTCGGTCCATGTGAGCAAAGGGGTCGTCAATGAACTGACGAATTTCGAATGACTCCAAGATATTAACGGCGCCATTGATTGTCTGAACTGGTGTTGCTGAATATCTACCTTATCTACGAATCTGCAGGCAGAGATATTAATCGCGCAAAATAGTGACACTCAGTGTCGAGTTTATTTAATGGGATGACATTGAATGGGGCGGGAGCTGGAATAGATGGGAAAGCGGCAAAAGACAGAGAAAGGAAATGAGGTGACAGTGTGCTGGGAATCTCGAATCGCTTACAGCATAACTATGCATGAATGGCCTCTACTGCGACTTACTTCAGCATGCAGCCTGGATCTATCATGTTTCAAAATGTTCAGTAAACAGTGGACTTCTGGTCCCTGTGGTCCTTGAAGTACGATAAGCGATGGATCCGCCCGATGATCATCAAACCCACTGACATCCACAAGGCTGAAGGGCGAAATTCGGGGTGCAGAGTTGCCCGTAGGCAGAGTTGTTGAGACCCGATTGCGCTTGGCCGTGCGACGGGTGCGGATGCACCGGACGGTTTGATTAACGGTCGCAGATCGGGCGTCCGGAGCAACGTTGGAACCTACTGCGAACCACTCGCATCTAGTCTCGCACGAGGTCGAAACTTCGACCGGTTTCGCAAACAGCACCAGTTCGCATCTTCTGAGATCAGGCCAGATCTCGTGGAGAAATCTTTTGCCGTGAGGCCATGTCGATTTCGCGCATGTAGGAGCGCCGATCTTCATAAAAAGGAAAAAAAGTCTCGAACGCGCACTCCGGCCTCCACTTCAGCCATCTTCTGATATCAGGTACGCTATCTTATCGGTGTCGCGACTCGCGAGCTTACGCCCGTACATGTTTCCGGTGTCGAGCGGGCCGGCTTATCATGTTCTGAGGCAGCAGTGTCGGGACCACATGGCACACATGCGCCATGATTACTGCCTCACGTAGGGTACGACTGCAGCACCACGTAATCAAAGAGGGCTGAAGTGTGACAGGCTAACGCCATGTGTGGATTCTCTGGAGTGGCTTTCTTGGGTCTTGGTGCTGACGAGTGCACGGATGAAGTGGCCGTGCAAGTCTTGGACTCGTTGCCCACTTTAAGCCGCCTTCCAGAATTTGTTTGAAACGAGGTTCTGCTGTCCCTGTCCCTGTAAAGTCAACTTGGCTGTTTGAATGATTAGTCGTGTGCGCACATGGATGCGAATTCGTGCAACAACCTGTTGGTTGCCGCTTCAACACCTGCCGAGGTGGCTGAGCGTCACCGAGTACGTATGAGGTATGCAGGCGACAGCGAAATGCCGGAAACGACGGGAGAGCGAAAAATCAAGGTTTTGGCGCTAGGTTGGGTTGACGAACTCAGTACAACCAGGGCAGGGTCTCGTGCATGCGTAAGAGGAGACCCTGGCCATTGAGTAAGAGCGCACTGACCGCAGACATTCTGGCCTCGGGTCTCTCCACTGTATAATCTACCATGACACACACATCTTCTGGACGCGTCAACTGTCATAAGAAGTTGCGGCCTCCATCGTCACAGCTGATCTTCCACCTATCTCTTCCAAGTTCTTGAAACCTGTCAGCCATCTGTCTAATCTGCGCTTCATAGCTATAAGCCACGCATCGTGCATCTGCAGAACTTGGGCATCCTCACATTAACTCCGTTCGGCACTCCATCACACTATTATTGGACCCATCCGCACGCTACCAAGACACGCCAACGGACCCCATCGATTACGGCTACTTTAACGCCCGAATACGCAATTACTACCCTGCATATCTTGCATTTGCTGGCTACATCATCGGGCATTCACAACCCTCCGGCGCATATATTACGAAGTCTGCCCTCGGCTTCAGGACTTGCTCAAGCTCAGCACATTCCAAAGTCTCTCAGTCACAAGTCGCACATCTACAACTCAAGAATATCACAACCAACACACTCGACAACTCCCAACCACACCAAGCCACAATGTTCTCTTGCGCCAACTACGAGCGAGGATGCCGGGGTCGCTGCAACTCCATGAACGGACGATGCGACAGCTGCCACACACTCAACCTCCAAGTCCGCAGCAACAGCGCCTCGTCCACATCTTCAACCAACGGTCTACCATCAGCTGCCTACTCAGCAATGACCAACTCATTCGCATCGCTGTCACAACTCAACTCGGCCTCATCGTCGACAAGGGCGCAATAACCGCCGGGCACTAGGCGTTCGCCCTCATGACATTCGACGAATCATTCAAATATCAGCGACTTAGCGGCACAGTGTGCAGGCAACACTCTTCAGCTTCGACTTTGCGATTTGGGATATTTTATTGGAGCACATCGGTTTAGCATTTACACGGAGCCATCTTTTCTTTCAGTTGTATGATATACCATTTTCATTTTTCATCTCTTTGAAGGACCACTGCAGGCGTTTGGCAGGGCATGCAAGAGGCGGAGCGCTAGGCAGAGTTTCCCTCGGAGGACTTGACAAACTCCCACCACCACAACAATCAAACCCAAATTACCTCACTTGCATCTCCTCATGCACTCGTGATTCTTTCCATGCAAAGAGCACCCTGTCGGCATCACACCTGCCACAATACGTAAGACAAGACTTTCTCCTAGCCCCACAGTCCTGTCTAGATCTCACCCTCATCCGTCCGCCCATCACGCAAAAACCCACAACCACGAGCTTCAAGCTTCAAGGCCCGATCCCTTTGTCTCCTTTCACGGCAATCACGGGTCCATATTTCCGTACAAAACGCCCATCTATTTCCTTATTTCCTATAGCCTCTACACAGAATACGTCCGTGATGTCCCGTTAGCTGGGGGACGCAGGCCAAAAAGCCCACTCTTAAGAGGAATCCAGACCACCGGCGCACGGAGTAGTAGGCAGGGCCTAGAAGTCGGTATCGATCGAACGTTGTGCTGGGGATCGACTCGCTTGGACGGGCAGCTGGTGCAGCGCGCCTTTGGTGGCCGCTGCACTGTGACGTCAGTCGCGCTTCTCACCACGTCCTGCTTCGCTTCTTGCATGTGCGCAGGCGTGCGTTTCAGCTCCGAGGCAAGCGGGTCCTCTAGGAGTCCACTCGTAGGCGAGACGAGAGCGCGAGAGGCTTCTTTTCGGTGTTGTGATGTCGTTTTCTTTTGATTAAACTTTGATCATGTCTCTTGTCCGACATGCTGCCGCGGGAACCAACCTCGCACAACAAAAGGTCTGGACCTCAGGTGACGGCAAAATGGTACCGAGGCCAATAGAGTCGTGCATGGTGGTTGTAATGCATGGCATTTTCGCATTCCCATGCCCGGGTTCATGCATTTGAGCCCATCGTTTCGCCGAAGGCTGCATCAAACAGCCGTAAAGTGTGTTGTTGTCGTTGTTGTTGCCCAGGTGTAGTTGCGCCGATATTTGCATGCAGCTGCTTGCAGTGACACCACCCCCAGCACTTCTACAAGGCACCAATGTTGGCTCTTGCGGAACCCAACATGCGAAGTCTTCGATCTTACTGCTCGCCAAACCTGGCGCATGTCAAAGCTGCATCGTGGACGTCAAGCTATAATGTTGAACAACAAAATCCTTCGCGCCCAATTTTAGCATCGGGATCGTGAGAGCGATGGAGCTTCCACTTGCACTTCCTTTTGCTCTCGTCTCTTAAAAGCCTATCGGAGTCGATGACCCGAGGCTCGGACCTTCACTACCGGCACTCGATAAGTGCGGTGACAAGCGAAAGCGAAGAAAGATATTAGTGCCATCGACTCGAGGGTCCATAAAACCAGTGAGTTGCTAGCGAAGCATAAGCGCGAGACGTGGCTTTTCGGGAAGGAAAGACGCTTGTTTTCCCTACGTCATGCCGTTGGAAAAGTTGAACGTGTCTCCACTGTCGTGAGCAGTCTGGAACCTCAGATTCGGTCGCGCCGAGGTTCTACATACGTTCTGTGCAGTTCTTCTATCGATGAAGTCTGCAGTCCAGTACTCACATGTGCCTGGGATTCACATTCCACCTCGGGCTATCTGGGTAGGCACCCATCTGAGGAGGGAGTAGGTGTTATCGAATGCAATGTACTACTATCCACATGATCTACTTCATCTAAGATGAGTGATCACCATCTAGCCCGTACCCTTAACAATCATCTCCTCTTCACGCGTAATGATTCCGGCTTTCACTCGGTGAAGATGCTGCGTAATCAGTTCTTCAAGCCACCAACTAACAAAGCCTCACAATGCGCTCGATGACCGTTGGGATACTCACCAATAGAACCAGCGCACAACGTAGTACAAAACACCTGGGTCACACCTCCTCGTGCCAACGACCACCAACTATTCTGGAGAGTATGACGCCCCAGAATAAACCCGCTGACAAAACGTCGCTTCCAACGCTCAAAAACTACCGATATCGCTACCCGGACCGGGAATGTGTCACGTGGAACCGCGACAGTAGGACAAGCGAGCTGAATAGGGTATGCATGACGGGCTGGATAAGCCGCATACCACCAGTCGTTGCAATATCGAACGATGCAGCTTATACAGCTACGCAGTAACACCGTCCGATGAACCTATGGCTGCCCAGCGATGTGCTTACTCAACCACGTCTTGTGGTGCGGGTGTGATTGATTCTAGAAAGAGGAGGCTCGAGGTGCATGCAGCCCTACCCGTGTGAGGAAAGCTTAGTTGGCTGTGAGTGTAAGGCATAGGCTCGTGATGGCAGGGCTAGTAGTAAATTGGTGCACGTCGAGGTTTGCGGTGGGATGAACCTCATGCACGTCTTTAATCACAACCCTAGTACATGATCCAATCAACCGCGTCCAATACAGTGGCTAGCGAAGGCTGAGTCGGTCTACCAGCCAGCCACAACGTCTGCCCACTACCATCATGCTCCATCCCCTACCTCATCCACCCCCAAACAGGCAGGCATTTCGTGCACCCCAACACCCCGTTAAGCCACCCCGTATCTACCCGTACTCGCATACCCACGTATCCCATGTCCGATGCCAAATCCCCCATCAAACATAGCGTACGTAAATAAATTCCGCTTACCAAATGCCACACAAGCACCTACAAGCCTCACGCGCCCTGTGCCTTCGCATACCGCTCCTCCGCTGAATAATCGCGGGACGAGCGATGAGAAGAGCAAATAGCGTGCTGGCTAGACGCACGTAGGAAAATGATCAGCAAAACGGATTGTGACGCGTGGGTGTCTCCGCGCAGTTCATGGCGTTGTGATATGGAGTACATATCCCCATTTGAAGCGGTGATGTTTCCTGTTTGTTGATGGAGAGTAGCATCAGCTTTCCTCTTTCCTACTTCCTACTTGCTTCTTTCCAGTTTGGAATTGAGGGAGTTGCCAAGATCGGACATCGATTTCTGGATTCGACTTTGACTACGGGTGCAGCGTAATTGCCAAGATATCAAGCTTCGTAGATAAGCTCTTCCTTCTAGAAGCATGTCGGCGCCTTGGTCAGAACCCGCCCCGCGAAGGAAGGCCAATTACAAAGTCCGCTTTCGGCATGGTGTGTATCCTGATCTGGAAAGCCAGGCTACTAGGGCGGACATCAAGAAGTACGACTACTTCTTTGGTGCGGCGCAGAGATGGGTTGGTACACCGGGAACATGTAAGTGCCGTTCATGGGGTGGTCTTGTCGGGTCGATGGAGTGTGCTAATAACTTTGTTGTAGTGGACTTTGTCGATGAGTCGTCTCTCGTAGCTGAAGAGTTCGAGGGCCCCGGAAGTGCTGATCGAAGGAAGACACCGAAACATCTGGTTCGCTCCAGAACGGCTGAAAAGATACCCCAGTCGGTATCGAGGAAAAGCCCGCAAGCAAGAGAGCGACATATGCGCACGACGAGTCGAAGCTGGAATGATCGAGTGCTCATACCCGCAGCACCACAGACCACGCCCGACCTATGGCAGCTTCCGTCGCATGTCCGGCGACACACAAGCCCAGCACCAGGCTCTGTCTCAAGTCTTTCCAGCCTTGATGAGCCCCTACCTGGAGCCTGGCGCTCTGATATCCCCTCACCACACCCATTCATTCCAACCAACCAAGCTTTACTGGTAGCATGGCCGATACCTGACCCTATCGAAGCGTATCTCTTTCGATTCTGGGTAGAGAAAGCATCGGACGCGCTAGACATAACAAGTCCCTCTAGTATCTTCAAGAACATCGTCCCAAAGCTCGCATTGACAAGTCCGATGCTCATGAACGCCATCTTGATGATTTCCGGACAGTGCATACTGCGCTTCGATCGGTATTTCCCCACCAGACCGTACGACTACCATGAAAGGCTATTGCAGAGTCTTATACCGTATATTGCCGAGAAGGGACAAATCGAGGACGAGGCGACGCTGGTGGCCGCCATGCTGCTGCGAAACTTTGAGGACTTCCATGGTACGTGAACACGAGAAGAGTTGCGTGGCCATCAGCTGACATTCGGATAGCGGGTACACAGGGGCAATCGCATCTCTCGACGTTTGAACTCTTCTATGGTCCCGAAGGCTGGGTTTTCGACATGTCTAGTCCGGTTGTGCAAGCCGCTCTGGTACTCCACGTACATACTGAAGTCAGCCAGGCATTGCTCAACCAACCCAGTCTGCGCATTGACTATGAAAACTTTATCTTGCCAGCTTTAGTGTCGCCAGTTGACGAGGTTTCGTGGAGTAATCGCATATTATGGCTCAGTGCACGCATCCTGCAGTGGGCTCAGAGAGGCGTACGGACAATGGCCGAGTGGCAGTATCTTCGCAGTCTGGTCGACGAGTGGGAGAGAAGGCGCCCTGCAAGCTTCGACGCCTTCTTCTACCAAGAAGGCAATCCACATTCCGTCGGGGGATCTCCAGAGCTGTGGTTCTCTGGTGCTTGTCATGGTGAGTTAAATCGTCCGTTAGCTCACGGACTGTTCATTAACGGGAGGCAGCGGAGGCGAACCAGCAGCTGCGAATATGTCGCATTACACTTGCGATTTACAATCCAGGAATGAATGCGCAAGGCGTACACGGGATCGTAGTTGCAGATTCTGCACATGGTGAAGCCTTGAGAATTTTGAGAGAGATGATAGCTATCGCTCGGTGCAATGCTCATTGTATTTCTGCGCAATGGGATGCTGCGTATACGGTACATAAGTTTGGTTCCGTACTGCAAGATAATCAGGATCGATGCAAGATGGTCGAATTTCTAGAAGAGGTGCAGGCCACAGGCATGCCGACACGCACGTCGGTTGAGCATCTCAAAGAGCATTGGAACTGGAGATGGAATCATAACGCAGGAGAAATGAATTGATTCCCAAAGAGCGAGCATGCGGTCGTCACCAACATCACCTGGTCAGTGACCCAGCAAGCCACAGACTGCCCATGGCCACACCCAGGAAGGTGATGAGAATGATCCTGCCCTTTCCGGTAAGAGCGAGGTAGGATAGGACGCCGACGATAAGCTCCCACCGTCGAGCTGCATCCCTCCGAGCTTTCCATTGTGGGTTAACGTCAAAGGGTGGCCTGGAAAGAACGTCGTTCACGCCCATCTTGATAGGCTTATCATCGACGCGCACAGATAGAGCCACCGGTCGATGGTCGGATGTCGGCTGTACGGGCAAGGCGGTGTAGATTTGCGGTTCAAGATCTGTTGAAGATACAGACGGGAGGTAGAGGATTCGGTCGCACCATGATGGATATCGATGTTTCGACCACTCCCACGAATCATCCTCTCCAGATCGCTTGGGCGCGTTGGAATTTTTGCCATGTGAGGTGGAGTACTTGTATGTAGGAGGGAAGTTGATAGGCAGTTCTTGGAAACCATGCAGGGTGCGTTTAGCGTCTTTTTCTCTTATCAGTTGGTCCTTCTTCAGCAGATGTGAGTAGTGGGTTGGAGAAGACTCGGACGCTGTCGGTTGCGGATAGGATTGATGCGCTCCCTCTTCTGGCGGGCTATCGTGTGTGCGGTAATTCAAGTCGCCGTAGAAGAAAACGTGGTTACCAGGTGTGAAGAGACCGTTGTGGTCTGCCGGGGTCTCAGACGAGGGACCAAGCAGCGGTCGTTCTTCGCTTGAGCTGTAAGGGGAGTCGTCGTTGTTTACGAAGACCAAGTTCCGCACCAGATTCTCCCAGTCTTTGTTCCGTGCGTCGACATTGCTCTCCATAGGCGCAAGATGGGCAGCCGCAAAGGTGAGGTCTAGGGTATCTTCAGAGTCTGGGCACGAGAAGCCGACGCGCATGGCGACGGCGCCCTTGTTGCCCATGTTGGAGAAGCCGACACCAGCCCCTGCCGACTGTATCCATTGTATCCTCTGTATGACGTCGGGTTTGGCGAAGAGCATCAGGGCCGTCATGCCCAGGCTGCGCGTCGCAATGTGTTCGAGTGAGTCGCTGCCATTGCTGCGGAGGTCGGCGGCAAGCTGGACAGTCGTGGTCACGCGGTCAAAGTAGGGCTTCAGATAGGAGCCTCCGAGGAACGAGTAGGCAATGGGCGCAATCTCCTGCAGGGATATGGCGACGATGTCGGGCAGAGGCGTGTCTTTGGGGAGGGCGTCGAAGAAGGAAGGCGCGAGGGACTGGGGATCGACGAGGTTGCGCGCGGCATTGAAGGTGAGGAGGTAAAGTTCAAACATGATTGATCACGAGGCTGTCGTGTCGCTGGAGACGCGTCCGTCAGCACAATCTCGGCTTGTTGAGGGCGATCACGATGTGGCACCAAGGATGACGAGGGCGGGGAAGGTCCAAACGAGGGCTTGGAAGGTACGAACAGAGTTATTGCTGGAATTAACAACACACGTAAGACGTCTACAGTACAGGTAATCTCATGCACGGGGATGGTGGTGGTGCACCCGTGGACGCGTCTGGTGGCAGGCAAATGGCTGCAGCGTGGGGTAGCAGGCGGTCAGGATTTGCTGAGCTGCGGTAGTGCGGAGAGGATAAACGGTTAGGGCGGCTCCACTGAGCGCTCTGGAGGTGGAGTGCCAACCGCGACGGCGTGTGATTTCAATGGAGACAACGAACGAGACAGGCCAGGATGCAGTGTGCGGACACTGCGGAGGTGGGAGTGCATGCGGGATGGCCTCGCCAAATCCTGGCCCTGCATAGACCTGTCGTCAGAGGCGTCCGTCAACAAAACGCGGTGGGGGAAAAGCTCAAGCTCTTGGAAGGACCGAAATTGTTTGCCAGCTGCTTGGGCATCGTGAGCTTCACTCCCAACCTCACTTGATTCTTCCTCTTCATTTCCCACTTCTTGCCCTGTTCTAGCTTGCTTCCTTCCTGAGTAGTATCACATTGACTCGAGAGCCTTCTAGAATCACCCCAGATAATCTACTTTACCTCGACGCCTACTTTCTCTTCCTAATTCAGAGCGTCTCTCTAACACCCGCGACACCCAATTGAATTGGGCATCCTACCACAGCCATGTTCAGGTCTCAGGTTTTCCGTCAAGTCGCACGCGCAGCCAGAGCCCAAGCTCCCCGTGCCGCCTTCAGACCAGCACAGTCAGCTATTTCCTCACAGCGACATTTCACGTCCTCGCCTAGTCGCTTCGACAAGGACTCCTCCAACGAGGATGATGTCAACGCTGCAACCACATCGGGCGAGCCTGGTGAGAGTGGGGAGCACGAGGGTCAGTATGCACGTACCCGAGACGACATTGTCGTCGAGTACCCAGAAGAGAAGGACCTGCCGCCTTCCAACCCCGTCGTGGGTCGAGGAGGGGAGCACTTCAAGCGCACCCTGGCTTCATTCTCCATGGAGGGCAAGGTCGCTGTCGTCACTGGTGGAGCTCGAGGTCTGGGTCTAGTCATGGCGCAGGCGTTGGTGACCTCTGGAGCCGACGTAGCCATTGTCGACATGAACAAGGAAGAGGGTGAGCGGTCAGCCAAGGGTCTTCTCGATATCTTCAAGAAGGAGAACCCCGGCTCCAGCAGGTAAAAAATTCATATGCCAAAACAGCGACCTCAACTAAGTCGAGACAGGGTTCCCAAGGTTACAGCACATTTCTGCGACGTCTCGAGCCCGACGTCGGTTAACCAATCTTTTGCCGAGATTCTGAAGAAGCACGGCAAGGTCGACAACCTCGTTACATCGGCTGGCTTCACCGAGAACTACGATGCCATCTCCTACCCCCATGACCGCATACAGAAGCTTTGGGGAGTCAACGTTGACGGTACCTACCTGTACTCTGTGGCAGTCGCGAAGCATCTCATGGAGAGGAAGGTACCGGGCAGCATCGTCATGATCGGTAGCATGTCCGGAGCCATTGTCAACGTACCGCAGCCACAGGCTCCGTACAACGCCGCCAAGGCAGCTGTCAGACACCTGGCCTCCAGTTTGGCGGTTGAATGGGCTGGTGCGGGCATTCGTGTCAACTGCATTTCGCCTGGATACATGCTTACTGCGCTGTAAGTACACAGAGAGACGAAGATTGCGCAGATGCTAACGAAGTTGTAGCACCAAGAAGATTCTTGACGACAACCCGGATCTTCAGAAGCAGTGGACTTCTCTCATTCCCGTTGGTAAGATGGGACGTCCTGAGGATTTGATGGGTGCCGTCACCTTCTTGTCTAGTGACGCGAGTTCCTACGTTACTGTAAGTCATGTTCGGCCGCACAGATGAGCAACAACTGACCAAACACAGGGTGCCGATCTCCGAGTTGACGGAGCCTACACATGCACTTAAGCCAGGGCTGACAGGGGAGTAACGTGGGCGAGAGCGCAAGAATGTATGATAGGGTGAAGAAGTCCACCAGCTGGAGTGATAGTTTGCACAGTCTGGCGACTCAAGGCGATGTGGTAGCTTCAATAATAGTATGAGAAATCTTCAAATAATCAACCATTGACAAAGACACGACCCATTCCCGTTTCTGTCCGCGTGAACTTTGCTCTTACATTGTCTTTGAAATTGGCGGGTGCGTCATAGTCTTAGGCAGATCATGATAAAGCTGCCCAGCGCGTGTCTTAGTCATCCCCGTTCTCAGCCTCTTTGTGGCCGTGCGACTCCACCAACACCAGCCCTGCATAAAGCTCCAGTCCCTCTAAGGCGCTTCACGAGGGCTAATCTAGTCGCGTCATGTGGCATAAACAGTCACACAATACAACATAACCCACCCTCACTCTGCTTCTTTGGCCGGCCCGAAGCCATGTTCAACATCTCGAATTTGGTGCAGAAGGCGCAGCAATACATCGAACCCACGCTCAACACCATAGCCGCGCCCGCATCGTCAGACCGCCGACCCTCCAAAGCCACACTCTTCCGCTACCAATTCCGCCTACCCGACTCGCAGAACCCCCTCCAAGAGATTACCGCCGAGCTTACCCTCCAACCCCACCATTCCACGAGGGGCCCCGGCGATGTCACATCGGAGAAGGAGCGCAGCCAGGGCAACCACTATGTCGGCAAGCTGCACCTGAGCGAGCAGTATCTCTGCTTCTCCACACAGGGCTCAAGCTTCGCCAATACCGCTAGCCTCAGCTCATCGAGCAGCTTCACCGGGCAGACTCATGGGGCGGGACCTGCGGGCAATGGTTTCACGTTACCACTATGCGGCATACGGCGGGTGGAGCGACTGCATAGTCAGAGCTACATGTTCGCGCTGGCGATTACAACGTGGAACGGCATACCAGACTCGAAATCGCAGGTACCTGCTGGTCAGAAGCTCACGATTCAGCTGGCGGGGTCTCGACAGGCATGCGAACGCTTTTGCGATGCTCTCAAGAAGGGGCTGAGAGAAGGCGTCAAGGAGGTAGACAATCTGCGCAAAGTAGTGGGGCAATGCTACTCGGAGTATCTTCTCACAGACGCCGAGCAGAAGAAGGCCGGAGACGATGGCAAACAAGCGCGGGAACACCCAGATACCGGCCTAGGCATGATCTTCAAATATCCAGGCAACGCGCGGAAGCTGAGGGATGCGACAAAGATACGGCTATGGCGCGAGTATCTTAGAGGTACGACCACCGAGCCCACGCAACGATATTACTAACGTGCAGCAGATAATGGCCGAAGTGCGACTCTCATCCGACAACCTACTTTCCACAAGCTCATTCGCGTCGGTCTGCCGAATCGGTTGCGAGGCGAGATGTGGGAGCTCACATCGGGCGCCTTCTTCCTGCGCCTGCAGAACCCGAACCTCTATACCCAGACCCTAGCAAAGTTCTCCGGGCGAGAGTCGTTAGCGATCGATGAGATTGAGAAGGACCTTAACAGGAGTCTGCCGGAGTATCCAGGCTTTCAGTCCGAAGAGGGAATCGGCCGACTCCGACGAGTCTTGACGGCATACAGCTGGACAAACGAGGAGGTTGGCTACTGCCAGGCGATGAACATTGTGGTCGCAGCACTGCTGATGTATGTTTACCCCTTGATATACAGCTGCTTATGTCTAACGAACCAAGATACATGTCCGAGACTCAGGCCTTTTTCCTCCTATCCGTGCTGTGTGACCGCCTCCTGCCCGGCTACTACTCACAAACCATGTACGGCACCTTGCTGGACCAAAAGGTCTTCGAATCACTCGTCGAAAAGACGATGCCCATACTATGGGATCATCTGGTCAAATCAGACGTGCAGTTGTCCGTTGTTTCTCTACCTTGGTTTCTCTCGCTCTATATCAACTCTATGCCTCTAATCTTTGCTTTCCGCGTTCTTGATGTTTTCTTCCTCGAAGGCCCAAAGGTTCTCTTCCAAATCGGTTTAGCTATTCTGCGCATCAATGGCGAGGAACTACTTGATGCTACAGATGACGGCACCTTCATCTCAGTCTTGAAGTCGTACTTCTCAAGGCTCGACGAGTCTGCCCACCCGAAATCAGAGAACCCAAAGCTGCGAGCAGTCACTCGATTCCAGGAGCTCATGGTGGTCGCGTTCAAAGAATTTGCGGGCATCACACAGAATACCATCTCCGAGCAGCGTGCGAAGCACAAGGATGCCGTACTTGAGAATATCGAAAACTTCGCCAAGCGTACTTCAATACGTAACCTCGGTCCCGATAGCAAGAAGTTGAGTGTGAATGATCTTGGGTTCTTGTACGACAAATTCTACGCCGTGTTGTACGAGCGACAACAAAGAGCTGAGATAATGCAACAAGAAGCCGAGCGCAAGGCAAAGGCCAGCAGGATGAGAGCGACAGAAGTTGTGATGGGTACATCTGGAAACGCGGAGAAGGGTCGTGTGGCACTTGGACCTAGCCCTACCCAGATGGACTACGATGCCTTTAGAGAGTTCCTAGCTGGTAAGTCATGCGGTGTCAATATCATGTACGCACGCTTACAGTGATACAGGCATCGCAAAGTGGGCAATTACTGACTCACCGAGCTCACCACCCGAGGGTAGTGGCACTCAGTCTCCGCACTCGTACTTTGGAAACAGCATGAGGAAACGCCCCCCGATGTCACCATGGGGCTCAGGACCGGAGCCAGCGGACCATGAGTTCATGCGACGCTTGTTCCGGCGTTGGGATGTGGACATGACCGACTCGTTATCGCTACAGAATGTCGTCACTGGTTTCGCGCATGTCAAAGGCACGAAGGACATCATGTCCAACATCAGCTACTTTTTCGAGTTATACGATGACGACGGCGATGGCAGAGTAGATCGTGAGGGTATTTTGAGAATTTCCGAAGCTCTTCTTTTCCTGTCGAGGCGAGGCGTCCACGACCCAAGCCCGGCTGCCTCGTCACTGGACGTAAGCTCGGAGGCAGGTTCAGAACGCATCGGTCGCGACGAACAATTCTTAAGTAGCGTTTCTGCCTTCATTCGGCATTGCTTCGAATATGCCGACCCCGATCACCCTTCCAATCAGTCAAATAAGGCCGTCGAACAGGTCTCAGAGGAGGTTGACAACTTCGCAATTGGTGACGACGAGGAAGATGACTTGATAGACTTCGGATCTGAGCCAGCAACACCAAAAGCCACAGCAACCACGTTCGAGAAGTCGGACCAGAATCCAATGTCTCCAACACCATCAAATCATACCACTGAATCAGAGGTTGCAGAACGCAACGACAAGGCGAAGTCGGCGAACCTTGCGCTCGATCCAAACAAGCCTCTTCACATAACACTACCTACTTTCCGCATGGTCATTCTCGCCGATGACGCATTGCTGAATTTCTTCGAAGTCGGCTTCTCGTCGTCTTTCCGTCTGGCCGATGAGACGCTATCCTCGGGTTCCAGCTTCCACAACCTCACCACTTTCGCCAATGCTGGAAGGCAAGGCGGCGGAGGTGGAGGGTTGGGTGGTGTCGTTGGTGGTGCTGGCGCTGGTGTTGTGCCACCTGGCAAAGGCCTACGAGGCATGCTTGACAACATCGTCAACGACGGAATGCGCGTCGCAACCGAAGTCAGGAGACGATACGACGAAGCGCAAAAGGAGCTGGATAAGGAAGCTCGACACGGACGAGATGACGACGACGATGATGAGGAGGTTGATGCGAAAGACCTGGATCTACTGGAGGGTGCAGAAACGGTGGATGTGGGTGCGTCGAAAGGAGAAGCCCCACTGGACCTACTGTCACCGACGGGTACTGGGGAAGAGATCAAACCGACCAGGAACCGGTCGGCTAGTGATGCGAGTAGAAGAGTGCTGGAGTTTGAGCGGTAGCATTATTTGACTAGCATGAGTGATCTCCTTGGAGTTTAGGATTATCTCAAGACCTTGCTTGTTCTGGTCTCTTTTGGCTAGACTCATGTATGAAACGTTCAAAGTTATTTTCTGTGCACCGAGGTGGACGATATTGCTAACGAGAGAAAGCCAGGGTGTGCTTGACGCTGAACAAAGTCGCATGACAACGTCTGCATGTAATCGGAAGAGGTAAGTTTGTGTAACATTGCAACGCCTGTATTTAAGCGTAAGCGGCGACGTACCATCGTTGATACCACCATAAGCATCAAACCCAACTTCATCCTCTCACTAAGCGCACGTTTACAACCAACTTCAAGCACAGGAGATCCTGCAACCACCTTGACATCATGCTACATGCAAACATTCTCGCAGCAGCCCTCATCGGCTTCCTCTCCAACAGCACAGCCATCCCAACCAACCCCTTCCATAAAATCGCATTCGACCTAGACTACATCGGTCGCGCACGCCAGACATCCCTCATAGAGGAAACAACACGCATTGTCTACGGGGAGAAGGAAGTGAAAGTCAATGTTGCAATCTGGAATATGCATATACCCGAATCGCACTATTTCCACGATATACTGGAGACGGGTCTGCAGCCCATGGGCAGGGGAGGTGGGTTCCGCGTTGTGGTTTTCACAGGGAGGGGGTGGCTTGAATATAGAGGAGGGAGGGAGAAGGGAGATTGGAGGTTCAGTGGGAACTATGTGGTAGATGGTGGTGTTGTGAAGTTTAGGGATGTGGGTGGTGAGGGGTGGTGGGGTTGGCTGAGGAGGATGGGGAATGGATGGAAGGATGGTGATAGGAATGAACTGTGACCAGCTCGACGAAGCGTCGGTGTAGTCTGAAATACAAGGAAGCTGCATAGTGATACTCGCTGACATTTGACTACACAATATTACACAGTATGCTAAGTTTTAGAGAGAGAGAGAGAACCGCTAGCAGCTATCCGACGTCAACCGCGTTCGTGTGTTCAGCTCTCCACAGCTACCCCGCAAGTCTCGTACCTGGCCCGCGGCTCAGTTCCGAACGAAGCTCACTAACACCAGCTTTCTCCACACCAAGCATATCCCACGATGCACGCGTATTCTTCCTTACTTCCAATGCATTTCGCGTGTGAAGATGCTCCGGTCGCTCTTTGCTCGTACTGCAAGGTCCCGTAGATCTGCTTACTGCGCGCGACGAGGTCTACTTACGCAGGCATACAGCGTCGGACCCACTGAGGCATGTTTCAAGCTTCCCGATGATGTGATGGTGGAGACTGACAGTACGACAGCCGCCATTGCTGGAGAAGACGGTGCCGCAGCACTTTGACGAAGTTGTGAGGCAATACGGTGACCGTAACGCGTATGTGCCGAGTGAATCAAGCTCCAGGGACGCGTTGCTAAAACTCATATAGAGTGATATCACACCATCAACGTATACGCCTGACTTATGATGCGCTCGATCGCGACTCGAATAGGCTTGCCAGGGGACTGCAGAAGCTCGGCGTGAAGAAAGGGGAAAGAGTCGCCGTAAGCTTGGGGAACAATGCTGAGTTCGCTACTGTATGTTGCAAGTATGGTCAAGGAGCATAGTCGCTGATCAGAGGAAAGCTCACGTACGCGCTGTTCAAACTGGGAGCGATACTGGTATGTAGCCAACCGGCTAGAAGCATGGGTACTAGCAGCTAACAGCTACACAGGTGCCACTGAATCCCTCGTTCAACGCACCCCAAGTCCTCAACGCGATCAATCACCTAGATGCCGCGCATCTCATCATCGGAGCCGAAACGAATCTCCCGCGTAAAGACCCACGATCCAATATCTCGCTCCTCACACATTTGATACCCAACCTCGCCGGCTCGACCCTCGAATCCGAACTCGTCCCGTCATTGCAGAACGTCATACTGGTAGACAACTCGCAAGGCAGGGTGGACCTGGGAGATTACAGGTGTCTGAAGAGATACGAGCACGTCGTTGAAGATGGTGCTCAGGACAACGCGTTTGAAGATCAAGGATTGCATCCGGATGACATCGTCAATGTCCAATTTACGTCTGGCACCACAAGCATGCCGAAAGCTGCGTGCTTGAGTCATAAGAGTATCTTGAACAACGGAAATAGCATTGGCGACAGGATGCTATTAACGCCAGACGACGTTGTGTGCTGTCCGCCTCCGTTATTCCAGTAAGTCCTCACAGCAACTAACTGTCAACACCAACTGAATCCTTGTAGTTGCTTTGGATGCATTCTCGGATACATGGCCACAGCGACCCACGGCAGCGCCATCGTCTTTCCAACCGAAGCCTTCAATGCCCTCGCCACACTCGAAGCCGTTCGCGAATACAAATGCACAGCACTCTATGGCGTCCCCACCATGTTCGTCGCTGAACTGGAGCTGCTAGCTCACGGTGCTGTTCCCAAAGATGGGTTTCAATACCTGCGTACCGGTATCGCGGCTGGCTCTGCGATTCCCTCGGAACTCATGCGCAAGCTGCACAAGAATCTGAACTTGACTGAGTTGACCATCTGCTACGGCATGACCGAGACCTCTCCTGTATCAGCCATGACCACCACGGACGACCCCATCGAAAAGCGCATCGATAGCGTCGGTCGTCTCCTCCCGCACGTTCGCGCCAAAGTTGTCAATCCGTCAGACTGGTCGCGCACCCTTGACGTAGGCCAACGCGGCGAACTCGCGGTATCAGGCTATCTCCTTATGAAAGGATATTGGGGTGATACAGCACGTACGGAAGAGGTTTTACAGCCGGATGAGGACGGAATGCTATGGATGCATACTGGTGACGAAGCTTCTATGGACGAAGAAGGATATATCAAGATTACTGGCAGGATAAAAGATCTGATCATCAAGGGAGGCGAGAACATCCACCCACTGGAGGTAGAGAATTGTCTCTTCGCTCATCCTGCTATCAGCGAGGTTAGTGTTGTGGGTCTACCGGACGAGCGGTACGGTGAGGTTGTCGCAGCTTTCGTGGTTACGCATGCTGGCGATGACGGAAAGGTGACCGCGGATGAGGTGCGAAGCTGGGTTAGGGAGAAGCTAAGCCATCACTTAGGTAAGTCCATGCGCCCCAGGATCTTGAAACGTAAGCCCTGGGTCCGCCTAGAAACGATGCTGACTTCACGATCTAGTACCCAAGTACGTCTTTTGGGTAGACAACTACCCCAAAACTGCCAGTGGAAAGATCCAGAAATTCAAGCTAAAAGAGCGAGGGATTGCGCTCTTGCAGGAAGGCAAAGGACTAATCTAATGCTCTGTGCGCCTTGTGCCCTGCAATAAAAAACATACTTCTTCTGACTGCTGTGGGTATCATGGATCTGATGACTAATTCGCAACAGAGACTTTGACAAATTGCAGGCCCTGCAACAAAATCATTATTGGTAGTGATTGTCACTAACCGAGACCTTTACAAATCTGTTCTTAGCTAGGAACATGTGATTAACAAGGATCCTGATGTATAGTACTTTACACGAGGGAGATGTGTGGGTCGGCTCAACATGCTGCATTCAGGTGCGTAAGCCTCGCAGCTTTGTACTATCTTGGTTTCCTAACGCGGCCAAGGGCATCTGCACGCAAAATTTGATACCCGCGTTTTGGACCATTCTTGGACGAAGAAGCGAAGCTTAGGATAAGGTTTGCAAGCTTGTAGGTCGACTTGCGCCGGGTGCGTGGGTCATTCGCTTCAGCCCTTTTGGATGCATGAGGCGCGCCCTACAACGCACTCGCACGCATAACTTTCGATCTCTAACCGTGCCTTTCTTACACGCCGGACTATCTGGTTTCTAATACTCACGTGCTAGTTATACATTACATTATTCGCTCTTGGCACCTCATTCTGTATAAGAGTGCGTAGGTTGGCTAACTTTCGAAGCTCAACTGCTGTTAGCGTGGAAACGTACAAATACACCTCGTGCGAATCAGAATCTACTTCCTCGTCAACATCACAACCAAACCCTCCGCCTCCTCTTTTGCAAGATCATCCCACTAAGTCATTATCTCAACACACGCGACCATGTCCAAATCAGCAACAAACACCAAGACGCCTACTCCCTCCAACCCCTCCTCTCTGAAACTCCGCTATGAGATCCGTAAACTAGAACCCAAACATCTCCCCTGGGCCACCGCCATCCTAGCCCACAGCCACGGTTTCCACTCCTCCATCTGGCAGCACATCTGGCCCGACCAAGCACTCGGTCGCTGGACGCTAACGAGCGCCACAAAGCTCGAGTACCTCGTAGCTCACCAAATTGACTCTGGTCTCTCCTACGGCGTCTTCGACACAGAGTACAAGTTCAGAAACGCAGAGGCAAAAGAAGCAGGCGGGAAATTATTCTGGGATGTCAACGAACCGGAGGAAAACAGCGTGGAGCAAACCCAAGGGCGGAAAGCAGAGGGCTTGAGACTACTCCGCCAGATGGACTTCCCATTGGTTAGCATAGCGTTGTCGTATGATGGCTTTGTCCCTCTTGATCCCGTCAAGATGGGCCCCGTTCTCGACGCGATACCGGAATACGCTCTGCTGTTTCGTATTTTGGAGGAGCGCGACCCGAGGGATCCGGCTGAGTGGAAGGCCACAGCGCCCGGTCAGGTGCTCATGCGTAATGCGACGTCTACACGCCATGACTACGAGGGCGAGGGTGTTGCGTCTGGGATAGCGCGTTGGTTGAGGCGCGAGGCCAAGTTGATGGGGTTTAGAGGTATTCAGATTGAGTGTATTGCGGATGCTGTGACGCATCTTTGGAGTGATGGCGTGGAAGAGCCGTTTAAGGGGAGGTTGATTAGTGAGTTTGATACGCAGACTTGGGAGGATGAGAATGGAGAGAAGCCGTTTGGGTTGGCGAGGCAGAGGTGTACTAAGTGTTGGGTTGATTTGTAAGCTGGTGGTAGATGAGAGGACGAGAAGGTAATGGATTCGGATTTGAACACCCTAACGGTCGCTCATTTAGATCATGCTGCGTGGAAGCGTCCTCTGTTGGTACTGAGTGATAAGACCTCTGACGTCAGTGGTCTATATCAGCCGACGGCACAGTCAAGAACTGCAACCCTTTCTGAATCACAATCAAACTTTGTTCTCACGTTACACGTGACCTTTGAAGCACTTGAAAGACCGTAGTAACTTCGATACCCAGCAACGTCGACAAAATGACCGATATTCGTCCGCGGGCTGAAGCCGAGCTTCACGCTACAAGAACATGTTACCTCTCAAACGACCCTGTCTTCTTTCTAGTCCTCATCATCGCAGAGTACAACTTCAAAGAGGGAGTGATATACCTCCAAGATGGTTTCGCAGGCTCGAAGGTTTACCGGTCCATGAACTGCGGCCGATTCATCCAGTGCTTTGACAACGAGTCGGGCGAAGAAGTTGAAGTCGTGCGCCAAGGCACGGAACCAGTTCTCTTTCGTGAAGACCAAAGCGAAATCATCTTTACGACAGGGAAGCCCAGTAAATCCTGCGAAATGCCTTTCATTACTACTGCTCTCCGACCAGAGAGGAAGTACAGGCTGTGCTTCAAACCGACAACTCCGATTTCGCATTGGCCAGTCAGCGCGGTGAATACTTCAACCTCTCTTGCAAGAAGCCCGGACGGTTCGCTATCTGCGTCTGAACTTCCCACACCAGCTACACCGACTATACCCTGGAACGCTGCCAATGGCAACGACATGATCGTCTTTGAGACCCGAAGTTCGCGACCGAAGACACCAAAGGTCACTGTCTCTCTATCAGCACCATCGACATACTCCCTTTCCTCGACCTCCAAGAAATTCACATTCACGCTCGCCTTCTCGACGGATGCCGCGTATCCCTTCACAATCCACGCAGATCGCGCATGGGTCAAGACTCTTCAATCCGACGTGGCAATCCTCAACGCAACCACGCGACGCAAGCTCGAACCCTACACAGAAATCTGCCGCGACCATTACGAGATCGAAAGGCACGAGTTCATACGATTCGAAAAGACGTACACCGAACACCGAGAGCTAGATTTTAGAGGCAGGAAGATGGACAGATTGAAGCTTGAGGTTGGGAAGGAGTATATACTCTGCCATTTGGGCGGATCGTGGTGGTGGACGGAGGATACGGTCGATGAAGTTATGGAATATCTGGCTTCTTGGAGCAGCGCGGGTCTGGAGGTGGGTACGAAAGTCGAGTTTGAGGGCGCGGGTGAAGTGAAGTTCACGGTGGTGGGGTGATGAGATTTTGAAGGTAGATGAGCATACGGTTAAACTCTAGGTTCACTTCAACATGTAGTACGATTCTAGATTCAGGTAGCTGCGTAAAATAACTGCGCAGTCACAAAAAAAAGAATGAAGAGCGTGTAACCGTCAATACACTGGCACAGTCCATTGCTCGAGCAACACATCGACGATGTCTCTGTCCACCGAACTCCAAGCAATCCCAGTCTCCATCATCTCCTCATTCTCCCCTTGCTGTAACGTTATGTCAGCAGCATCCTTGGAACAGTGCTCATCCTCATCCTTCCCTAAACGACGTCTTTTTCTCGACGAACGCTGGTCTATCCTAGAGTCGATGGTGCTACGCTGTCGCTGCCTGCCGACTCTTCTGTCTCCGCTGGGCTTGAAGCTTTCTTCTCTAGGTGAGTCCCTGGCATCAGACTCCGCAAATTCTGAAAATTTAATGTGCCGGGAACGAACGCCTGGTAGTGGTAGTGGGCTGGTGAGCCCAATTCCAGTTTGAAACCCCTCAAGGCGTTGGGCAACGTTCGTTTCGCAGCAGATCTTACTGGAAATCTCTTCCTGTTCAGCGTTCCGCTTTACGCAGCTGCCACACGGAGATCTAGGATCACACTGCAGTCAGTTAGTACAGAAATGGCAATGTGAGTTCTCTTTACTTTACCTTCAGCTTGAGGCTTTGACAGTTTTTACAAGCTCCTAATCTGCGCATTCCAGTAGCGTTGCGCTTTTGTTCTGCCGTCAACGCGAGTTTCCGGCCGCGCTTCTTTGGATATACTCCTGTCTCTACGTCCTCTACATCCAGCAAACCATCGATAAATGAAGATGTATCCGGCTCTTGGCTCGCCTGCTTTCCGAACATATCCGGACTATGCCCAACACGGCCTGACATCAAATCGCTGAGCTTATTGGAGATGCGATGCTTCCCTCGTTCGTGAGTGTCTTCTCGCGTATGAGTCGTATGAAATGCGGAAGTTGTGGTTGGCTCGTCGTCTCTGGTCCTCAATTGGCTGTCAATGTCTTGTTTCTGTTCAGAAGCTGATTTCCTTCTCCTTTTCTGACAATCTAAGAACATCAACTGATATTGATAGTCTTGCAAGGCAGTGTTACCGACCGGCGGTCGGGGTAAGAGAGCCGAATGTGCAGTCGGTATAGGAACTCGGGGACGTAGCGAGCTTTCGACACGCCTGTGTGATGACCGAGATGTTTCAGGCATCACAGGTCTGCTGTACGTGGGCACATAAAGACTAGACGTAGAGACTGGAGGCAGCATATGTCTGTTGAGCATGGGCATAGCAGGACTAGGCAGACTTTGATCAATACTCAGCATTGGCTGCATTGCAGCCTGTGACTGAGCTTGTGGCTGCTGCGCTTGAGCCTGTTGTTGAGCCATTGATTGCGCCTGCCTCTGCATCCGCGCCCACGTCTGCGCTAATGGTTCAGGGGACTGCTGAGCCGGTGCTGACTGTCCTTGATCAAGAATGGGTCCTTGTTGTTGACCAGACAGATCAAACGGAAGGTCTGAGGCTGCACTAAGAAGCGGCACTGGAGGATAAGGGGGCGTTTGGGCAGAGGGTGATGGAACTGGTTCGATCAAATCAGCAGATACAAGAGGCGGGTGCTGACAGCTCTGCATCGACGGTACGGCCTCGGGATTGTTTGCTTGCTGAGGCTCTGTATGTTGCTCTCCGAGAAAATCGAAATCAAGCAATGGAAACTGCGTGCTCTCCCCCGGAACCTGAAGAAAGCTTTCCAAGTCAAAACACTCCAAAGCACCCCCACTATCGTTTAAATCGAAGGAATCCTCAGCTCGCAACTCTCCGAAATTTGCGTCTTTCACACAAGATTTGATACCTGATTCGAACTTTCGGCAGAAGCGTTGATAAATCTTGTGCACGTGTCGCTTTTTATGTTTCTTGTCGGCATCAAAGTTCTTCTGTAGCATTGTGATACGCTTCAGTAGTTTCTTCACGTGGTCGGCTGCTTTTGCGAGTTCTTCGGTGGAGATGTATTCCTCATTGTCGTCACCCGACATTGTAGCGTCGCTGTCAGAAGTATCCGAATCATTCGCGGTCGAAAGATCGATGGTAATGGTGTCCTTCTGAGGCTTTGAGGGCTTCTCTAACGGAGGCAGCTCCATGACTGGAGCGTTGGCCATAAGCTCCAATGTTGGAACACGAGAGGCGATACTTGATCCTCGGAGAGTCTCTTCGTCATCGAGTGCGACATGGCAGAATCTATTTTCGAGGGCTTGTAGGCTTTTGAGTGAGTCCTGCTGTCGTTGGTGCAACTCGCGGATCTTGTCACGCTCTTCTTCCAAGACACTTTTCTCCACTCTTCTGTGGTGGTTGTCAGCTGCATTGTATGCATGACAGTGTGTTATCGGCTCACCCTCGCACCTGGCCTTGGGCTAGTTGCAAGACATGCAGCAAAAGCACAAGGCTGTTCTTCAAACTCTCGAGTCTCCTTCGGTTCAACTCGACCCGCTGTTCCTTCATCGGCCAAGCCAGCTTACCCATAACGCTCAAGCCCTTCTTTCCGTCCTTTCCAATTCGTCTCCTCTTTTCTACCATCTCTGAAACTTCGTCGAAAACACTTTGGCATTTTCTGATGATGTTATTAGCGTCTTGAATGGCCTTCTTCGACACGATTGACCCGGCCTCCTCGGACTCAAACACTCTGCCTACGCTCTCGAGCGCGTTCGACGTGAGCTCTACATCGTCGGCGATGTCCTTGACGTCTTGGTCTGCCCGCGCGGCTGAGTTCGTGAAGTTGTACAACGCGACGCTGAGCTTGGCGCCAGCCCCCGCGATCTGGATGATGCTAGCTGCGAGGCCCACGACTTCGGCCATCGTACGGTACTTGCTACGTGCGCATTACTTGTCCGCTCGAAAGTACCCCATCGCCATATGGCTAGGATGGAGCGCGAAGATAAGGGTGGGTCGAGTGGTAAAGTAGGGAGGCTGAGTGCCTGTATGACCCGCTCCGGCTGAGGCGCGGCTGCATGCTGTGAACATCCTGCCGTGGGGCTTGAAGCGAACGCGAATGTCGTCTCACATGCGATAATGTACAGCGCTGTGAACAATGCAGGCAAAGATGTTCACCGACATGATGGTGGTCACCAACTACGTAGTGCTTAGGTCCAGTGCAGAGGCAGGTGGCCCTCAGCAGGTGTGCCTGCCTGTCTCGATCCCTCGAAGCCGCACTTCCGCGTTGCACCACCAAATCACAGAAGCCGACCAAGCTCCATCTTATTGCAACAAATCGCGAACGTTAGTAGCACAAGTTACACTTGTTACTTTGGCAATGATGCATTCGGCCAAGAGATCGATGGGCAAGCAGCTCTCTTCGATATCATCCCGGCACCAGGGGTTGTCACTATTTGTGTCGCATTCTACCAAGATAAAGACACTACTTAGGTAGAACTCTACATTGATATAGAGACTATTTATTCATAACGATTTCACTGCAAATGCGACTCGAATTCTAGCCATTACTGATGCCGGCTGAGCTTCTCTCAACGATACACTCGACTATTGGCAGAGGTACGAAGGAATTAGGAGGTCACACAGTGTAGGGACTTTGGAAAGGCGAATTCGGTCTGGCGCATCATGCAAGGCGTGAATGATATAGACATTATATTTTGGCTCTAAGTGCTGGGTATATGACATTAGCATCGCGATGCAACAGTAATACATGTTACTCGGCCAAACGCTCAATTGAGCACCGCTATACACCATCTCCTCACCTAGTGTGTACAAGTTCGGGTGTTTGCTGATAGTAATCCTGTTGTCCGTTGCCATAGCCGTATGTTGTACGTTGTTGCATAACAGGCGCATACAACTGCTCTGGCTTCTCAACTGTCTGGTTCCACGAGTTGTGTTTGCCAATGCACAACAGGATTACGAAAACCAGAACTCGAGCCAAGCCGGAAATAAAAGATAAGGCAAGGAATATGTTGTTGCCAAGTATGATAGGCCAGAAATAGTAGGAGCTGAAGACAATTCCTAATGTAGCTTGAATGAATAGGGCGACGTAAAGGGCGGTGGTCCACCCCTTGAGGTCCTACGGATGGGTTAGTGGATGTTTCAGTAGGCAACATTCGTCCTGAACTTACACCTCCGGGTAGACGTCTCGACCTTAATGCGGAAATGTTCGACAGCGAGACAGCCGCCGCGATGATGACGCTAATCATCCACAAGATATCACAGGCAAGTTCGAGGCCTTGTGAGATGGTTGCCTCCAGAGCGATTTCGGTGCCCAGGTATGAGTCACTCACTGTGACGTAGCTGTCTAGAGCCATGTTCGCGATGATGACTGCGAGCATGACCCCAATGACGATCCGAAGTACAGTCTTGGTTCCGGATGATGACGATGTCCCAAGTTGCTTGAGCAGCATGGAGTTCAGAACGTAGACGAACACCAATAGTAGCGCCCAATCGGCCAAGCTGGACATGACTCTTGAGGCAACTATTACATTGAAATAATCAACCACGTTCAAATCACTACACTCGTACATCACATCGCTTACGAGAGACATAATGCGCGAGCTTAGCAATGTCAGCGCATCTGCAATGTTCGGCCAGTGCTCTAAACTTACACAACTTCGAGGAATACTGCGATGACAAAGGGTACTCCGATCACCTTCTTTCCGACACCGCTTCTTCTGCGAACGAAGAATACCGAGACGAAGATTCCAATAAATAGGACCATGAACAGCACATAATATGCGAGAGCTGCTTGGCGATAGGGTGTAGAGTATGCGTCTGGACAGGAAAACGAGCTGTACCCGCCGCCGCCACCGCCGCCGCGTCTTGGTGCCATAACGAATGCCGTGCGATGCTTCAAAACCGAGACGAAGCTCAGATGCTGAAAAGGTCCCGGGTTGGAGTTTCCAGGGGTAATGGGGCGTAGGTTGGTATGGAACTGGTGCTGAAATATGAGGTTCGTGAGCATCAGCTCACGGCGGCCTCATGAGTATTTCAGCAATAATGGCTGCACGCTACAATTGCACTCAGCCGCGTTTTCAGATGACACAGCCTGCGGAATTCCCGTATTTTTCACTTTTGCAGGTTGAATCAGGGGTAATTGAGGCGTCGCTAAGCCTTTCAAAGCGTTTGTCGGGCGCCTTACTGTTCCACCTGGTTCGAAGCGAGAGTGCGCGAAATCCTGCGGACGCCTTGAAGCCGGGGTGGTAGAGCCTCAGCGCGTAGAAATACTATCCATCAAGACTCGAGCGCAGTGCATATGATGAAGCAAAGGACCAGGGCCTCGAAATGTCGTAATAGGCCATGTTCGCAAGATGACGGGTTGAGATGCGAATGGGAAGCTGGCTGCGGGCATCTCGCTTGTGAGGCAATTGGCGACCCCAATCCAAAGAGGGCCGGGCTGTGCTTGAAGTAGCAGCGGTCTGCGGGTAGTCCGGCTCTGCAGGCGGCTCAAGTGAGTGTCACATCGCAAAGTGGAACGATGCGGTGGCACGCCCAAGTGATCGCCCGAGCAATTCAGCCTTGCGGGTGGCTGAAGTTTCACGTGACGTGGCTAGTGCAGTGACGGATCAGTTTCCGCGATGCAGGGTGCGGCATTACATCATGTTCGTCGCCTCTACCAAAAGCCGTCTCCCTGCACTTCTCATTCACGCGCATCTGTCTTTTCGGAGGATACGCGGTCAGCTGTCCTGGTTTATCTCATCATAGTTCGGCTGTCGTCTTACATCTGGCCGAGAGCTCGCAACATCCACCTGTTCCGATGATTCCGTTACAAGGGACCCACGCCACAAGTCTCTTTACCAGCCACGGACATCCGGTATATATCCCCGGACTGCCGCATATCCATCTCCAACCCGCAAACTGTTGAGGACGACACAGACAGGAAGCTGGAAAGGCAAAAATCTTATTTTACACCGCTGGCGCACGAGAAGTCAGCAATGGCACACGTATTGCAGGGACTGTCGACGCGACCCGCGCTCGGTAGTCACGACACGTGGACAGCCAACGCAGCATCGGAAACACTGGATGTGGACGGCGCAACAACATTGAGTCCCCAGAACGATGAGCAGGCAGCAGATTCGCGAAGTAGAAGCACGACAGCGATACCATCCGATGACAGTGGTTCAGAAACGCAATTGGTCGAGAAACCCGGAGGCCGTAGGAAGAGCATCCAGGTTGTTTTAGAGCAATCGGGAAAGAAAGGCGAATATACCTTTACTGCCAAAGACCCGGTATTTCAAGAGGTTCTGCAGTCAGGTCTCCGGCGAGAGGCTGAGAAACTCAATGGGAAGACCAACGGGAAACCGCGCGATCTTGTCTTCACGCAACAATTTACCACGTTCGACCGCCAAAACGCGTCCGCCGCGCACTCGCCATTCCATGGATTCTTCACGCTCTTCTGGATTGCAATGGCTTTGTTACTCGCGCGAATAGCTGCAGGCAACTATAGGACGAAAGGCTCCGTATTTGGGGATGCAGAGATCCTGCACTTGATGATCGACAAAGACTTATTCGTCATGTTAACAACCGATGTCGCAATGTGTGTGGCGACCAGCTTCGGCTTCTTTCTACACAAGGCCATCGCCAACGACTATCTGACATGGAACGGTTCAGGCTGGCTCATACAGTCTCTTTGGCAAGCCTTCTTCACATGTACCATCATCTGGGTTACCTTCTGGCGAGACTGGCCTTGGACTCATACTGTGTTCATCGTTTTACACGTCTTCGTGTTGCTAATGAAGCAGCACGCGTACTCATTTTACAACGGCTACCGTACGTCATCCGCACTTAATTTAGGAGATCCCAGCTGACCATCAATAGTATCACGAGTGTATCGACGACGCAATTTGCTACGCGAGAAGCTACGGCAACTCGATGAGATCAAAGCGCAGGAGGGACCGACCCAAACATGTCCTCCAATTGAAGCACTGACTGCCTCGGGTTTTGATAAATCTGACCAAGGCGCGTTGACGCGTCGGGGAAGTGTTGGCCCAAAGTACTCTACCAATCTTTCGAAGGAAGAATCAGAGATTGCATCTATCGGCAAGGCCATCGAAGCTGGAAACCCGCTCGATTCGGAACAGATCGAAGCCTTCCGACGCGTGCTCAACACCGAGATCACGATCCTCGATGAAGAACTCCGTGGAAAGTGCACTATCACCGATAATGTCTACCCAAACAATTTGACCTTTTACAACTTTGTAGAATGGGCATGCCTTCCCACACTCGTCTACGATCTAGAGTACCCCCGCCAGGAACGCATCAACTGGTGGTATGTCGCTGAGAAGTCAGCGGCCACCTTGGGAGTCATTTGGATCATGATCATCATTTCACAAGCATACATCTACCCTGTGGTCGTAGAGACTATGCGACACAAAGAGGCTGGCATGTCGCTCGATGAGCGATGGAAAGAGTTTCCATGGGTTGGTAAGTGCTACGTCGCTACGAGACTATCGAGCATCCTGCTAATGATCTCACTCTATAGTATCCGATATGCTCTTCCCCCTTCTCCTCGAACAACTTCTCAGCTGGTACGTCATATGGGAGTGTCTCCTCAACGTATTGGCAGAAGTAACACGGTTTGCCGACCGCGGTTTCTACGGCGCATGGTGGAACTCCGTATCCTTCGATCAATACGCTCGCGACTGGAACCGGCCTGTCCACAACTTCTTGCTTCGACATGTCTACCACTCGTCGATCTCTTTCTTCCATCTATCTAAGATGCAGGCAACGTTCTTCACGTTCTTGCTCAGCGCTATTGTGCATGAGGTTCTCATGTTCTGTCTGTTCAAGAAAGTCAGAGGATATCTGTTTACATTCCAGTTGACGCAATTGCCGCTGGCAGCGTTCAGTAAGACGAAGTTTATGAAAGGGAGAGATACGTTGGGGAACATTGTATTCTGGTTTGGTCTCTTTATCGGACCTAGTGTCATCACCAGCTTGTACCTTATCGTTTAGATGTACGAGTACGTTGTAGACTCTCAGCTCCGTTTCAAGAACCAAGTTTGTTGCTTAGTCTTTGACGCATTCAATTCTCTGGGGCTTCGGCACCTTTACGTCTCTCCTCCTTCAGCACTTCCAATACTCTACGCGTCAACCTATCGCGCTCACCCACATCCACAGTACCGTACGAATCCTGCGATTGCTTGAAAACCTTCTCTTCCCACCCGTCGCCAACATTCGGCTTCCCCATATCTTGCCAACATTCTTGCACTGTACCCCCAATATTCTTAAAGAAGCCTTCTAATCCACCTGGCCCACCACCAGCATGATAGCTTTTGAAAGGCCCAGCGACTGCCCACCGCGGCCCCATACTGCTCTCTACAATGCTATCCAACTCCTCAACCGAAACGACGCCCTCATCTACAAGATGAACAGCCTCGCGCAACAACGCGAACGCCAGTCTGTTCGCCACGAAGCCAGTCGTCTCCTTCTTGATATGTATCGGTACTCTCCCGCGGCCCGTCCAGAACTCTTGCGTCCGCTTTATAACCTCCTCCGACGTATCCGGCGACGGCACAAGTTCCAACAACGGCATGATGTGCGGTGGATTATACGGATGTACGACCAATAATCTCGACTTGTCTTGCATATCCTGCGCTTGCTGCGAAGCTGGAATACCAGATGTGCTGCTCCAAAACAGAGCGTTTTCTGGTGCTTGTTTCTCAACCTTTGCCCATAGCTCTTTCTTGAAGGCGAGGTTCTCCGGACTGGATTCTTGAATAATGTGCGCATCCTCTACAGCTGATTCAAGGGATTTGGCGACGCGGATGTTGGATATAGCGGCCGCTGCGGGTTCCTCGGCGAAAAATTTCGGTAGGTTGTCTTGAACGTATTGCTCGACGTCTGGTCGGGTATCATAGATGGTGAGCTGAGAGGGGCCGAGTAGGTGTGATAGGTGGAATGCGGCGAAAGATAGGCCAATGGTTCCGGTGCCGATGAGGGTGATTCTGAGGTCTTTGTTGCTTTCTACTTTCAAGATAGGATCTTGCTGCGAATCTCCTGCGTCGGACATGTTGGTTATAGAGATGATGTGTCGGTTCGGCCAGCCGCGATGAGAGGCTTGGAGGTTGTGGTAGCTGTAGACCTTGCTATATCCAAGTACTATGCACGAACAATCTTGAGACTCCACTCAAAATTGATGATGATATGGCTTCCTATGTGGCAATGAAGCGGCTCTTACACACCCTGGCGCGGATGTTATCCGAACAAACGTCAGAGTGTGTGTCGATCTTGACCGCTTTCGGATAGCTTGGTAGCTGCTCCTTCCCCGCCTTGCACCTTATCCCCGCTCCATGAGCGACTCGAGCGCTGCGAATCCGATGGAGATGAGCGCGCCGAGGAAGAATGGTGGCATTCGCCTATTAGAACGCATGGACGCAGTCCATCCGATGGTCACTCGCTTCTTGACCTGTCACCTTCTGTACTGCAGTGTTTACCACGACTCTACAGTACTGCGATCCTCGCATCAGTATATCCGGTTATAAGTCGTGTATTGCTTGCGATCCGTTGCGGAGCCAATTGCGTCAAGATGGTGATCTTCAAGTCCAGGCAACCGCCTATCGATCGTAAGTTCTCAAAGGGCGAAGCTACGCCAACCTAGGAAAAAACCGAACAGGTCTGCAGCCTACATCAACATGGAAACATGCAAAGTAGGTGACCTAACGTCGATGTAGGCTCCAGATCTGTTTGGTTTTTTTCTTGTATGAGGTGAAGCTGCCATGCATCCTTATTAATGCTGACTATTATAGTGCCAGCCGAACTGACGGACTGGGACTGGCTCTTCGATTCCGCCTACTCACCCATCAACAAGTACCCACCGAACGAACTTGCTGGATTCCAAAATGCGATTACGAAAGAGCGTGTAAACTGGGCTGACGTAAAGAAATATTCCACGTACATCTCCACTGCGCTGGTCAAGAAGTATGGCCTTAAAGAGGGCGAGACAGTGGCGCTGTTCAGTCAAAACACTGTGTGGTACCCGGTAGCCATGTTTGCAGGACTCCGGGTGGGAGCGAAGATCAGCGGTGCTAGTCCGGCATACAACGTTGAAGAGATGACATTCGCGCTGAAAACCGCGGATGCAAAATTCTTGATGACTACACCCGGTAGTATGGAGATCGCAGCTGCGAGCGCAAAGGCTGCAGGCTTACCACAGTCCAACGTTTTCTTACTAGAGGGCGAGCTACCTGGATACACCACCGTCCAGGATCTAATTCATATGGGCGAGTCGTACGGCGAGTCTGGTCAGACACCAGCATTCAAGCTGCCTCCCGGCAAGAAGAACAAAGACGTCTGCGGTTTTCTGTCTTTCTCATCTGGAACGACTGGATTGCCAAAGGCTGTGATGATCAGCCACCAAAACGTCATAGCACAGTGTCTTCAGATACAGCAGATCACGCCTGAAACCCAGAAAAAGATCATGGCTGTACTGCCGCTGTTCCATATCACCGGTCTGGTCCATCAGATGCATCTGCCAGTTCTGCTCAACGCTGAGGTCGTTATGCTTCCACAGTTCACGATGGAAAAGATGTTGGATGTCATTGTCGAATACAAGCTTAGTGAGCTTCTACTGGTACCACCGATTCTCATCAGACTCGTGCGCGATCCATTGGTTGACAAGTACGACCTCAGTCATGTCACACGCTTTTCGTCGGGCGCCGCTCCGCTCTCGGAAGAGATCATCCAGCAGCTGCAGAAGAAGTTTCCCAATACCGGGTTCAAACAAGGCTACGGGATGACGGAGTCGTGCTCGTGCATTACTGCACACCCACCTTCAAAGTTCTCATATAAGTACGCTCACTCTGGTGGTGCGATCGTAGCTTCTACCGAAGTCAAGATCATCAAAGACGACGGCACGGAAGGCGATGTTGGAGAAGATGGCGAAGTTCTCGCTCGCGGGCCACAGGTTGTCATGGGCTATCTCAACAACGAGATGGCTACTCGCGACACTTTCGATGCCGATGGCTTCCTTCATACCGGCGATCGCGGTGCCATTGATGAAGAGGGCATGATTCACATCTCCGATCGTATCAAGGAACTCATCAAAGTCAAGGGCATTGGCGTTGCGCCTGCTGAACTCGAAGACCTGCTCTTAGGCCATTCGAAAGTCGAAGACGTCGCAGTGATGAGCGTGAAGGATGATTACTCTGGTGAGCTGCCAAAGGCGTACGTTGTGTTGAAGCCGGGAACGGAAGAGAACACAGCGGTTGGGAAAGACATCATCGCGTATGTCAAGGAGAAAAAGGTGAGATACAAGTGGGTTAAGGAAGTGGAGTTCATCAATGAGATTCCGAAGAGTCCTTCCGGCAAGATTCTGAGGAGAGTGCTAAGGGACAAGGAGAAGAGTGGGAAGTTTGGGCTTGTTGTTAAGGACGAGGCTAGGGCAAGGCTGTAGATGAGTGATCTCATTGGTCGCTGTATTCATTTAGCGACAATATGTATACGCAGGCAACAGCGAACTCAATGATGAGCAACCACAGCCCGTAGTCACTTCTTTTCCGATTAAGCATGCTCTGGTCTGGTCATGAGAGGCTTCCCAATGAGAAGGCCACCTTTATGATAGGACCTGAACTCCTGAAAAAACCAGGCTGAGACTGCGCCACCACATCTCACACATACAAGGGGGCTGGGTTTCGACCGCCAGCGCATCGCGAAGGACTAAGCCTCAGAGCCATCGCCCGATTGCTAAGGTGAATCCTGTCCGGACATTCCCCTACTCAAGTGCTCGTAATATCCTGATCTACCAGAGAACATATTGAACCCTGAACACTTCCTTTTAAGCCAGGTCTATGGTTGTCGTTCGAACATGCAGTTCTCGAGTGAAGTAATCATAGGTCTCGTTGTGCTTATTTTAGGGGTGATACTTGCCGGGCTTGGAGTCCTTGTCAGCTGCTTCAGTCCCCGTCGAGGTGTCTTCGGTCCTCTTGCACGTAGCGCAAGATACAAGGCTTCTCGTATAAATTTCTTCATCAAACACTACGGTCTAACTGGAATAGCGCTCTGGTGCTTCGCTAGTCGGGAGGTATGGCAGATCCAGCTGCAGGTCATACGCAGCACCGAGGATGGAGATGTCACAAATTACAAGAAGTCAGCTCAGGAGGACAGCAACATCATAGCAGTGGCTGTAAGTTTGTAGAGCTCTTTTTACACGCCTTGTTCGGCTGATTCAACATTAGGGAACTATCATCGCCCAGATCGCCATTACCGCACTCTCATTGGATAAACTCAGCAAGACTCATTGGGTTGCGCGGGCGTTCTTCACTTTCAGTTTGGTCTCAGCCATCATGGCCGTCTACTATGCCACGAGACAATATCGCACCCTGGGACGCTGTCTGCGTATTGAGCAAATGAAGACCTGGATCTGCGGCAAGAATCGTTCCAAGAACAAAACTCCGTGTCGTACTCCTACGACTCCTTCTGAACATCCCGACCTACCCTCCGTAGCCGCCGTGCTGACAGTCTCTGCTCCTAACATGCTGATGTCGGCCTCGCTCAACTGCTTGCTCGTCGGGTTTGCCGTGTATCTCGGATTTACCTGGACAGAGAACTTGGACGCGGAGGCTGGAAAAGACGGAAGTCGCGCTGTATTTATCACGTACATTGCAGGACTGATCTTTTGTTACGGGGTGTACTCGATCTCAAGCGCGGTCGTCGCTAGTGACAGCCACGTGAGTGAGCATGACCTGCTCTACGGTAACGACGATGCAAATACCCAGCAGCATATCAGCAGAGATGAGGAAAGCGCAGCAGGTGCTAGCAGCCAGCCAGAGATCAGTACTTTGGTCCACAGAAGCTCGAATGACCAAATCCTGGGTCGAGGACAATCTACCCAGATCCTTTCAGGGCCGCCGCAGGATCGTGATCTGTATAGCGGAATCTTTGCACATGACTCAACTCGTGGGGAAGAGCTATTACAACTCTTCCAAGAAGCTACGACGCTGCGAAAGGCAAGAGCCGAGTCGGATGAAAGTTTCGCATATCTTTTCGGGAGGCTTCCGTGAGCGGACGTCCGTATTGCTAGCAACGATGGGCGGTTGGGATGAGTTGGTTTGGACATCTTTTGGCTTTGTCACCCACTTTCAGCAGGCTTCACGAGAACCCTATAGCATCATTTCTGCCTGTCATTGGTCACTATGATGATAATGTTTCGGAGTCTGGGTGGGTGATGCCGGTTCCCATCCCTTTCGTTGTGGATGACAAATGACGTGTGAGGGCGTGGTGGGGTCGGCGTTTGTGCCCCTCCGACAGGGTCTTGGATCAGAAAAGTTGCGCGAAGAAGGTGCAATTTTACATTTCTAAGCAACATACTGCACCCGTCCTATAACTTCGCGCAAACAACAGTGCGCGCTTTCTTGTACCCATCTCTCTCACATATCACAAGAATCAAATCAGAAAGCCAATAGCATGGCCATCACAAATCCCACGCCGAACCAACCCCAGCACGACGAGGACGACATCGACGTACATGATGTGGACAACACACTAGACGCCGAGGAGGCGGAAGAGATTGTGGAGGACGATGGCGACGTGCCCATGGACTCAGACGACGAGGGTGACGAGGGCCGCCAAGAGATGGAGATGGAGATCAACCTCCAAAACGACTCGGTCGCGCATTTCGACGAGCACAAGGACAGCATCTTCTGCATAGCGCAACACCCGGTACACCACGAGATCATCGCGACGGGAGGCGGCGACGATGTGGGCTACATCATCGACGCGTCTTCGGCGGCGGCGGCGCAATCGAGTAGCGACGGACAACCCACCGAGCGCGAGGGCCTGAAGAGCATCTTCACATTAGACGGACACAAGGACTCTGTCAACGCGATCACATTCACCCAGCCAAAGGGACAATTCGTCGCGACAGCTGGCTTGGACGGAAAATTGCGTGTATGGCAGGGCATTCCTGACGGCAAGAAGTGGAAGTTTCTGGCAGAGGCACAAGAGGTCGAGGAGATCAATTGGGTCATCCCCAACCCGTCGCCCGACCATCCCAACGTCGTCGCGCTCGGAGCCAACGATGGCTCAGTGTGGGTATATCAGATCAGCACAGAGAAGAACAACGAGCTACAGGTCCTCCAAGCATACTACCTTCACACCGAGACCTGTACTGCCGGCACATGGTCGCCCGACGGTTCACTCCTCGCTACCATCTCCGAAGACTCGAGTCTATACGTGTGGGACGTTTTCGGCGATGCCGCATCACAAGGTCTCACAGCGACTACCGATTCGCAAGCCGTGGTAGGCCTGACGGGCCTGGACGAGCGCTTCCGCGTTGAGGGCGGACTCTACTCAGTCGGCATCCCGCCATCAGGCGCATTCGTCGCAGTCGGTGGCCCCGAAGGCCAGATTCGCATCGTCGGACTGCCCCGTCTCTCTCTCGCTGCGCCCGCGCAAGCATCCACATCATCGAGCGGCGGAGGTGCAAAGAACAAAGCTGGAGGAGGCAAGCAGGCTGGCGCCAAAGGCGGTGCTTCGTCAGCTGGTCAAGCTGGTCAGATCTTGGCAAGTCTCCAAGCCGGAAGCGACAACGTCGAATGCATGAGCTTCTCCTCCGCACCACTCACCCTCATGGCCGCCGGCAACGTCGACGGCTCCATCACCCTCTTCGACACCGCGCACCGCTTCGCCGTCCGAAGGCGGATAGAAGACGCACATGCCGACGACGAGTCACCACAAGCTGTCGTTAAGCTGGACTTTGTCGCCAAGGAAGGCCCTGGAGGTTGGTTGCTGACCAGCGTGGGATACGATGGTGTTTTGAAGCGATGGGATGCACGAGGTGGAACAGCCGCAGCTGGAAAGGGCCTTGTAGGCGAGTGGAAGGGACACCAGGGAGGTGGTGAAGGAGGAGGTATCATGGCTTTCGTACAAGGAGATGGCGAGACAGTCGTCACGGCCGGTGACGACCATGTCGCGCTAGTTTTCAAGACGCCTCTGACCCAGTAGACTCTGTAGATGATCAGAAAATATCGATACCGTACAGACGACATCGCGCTCATTTATGCCCTTCCACGTGGACACCAGCGTCGCCTTCTACTACACACAACCTCACCACACGAGTCAAACAAGTACCACATCATCTCCTGGAGACGCTAGCTACGACTGAGATTCTCACAAACACGCCTGTATCGCACCGGGCAAAGTCTCCACTACCATCAACACTTCACCAACAAGTTGCTTCATCCGGACGATTTTGCTCTACACGCTGTTGCTTTTCTTTGATAGGAGCTACTGGATACCGGCCGAACTACCGGCGGTCATGGTCTAGATGCTACATACGCTACTGTATATGCGGTGCAAAAGTGTGTGTGCGTGTGTGCGGGAAAGCAGAGAGGAGTTGGATGGAATTAGCCTACTCTGAAGCATGAGCCCAGACTTCTGTGTAGCCAGCATCTAGACCAGGTGTGAGAGTGGCGAAGTACCCTTCTGTGTCTTGGGTATGCGTTGCCGACGATCCAGATATTCACATTCAGAGAGAGTTGGAGCTGGAGAGGCGCCATTTGGACCAGATTGATATTCTGTCAGGATCGCAATGCTTGCGCAAGAATGCGACTTACCCGTGTACATCGTCTATGCGAGTTAACGTGAAAGCACACGATGTACAGTAGCTTCACCATTTACAACCGGAGCAGAACTTATTCAGGTAATTCAGATGATGCGGGTACAGCACCCGCACCGCATAGTGTCCACCGTGATCCTATTGCCCACGGCCCAAGAGCCCGCTTCGAATCGTTTGAACATTCCCTTCCCGAACAAGTAACCACGTACCGACCGTTTCGCCACCGCGCAGCCCGTTGACGCCTTCCCTAGAGAACTGTGAGATTAACATTCAACGGTGAAAGTCGCCTCCCTTTCCTTACTTGGAGGCAGGGAAGAATCTGGTGTTGTGTGGCTCCCCTTCAGCCTTATGACGTCGGATATCCCCACTTCGTTGTGTCCACCTGCGGGTTACGGATGTTCATCTTCATCTGCTATTTGCCGAGATGGTTACCTCCGCAATTCCTGCTGCAGAAGCAAATATACGCAAGGAAGACTAAACTGAGATTTCTTGTCTGCAAGAGGCATGCCGCGTGGAAAAAGTGGATGGAGGTCTGAGGTCGCGTCGGGAAAGTGCTCCTGGCCAATAGGAGATGGGCCGCGTTAGGGTAGACGATCGACGGACTTCACGTATACATGTGAAGCGACAGATATGCTTACTGAAGTACGACAAGGGGCAGTCAATGCAAGGTAGTCACTGTAGCAGTGAGTTTTTTTGTTGCAGTCGTGCGACGTCGCAGAGACGTCAAGCAATGGCTTTGCAATACCTAGGTAAGCTTTACGATATTCTTCCACCGCACATGTTCATACTCCCCGCCTCCCAAGAAACGATCCAAGGATGAATCTGCTCAGGTTCGCTGATTTGCAGTGTCATATCCCGTCTCATTACTTCACAATCCCTCATTTATACTAATCAGGCGAGGCGTCTTCGCGGCGAAACCTTCTGTCAAATCTTGATTTCCCTTATTGGTCAAGACTTGGATCCCTGTGAACCGAAAGAATACATCATACGCATGCTTGAATCGTCTGATATGACGCAATAACGGGACCCTGTCGTCTCCAGCTGACGACGGTGTCAAGGGTGAAAGATGCGGAATTCTGAGTACGCTAACCGGGGGAAGAGGATGGAGGAACCCGGATCTTCACCTCGCATGAGCAGGGTGTCGTATGCTAAGCGATAGGCGAACTCGTCCGTAGCTAATGAAGGTACAGAGAATTTGTGAAGCTCGCGAAGCAAGGACGATGGAGCTTCGTCCCGCTGCTCGTAATCTGTATAGTCGCCTAATGATACGTAAGAATACGTAGTTGCGGGGAATGAGGCTGCAGATACGGGTGTGAAGGCATACTGCCTATCTCTTGGCACCTTGTCTTGTCCTCCTCAGGTACCCTACACCGGGGAGCGTCTGCAACGACGAGCCTTGTTCCTGGTTAGCGTCACATATGGTTCACAGCTCAGCACATCATCCATACATGTCGAATGCCCTCTGCACGTTGCATTCTAAGCTAGATGGGCCGTCCTGGCCCGTTACGCGAGCTGAAGATTTAGCGTCGCCTGCCCTGTACGTCACTCATACCAGAGACTTGGATTGATCCACCGTGAGACCAGATTGGGTAGACTGTACATATGGCATAATCGCTAGTCTAGCTGTCTATCTGTTTCTGGATAGACCCAGCGGGTGGAAGAACGAGCCGAATTGGCAGGTGACGGTCTTCTCGTATCGAACATGCTGACAGGGAGGAATGCAATTGCTGCGTAAGAATTCCTCGTTTCCACACTTGTTGAACGATAGTCTTACACCTCAGGACAGGAATTTTCGACGCCGGCGCCCTTTCTGTAGGCCAGTGAGAGCAACGCGCGTGGTGCGTTACCCGTTTGTGGCTGACTTGACGTGTGACAGGATGCGAGGATTGCTAGACAAAGTCGGTAAACTAGTCACGATCAGATCAGCATACCACGGAGCAAGAGGGGTTGTGTTGTCGAGACTTGGATCGATTAAGCTGAACCGAATGGGAACGCAGAGGATCACTGGGGGGAGAAGAGCGTGTTATGAAAGTGCTCATTCATATGGAAATGACTATTTGAGAAAGGCATGTGGTTGCCTTTCGGTTTTGTGCTCTGTAGAGTCTAACAGTACACTCGAGTGTAATGGAACGCTGATTCCACCAACGGCTCAAACGCCATGTCATCAAAGTCGTGGCCACTACAGCAAGCGTCATAAGGCAGGCTGGTCATCGTAGCAATGCTGAAAAAGAGAAGAAGCTTTTTTTTGCTCAAAGTGATGCAAAGCGCAGGGGTATCGTGAAATCGTAGTAAGAAGTAGAGAATAACTGCAAGCCGGCAGCCCACATTGCGTATCAAAGACCAAAGCCAAGCGATGTAATATGCATCAATATTGAAAAGCCTTGGTAGCGAGAATGTGCAAGTTGGCTTCCTATGCCTCCATGTCGTCCATGTCTTCGTCGGTAAAGTCCTTGAGAAGCTCGAGCCCACCAAAGTCGTCCATATCTGCGGAACTCATCGAAGCCATGCTATGCTGTCGTGCGTGTTGGTTGGAGAATCCAGGGCTTTGCATATTGGTGCTCTGTCGCGGTGTCGAGTGATGACCAGGCATTCCCGGTGCGGGGGCGTCCATGCCTAGAAGGCCACCGGCGCATCGCGCTAGATACTCGTCTACTGCCCAGAAACCGCAGCCAGCGTGGCGTAGAACTTCATTCTTCAGGTCAAGGACTTCCTCGCGTAAAAGGGCGACATTCTCTTTGAGCATCTTGTTCTTTGCAGAAAATTCGCGGGCGCGGCCTTCGAGGCTGTTGATGTACTCCTTCTTGCGCTGCCTGCACTTGTGGGCAGCTACACGGTTCTTCTCGAGGTGCGTCTGGCGAGCGGACGATACTTGGAAAGGGTAGCCGTCTGCGGTGAAGGCCTCGACCATCTGTGGCTGCGACTTGGGCCTGCCCCGCTTGCGCTTGGGCGGCTGAGGGTTGCCGTCGGCAGTATCCTGTTGTTGCGCGACGGGGACGCTAGGCAGAGAGCCAGCAGCGACGACTTGATTGGCCGAGTCCTGGCGGCTAGTGCGTCGTCGCTTTGCAGGCGGCATCTGAGGAGAAGCTTCTTGCTTTGGCCAAAAGGCAGTCTCATTGCGGAGTTGCTCGACGGGAACGGAGCTGTCACGCTCATCTCGAGGAGGCTGTGCTGGTGAGGGCTCTTCGGGTGGGGTGACTTGGCCGTAGCGCTCCATGGTGGCATGTGTAAGCAGCGAGGGTGGAATGGAGAAGGGCTGCTGGGGCGGCATGGAAGTGGAATTGCTGAAGGTAGTTGCCCACTTGTCCTGCGAAGACGAGGCATTGGCCTGGTGCATGGCGGTGAAGGCGTCGCCAGCCCAGTCAAATTGTGATTGTTGCTGGATGGCTGTCATGGTGGACAAGGTTGTTTGTTGTTGGTGTGGTGGGGGTATGGTTTGCTGCACAGGCCTGAGGCGGGAGGTTCCTTATATGGGCAGGAGGGAGGGAGCTGGAGGAAGGCAGTCGGAGGAAAGGCCCGGCAGGAGCTTATGTTATGGACGGCCAGAAGCAGCGGACCAGGGCAGTTGGGAGAGAGGAAGGTTGAGAGCCGCGGGAGCAAAGATCGCCTCGCATGGGATTTCAAACAATCGGGGCTTTGGCAGCATGCGGAACTGAGGAAAGCGATTTCAATCGAGCAGGGGCAGGGCTTGGGGACGTGCGATTGGTGGGTACTAGGCTGCGTTACGTAGTGCGCCTCCCAGATCGACGATGAAGAGGCAATCGCTCCTCAGCCCGCGCGCGCATGAGGAACTCGGCCTCCAGCCTCTGCCCTGTTCGATCTCGATGGCCTGCTGCGGCCTGCCCCCCCCCCCCCCCCCCCCAAGCCCAACCAGCTTTGCTGTCTGTCCAACATGCACTTTGCGGTTCCACTTGCCTGCTTCCCTTGTGCTAACCGTTGCCGAAACGGGACAGTCAAGCTGCGCATCATTCTCAGCGTTGTTCAACCCCAAATCACTACCCAGGTACCCAGCTTGACACGCCGCTAGATAGTTTTCGCCGCCTCCAGATTTCGCGTCTGCGAACTCCGCTTGGGCTATTCCGAGTGCAGTGCGAGAGCGGACCGACGACTATGACGTATCAAGCGGCTCGCTCCGCGGAACACGTTGCGGGTCAACCGTCAGGCTATAGCTCCACATTGCACCGTTCATGGCAACTCGCCTGGGAACAAGATCCCAGCCAATCATGAAGGCTTCTACCGCCTGCTCTACCATGGTTTCAACTTCACGACAGCTGAATCCAAGCCCTTCTGATGATAATTCAATTACGAACCGTCCCAAAGTCTAGCTGGCGACTATCGACGCCTTCAGCGCTGATGCTCCCGCAAAGGAGCTAGTACATACCGAGGCACCATACCAGATAGCCAAAACCAACACGCAGACCGTAGCGCACAACAACGGTAGGCCATGATGCCCCACCTCCCATGTACCACTTCGATCGCCAAGTGCAAGCCTGGCCCCCGACCAGGTTGGCTGGCCTCTGACGCGGGATTTGAGCGTGGCGCATCGAAAAGTCAGCTGCCAACATGGGAATTTTGCAAAATCCCATAATCTTGCTTTGAAATCCGATCACGTCCCGCCCTAGCCTGACAAGCGCTGCATCATCGTACATTAGGTCCGCCAATCAGAGACCGCTTCCTTCAGTACACCCCTGCTTCCACTATCTGGCATGCGTCTTGACGCCGCTTGCTCACACTGAGCTCACTATTGCTCGTGCAGTCGACATTCCCTCAAAGTGTTTCGCTGCACTGCGCCTCAACCCAAAGTGGTCCTGTTGTAGACGACCTAGGTCTTTCTACAACCCATGCCAGGAAGCCAAAGACTCTGATCCTTCGTCTGGAGCACCTGTCGGCTTGGGAACTGATTGGCGAATGGATTCGCGGTCAAGTTCCGTCCCGATTGATAGCAGTTAAACTTTGTGATTCCATTCGGTGCGCCGAGTAGCACTGCTGGAACGCATTTCGGCATACCTGCATGCCACCTAGATAGTAAATCTGAGAATCACGGGTACTGTACCGAGCTGAAAGACAAACTGAACGATTACAGGAATTGATCTTGGCCCTTGTTCGGTCGCTCGCGCTTTACCCAGGTGACGATCAACCTTGGAACGTCGCAACGCGTTACGCGGCGCTACCTAGATGTCTACTAGTAGACTTCTGCCACCTCGTGGCACCTCACCGCACAAAGTGGACACTTCCTGATCTTAATTTGACGTTGCAAACGCGCCCAGTAGAATTTTCGCTCATCCGTCTCACCATGTAAGGAGCTTTTTTTTTTTTTTTTTTTTTTTTTTTTTTTTTTGATAACATCGACGATTCCCTGGCAGCGTATGTTAAGAACTTCGGCTCAAGCATATATACTACTGTTTAGTAAGTGACATGCTCAACCACAGTAGCATTTTTGAAGCAAACGTTCGTGCAAAGGACTTAGCTCCAAAGATGTGGAAGCTGCTTTTACGCTCGTTAACACCCAAGTGCATGTTCAGGTGTTCTTGGGGTGATGCACATCAGCTATGTTGAGGGAGACCACAAAGTACAGAGCGATCCGATATTATATGATTAGCGGTAGCCGAAGCAATGTGGGTTCAGTAGAATCAAGGCAATGAGACTGCTCGAGCAGAGTGAGTCCAGCGGATTCCTTCCTACCCGTCCAGAGCCGGTGCAAACTCTTGATCCATCTCACTCTCAACTGCCCTCTCACGAATCCCACGTTTAGTGCGATGAGTTCAGGGAAAGTAGGCTAGCACACGTCAATTTGGACATCTTTGCCATGATGTCACGTGTGCTGCTCGATGCGTGACAAGACAATCGGGCTAGCGTGTCTTGGCGGGAAAGCGCGACGCGCACCGCGTCGTCGGCGCAACAGTAGGAAAACACGCGCGCTCACGATCACGACCACAGCCCCGCTATGTTCTGAAAAACGCTATCACGATCGCATACACGCACCACGCGCGACCACACACATCACCCAGCTCGACCTCTCGCGCACAGCGACTGCGCTTAACCGCGGCCATGGGGTACATCAAACAGATCACGATTCAGGGCTTCAAGAGCTACAAGGAGCAGATGCAAATCGAGCCCTTCTCGCCCAATTGCAACGTTGTCGTTGGCCGCAATGGATCGGGAAAGAGTAACTTCTTCGCCGCCGTGCGCTTCGTGCTCGGCGACGATTACCACAACCTGGGTCGCGAAGAGCGTCAGGCGCTCCTACACGAAGGTTCGGGCTCAGCAGTTATGTCAGCATATGTTGAGGTATGCTTCGACAACACCGAAGACCGCTTCCAGACCGGCAAACCGGAATTCTTTCTCCGCCGCACTATCGGCGCAAAGAAGGACGAGTATTCGGTCAACCGTAAGAACGCTACCAAATCCGAAGTCATGCAAATCCTCGAATCCGCTGGATTCTCACGATCGAATCCCTACTACATCGTCCCGCAAGGCCGTGTCACGGCGCTCACCAACATGAAAGACTCCGAGCGCTTGAAGCTGCTGAAAGAGATCTCCGGCTCCAACGTCTACGAAGAGCGACGCGCCAACAGTCTCAAGCTTCTGTCCGAGACCGAGAACAAATGCGGCGCTGTCGATGGTGTAATCGACTCCATCAACGGGCGTCTCAACGAACTCGAGGGCGAGAAGGAGGAATTGGAAGCGTGGAGCAGGAACGACAAGGAGCGACGGTCGTTGATGTACATTTTGAAGTCCCGGGAGGAGGCTGATTTGGAAGCTTTGATTGAGAAGATTGACCATATGGAGAACCAGGGTCGTGAGATGAAGGAGGCCGACGAGGCAGCATTTGTACAAACCGAGGCCGACATCGCACAAATCGACTTGGATATCAACAGGCGAAGAGGTGACTTGGACGTTCTGCGGGAGGACCGCGTGCAGTCTGAACAGGAACGCAAGTCAGCTACACTGGAGAAGGCCAAGATCGAGCTCGAGCTCAAAGCGTTGCAGGATAACCAGTCGGCCGCCCAACGAACGAAGAAGTCGCGGGATACACAAACGAAGTCACTCCAACAACAGATACGCGCACGAGAGGCCGAACTCAAGAAGCTGATACCCCAATACAACGCAAAGAAAGAAGAAGAGGAAGCTGTCAGGTCACAACTGCTAGAAGCTGAAGGCCAACAAAAGCGGCTCGAGGAAAAGCAGGGTCGGACAGCTTTCTTTACAACCAAACGACAACGAGACGATGCATTGCGCGCTCAAATTGAAGAGTCTAATGCTGACCTTAGCCGCCGCAAGGCTGTTCTCATGCAGACCAATGAGGAGATTACCCAACTGGAGAGCGATGTGGAGCGTCTTGAAACCGAGATCGCCGAACTGCGGTCAACCATTGAGAGCGAAGGAGACGCTAGTGTCAACCTTTCGGCCAAAGTCGAGCAAGCAAAGGATGCCTACAAAGCTGCACACGACGAGCAGACGAACCTCTACCGAGAAGACAACAGGGTCAATACTCAACTTACAAACTCGCAAGCCGAGCTTCGGAAAGCGGAAAGCACCTTCTCTCGACTGCTTGATCATGGCACTAGTCGTGGGCTGGAGTCTCTCCGTAGATACCAAAAAGAGGGGGGATTAGAGGGAGTGCATGGTACGATTGCAGACCTACTCGATGTCAACAACGACTACAGAGCCGTGACCGAAGCAGCAGCCGAGGGTGCGCTCTTTAACGTTGTTGTGGATAATGATGAAGTCTCCAGTAAGCTGATTGATCGGCTCATCAAAGACAAGGGCGGACGTATCACTTTCATTCCCCTTAATCGCATCCGGGCTCATGATATGAACCTCCCTGCGACCGGGGACATGCAGCCACTTCTGCCGAAGTTGAGATACGATGAAAGATTCGAGGATGCGTTCAGACATGTGTTCGGCAAGATCGTTGTCTGCCCTGACTTGACTGCGTGTAAGAAGAACGCAAAGCAATACAACGTTCGTGCGTACACTCTCGACGGAGATAATGCCTCGCGCAAGGGCCAATACCGAGGAGGTTATCACGACCCGTCCAAGTCAAAGATTCGAGCTTACCAAACATTGGCCGAAATTCGCACACAATACGATGAGCTGCAGCAGCGGAAGCGAGATATTGCCACCGAACTTGAGCAAAAGCGTCAGCAACTCACTGCGGCACTAAGTGAGGTTAGACGACGGGAATACGAGAAGGACAAGGGTGAGAACAGCTATGCGCCTATGCGGGAAGAAGTACGAATGAAGCAAAGAACCCTTCGAGACACACAGGACAGCCTTGCAAGAAAGAGGATGACTGCTTCAGCACTTCAGTCAACAATTAACCAGCTCGGCGCGCAACAGAGCGACTGGGAGGCTGAAATTGCTTCCAAGTTTGAGAAAGCGCTGTCTAATGATGAAGAGCAAATGTTGATCACCCTTCGAAGCACTGTACAAGACTTGAAGCGGCAATTCGCACGAGCCAAGGAAGAGCGCGCCATCCTGGAATCTCAAAAGGACGAGGCTGAGCTTGATCTCACGGAAAATTTACAGCCAGAGCTGGATAACATCTTATCACAACAGGGTGGCGCAGGGGGGTCTACAGGCCAGTCGACGCGTTTACGAGAATGTGAACGAGCTCTAGATGCAGTCAATAAAACCATCGCCAACCTCGACCAACAGATCCAAGAAACGGACGCTCAAATTGAAGATATCCGGGCCCAGTTGAGCGAGCTGGAGAATTCAAGGAACGAAAAGGAGGCTAGCAATAGGCAGTTGGCAAAGGCTATGGCTAGGCAAGAGCAGGCCATGTCCAAGAAGGACTCCGATCGTAGTCGTTATACAGACCGACTAGCGGAGGTCAAGCGGGATATCCGTGATCTGGGCACCCTTCCTGAAGATGTGAATCGGAAATACACTCGATGGGACACTACAAAGGTAAGCTCCACGTTCGCATCTTCAAACATGCATACAGCTGACATTACCACAAGGTTACCAAAGAACTCACCAAGGCCAACCAAGCGCTCAAGAGCTTCGCTCACGTCAACAAGAAAGCATTTGAACATTACGAGAACTTTACCCGCCAGCGACGGACCCTCACAGAACGCCGCGCCGAACTGGACACATCGCGCAAATCCATCGAGAATCTTATCGACGTGCTAGACCAGCGCAAAGATGAGGCCATCGCCCGTACCTTTAAGCAAGTTGCCGCAGCTTTCGGCGAAGTCTTCCAGCAACTAGTCCCTATTGGCCGCGGTCGTCTAATCATTAACCGCAAATCCGACCGCGACGCGCGTGGTGACATCTCCGACGACGACGACGTGGAAGAACAGGAAACGCAAGGCAAGAAGAGCAAGGTCGAAGAGTACACAGGTGTCAGCATCGCCGTATCCTTCAACAGCAAGCACGACGAGCAGCAAAAGATCGGCCAACTCTCCGGAGGCCAAAAGTCGCTCTGCGCACTTGCCCTCATCTTTGCTATCCAAAAGTGCGACCCCCGCACCATTCTACCTCTTTGACGAAATCGATGCCAATCTTGACGCGCAGTATCGAACCGCTGTTGCGCAGATGCTGGAGCGGTTGAGTGGCCATGGTGGAAAGAATGCGGATGGAGGTGGTCAATTCATCTGCACGACTTTCAGACCTGAGATGGTACATGTGGCGGATCGATGCTATGGTGTTACCTACACGAACAAGACAAGTAGTATCGATGTCGTTGATAGAGAAGCGGCGCTTGAATTCGTCGAAGGTATGCAGAAGGCGTAATATGTGTATCAGCATGGACATGATGCAAGTCAATGGTGGAAGTGTACTATGGAACTGTATGAGTCTTTTACGCAAGAGGGTGCATTTGTTTTGTGTCGATTAAAGGTTCTCACGATTTTCATGTTTGCGGGTAGGGCGACTGGACTGGGGACGTGTTCGTAGGGCTAGCTAGCTATGACTCTGCGGTCTTCATTTTCTGACGTTGGTCATCCGACTCTTCACTGTGTTTTCCCGCGTGATATGAGAAAGGGATATGTGATGTGTAGCAAGTAGTTCTAATGTCTAACTCGCATGCGCTTTTATTGCATTCCCGCCTTGGACGAAGCAGCAAGAAAGAGAGCGTGATTCGACGGCTGTAGCTGCTTCCCTGAGAGCAGCAACGTGATCGGCCTCTGACTCAATTCGCCAAGTTCGCGTTACAGCCAACGCGCAACCTTGGCGCAAGAGTCTGATCTCAGCAGACTTCCCCTCGGATTCACCTTTCTTGACACAACTCCTCCCTGATTTTGTTCTCCTCTCAGGCAAACCCAGAGGCGAAAGTGAGCCAATTGCCCCATGCGTATATTGATCACAGCCGCACAGCAAGATCTTGCCATCTTTTCCGATGTCATGTCTCTACACACGGCGACAGTACCCGATCTCGTTTGGTTATTAAAACCGCATCGTCTCTTCTAGACCTTGCCTCCTGCATCGTATATTGAATCGTACCATGTACGGGCATTGATCTGTGTCGCGAATAAGCAAGCCGGAGCAAAGTGGATTCCGTATCGGAAGAGTTCGTCTCGAGATCGGGTTTATCGCTGTACATCGTTGCATGTACGCACCTGCAAGGTGGTGTGATGGGCTTGGCCCATGCGCTTCGAAAGCAGGAATTCGTGTCGAGAATCGGGGTTTACTAAGGGGATCGCGAAGGAGGTATCCGCGAGCTAGCCATGTTTAGCGCTGATGGGGTTATTCCGGCACTTCGGGTGGCGACTTCGTGCTTTTGTCCGACGACAACGCGTCTCTCTCATCGTGATCTCTGGTACTTGTGGCTGGATATCTGTTTCTAGATATGGATGAACGCTGACTTTTACTACTGTTAGCGCGTCCGGTCACGTTCGTATAGGTGATTTCGATGTATCGTGTCTAGCGCAAGTGCGCTAACACCGGACATGGACCTCTGCGTCCAGCCTTCGAAGTAAGCGGTAGCTTGATTGCGCTGGCTAGGTTCAGGGGAATGCAGTGCGACTAGCAGCAGAGGCGTGGCCATGCGCATGTATGCGCATCCAATTGTATGAGTCTGCAAGTACTGCGAGGCCTGCAGTATAGAAGTGTAATGATCGGATAGGGTCGAAAAGCCATTTGGAAGTCGTGGCGTAATGAGGCTGAGAATGATGCGAGCAACGCTGAAGTATGCCACGACGAGAGCAGTGAAGGCGTCGCGAAAGTGCCGAGTATCGGTCGAAGTGTCCTCCCAGAACAGCAACTTATCCGTATCCGCTGCGTCTTTCGCATACTCAAGCCAAAGTGCCTCAGTTTTTCTCTCAAGCACAGTGTAAGCGTGGGAGCCAGGTTCTGGTTGCGACGCGCCTGTCTTCCGGGCGACATAGACATCTACCAAGTCGGACACATAGCCCATAAGCGTCTGAAACCGAGGTAACTCAATGTATCTCAACGGCCCGTACAAGATCCCTTGTATTTGGAAATGTATCCTCTTATTATTTCCAGTCAGATTGATGAATGTCAATTGGGTCCGGAGATGATCTGTAAAAGAAGTACAGTGTCAGCGCGCGTTGCATCTTTCTCCCGTACGAAAGAGGCTACAACTTTGAGTTGCAGCCAGGGTGTGAAATACACTTTGAAAGGGTACATCATTCCTTCCACATACAATAGAATGACGATCACAGCAAATACAGCTAGGCTTCAGCGAATAAGGAAACTTACAGAAGATCTGACACAATGCCCCTTGTGAGCATTGTTTTGGTGTAGTCAATTCAAGCATGCGAACAGCTCCGAAAATGTGAGAACAATATGCTGCGGCATTGGTGGATTGCATAGCTTCGAATAAGCTGAACAGGACGCTCGTAGACACCATGTGCACCGTGACTTCTTGCTTGGTATACGGACGGGATACGAATCGACTGTGCGCCCGTAGGGCTTCTCCGTACAGCTTCCATGAGTATTGTGTAAGTGCCATATTTCCGCTTTCGACAGCGCAGTAGGCAGATGCCGTAGCCTGTGCAGCCAATCCCAGTGCCTCATTCGTGCCATCTGTTGTCAGAACAGGTAGGCTATGCAACCAAGTACGTTGATTCCGAATGTCTCTACTTTCACCCTCGGATGTGAAGTGAGCCATGAAGTGAGCATAAAATGCCTCGGTCACCACTGCTCTTTGCGAAACCTGATACGACAAGACTTGGTCAGATCGCACCCAGCCCGGCGTAAAAGATTCCGCGCTCTTGCTTAGTAGTCTGGACTTGCGCTTTCTCATTCCGTGTTTAGCAATGTTCGTCATGTCTACGAAGACGGGACCATCTGGTGGTCCAGGGCAGTCGTGACCGGTGCGAATGCACATGAGACATTTGGGGACTGTCGCATCGCATTTGATGCGTTTCTTGCGGCAAATTACACATGAGTTTGTTTTTGCAGGCATTCGGAATACTGGGAGAAGCCTCAAGAGAAGAGAGGGTAAACGATGTATGCAGATGCTGCCTAAAATTTCCACGGGGGTGAAGCGATATCGGGAAGTTCCATAACATGCTAACGGAAACAGCAAGCTAGCAAAAGCTTCTAGACTCGGAATAGCGCGACCCACATCCACAAGTTCCCTTTGGGCTGAACCAGATGTCCCTTGTCAGCGCCAGCAATCAAATTATGTCAGATAATCGCTTCCAGAGTAAAGTTGCAAGTAAAATACTACACTTTGTGTGAATCAGATGGATGTCCTGAACTTGCGGAGACGGAGTTGGCTCGGAGCGAAACACGTGCTGTCCAGCCTGCCCGGTACGACTATGAGCTGGCGGGATTAGCATGTTCGCGGAAACATAACCGTACACTTTCGTTACTTTGCATTCACGCAGAAGATGAATCGCCTCGTGTTACGAGAACTGGCGACTGGAAGCTACCCAAAAGGTATAAGGAGCCGTCGATGCATGGAGGCACAACATCAACAAAAGGTATGTAAGTATCCGCTATTTACATTTATGCCTCAATGTGTGCAAGTGCTTTATCTGAATCTTCAACAGCATAGAAGCGAGGTAGGAGCCCCTCCCTTGCTAGGAATGACGTACGCGACCTGCATCGCGCGTACGGCTCGTCGGCGTGGTGGCTTCCTAGGCATGTTCAAATAGCACGACGACCCAAAGGCGTTCGCCATTCTCCTCCAGCTCTGTGTATGCTATAGTTTTTCTTACCACTTGTTCTTTCCGTGCTGCAAGGACTTGACAGCTGGGGATGTCATGCGGTCTCGCAAGCACCTTCCGCGGGGAGTCGCCGCCCTGCCTTCGATCCCGATCCTGAAGAGGCAAAACCTGGTCAAGATTTGCCGCAGGCATGTATGATGGGCCACTGCTCAACGCATTCGACTATATCCACTCATCTTGAAGCCACAACACGACACTTTTTCGGACAGTGAACTAGCATAGAGAGCCATGATTGGTGGGTGAACAACCGCCTATCAATCCTCTGAAAGGCGCGTGTCTTCCCCAGCACCAGCTCCAGCACTACCACCACCAAACAACGATTCGTTAAAATTCGCACATGCCTGTCTAGCCATTGTCTTGATTCGAGACATCAAGCCACACAGTCCCGTACCTCTTCCTTTACCGTGGGTCACCACCCTCCTTCGCGTCTCTGGCCGCCCCAGCAGACCCGTTTCCCCTCATCCCTCCCAAAACGACCAGGCCTACGGAGACCTTTCCCGTAACCCAACACGTGACTAAGTCGCTTCCCTGGAAGCAGATTCATGCGCGAGCTGCATCTGCACTGGCAGTGCGATCCTGTACTGATTTCCAATCACCATCGGTCTGTGCTATGCAACGAGTCCCACTCGGGCAGTCCAGTGATGGACAGGGTAGGAAGATCGCGATCCAAAAGGCGCCGCCGCAGCAGGTTAACGAGAATGTTGAAAGATACGAGAAAGAGGAAAGAGTGTCAGTCCTCCAGTCCTGCATTGACACATTACGAACTAACCTCTTTCTCTAGTGCAAGGGCATGCAAAACGTGTCGCAAACGAAGTAAACAGCCGCCTTCCTCCGCTCTCGGTCGTCTATGCTGATGTTTCCGCTCTAGAAGTCAGGTGTTCCGGTGATCATCCTCGTTGCGCCAACTGTGAACGCAACAACTTAGTTTGTGTGTACGATCCAGCACGCCGAGATCGTCTTGGAGAGTATGCTTAGATAAAGCCCCCAATATTTGACTTATATACTGACTCTGCAGGGCCATGAGGTTGAACAAGAACCTTGTCAATCTCCTAAAAGAACTCGAGGACCGCGTAGATGAGGCGGATAAGAAGATCATCAGTCAGACGTTACATGATGTATGTATTCCACCGCTAAGTCCCTTTCCTGAGACTGTTACAAGGTCATCGTTAACTTTGCTTTTCTTCCAGGTGGAGGATGATCTCGTTTCCATGGATTCTCTGCAATCCGTCAGGACTCTGGGGAAGAGGCCACGCGAGCAACCTGCACCGAGACAAGAGACACGGGACGGCGATGACGGCAATCACGGAGAGGCTTTTGTAACTGCATCGGTCGGCTCCAATGAGGACCTCGACTTCCTTGACGAAGATTTGATGCGCAACCGCGAGTCGAGAGAGACCGGCTACATGGGCCAGAACTCAGAGGTCCAATGGTTACGAAGCGTTCAGCGTCAAGTAGAGCGTGCCAATTCAGAAGATCCTCAAGGGCAGCGATACGGCCCTCCGGGCGCGAGTTTGGCAGCTATTGACGAACGATCCGAAGCTTTGCATGAACGAAGGCAGAACGCTAGACCAGGCTCAATGCAACACATCACGGATGCGAGTTTCTACCTGGACGGCGATGACATTGAGGTCGACATCGCTGTAGACCCCGACGAGATACCTGGTCCTGATATTGCCGAAAAGCTGTTTGATTGCTACATGGGAACCGTACATGGCACATTCCCCCTCATGCCTAATAACTTCGAAGATCAGTTTCGGCGCTACATCCAATCTCTCAGGTACGGACGTCCGTATACAATTCCCCCACCCTGGCGTGCGACCATGAATCTGCTTTTCGCTATTGGCGCCAAATACTCTCATCTCACTGGTGCCGATTGGAGAGGAGATGAGAGAGACCATCTTGTATACATGACACGAGCTGTCCAACTCCTGGGACTGAGAGATACCATATCGTTCCTGGCAGCCCCCAGTCTGGGCAGGGTTCAAGCAGTAAGTGACTATCTCCACTCATTCTTCCTCAACGTGCCTAATACTTTGAACACTAGACGGGAACATTAGCGTTTTACTTCCTTGTGATTGGGCACGTGAGTAGAGCATGGATCATGAGCGGGCTCTCAGTCAGACTTGCCTTGGCACTCGGTCTACACTTGCGTAACGAGGATGATTCGATGAACGACTCCAAGAGAGAGCCGTTGGTGAAGACGTGGTGGTGCTTGCACTCGATAGAGTGTCTCGTTTCATCCATCACTGGTCGGCCGCCGGTCATTGGAAATGAGGATTGCACTGTAACATTGCCACAGTACAAACCCGGATCTCCAGTTCGAGACACAACTGCGGCGCGACAATCGTCTCGGATTCGCACAAGCTACAGTACACCTCAGACTCTTGCAAGTAGTGCCGCCTCTGACTCTGGCCAACGGCATACGGATGGAAGCCACTATCTGCATACGTATGTCACCTTGACTATCATTTCACAGAAGGTCCTTCTCAGCCTCTATTCGCCTCGGACTGCAGTCCAATCCTGGGAGGTAAGTGTGTTGTCTCTTTACTTCGTTGAGTTGCCGGCAACGGATCCTTGTGTGTATGCATGACATTTTGCTGACTACCATACCTACAGTACGTACAGACAAAGATCGCGGAGCTGCTCAGAGAACTAGAGGACTGGGTCAAGACAGCCTTACCGCCTGAGGATATACGCCCGAGCAACTGGAATCAACGACCTGAACTCAATCGTGAACGCTTCCTGCTCAGAATCTACTACTGGAGTACAAAAGTCCTCATAACCCGACCTTGCCTCTGCCGGATCGAGCGAAGGATATCAACGGAGAGTGTCAAGTCGATGAACTTCAACAACGAGTCTGCCGAGACATGCGTCAATGCAGCTCGAAACATGACAATGCTGTTTCCTGAGCAGCCAGATACACATTTCATTTACTCACAAGGACCGTGGTGGGATGTAGTTCATCTCAGTACGTCTATCATGGCACAAGAGAGTTCTGACAAGTGCTGACGTTATTTACACTAGTTATGCAATCGCTGGCCGTGCTGCTACTGGAAATGGCTTACGAAGGGAAGCATCTAAAAGATGAAAGAGAGGACATCATGGCCTGTATCAAGAAGATGATACGCTGGCTTCGAGCCATGAAAGCCAATGATCCTGTCGCGGCTCGGGCTCACGATGTCGTTTACAAGATCCTGAACACATGTGCGCCCGCTCTTCGGGAGCAAGTCAAGGAGCTGATTGCCGATGATACCGTGTGGACTTCCCAGCCTGCGCAGCCTACGCGCTCTGGTGGCTCTTCTACGTTCACGTCGCAGTCAAGTACGTGGAATGCATCAGGTGCTACTGGCTATTCCCAAGAAATGCCACCGAACTTTCCTCCCCCGCTATCCCAAGATCACTTCATGGATCCGTTACTTCAATACCCTTTACCGGGACAACAACCAACGTCTTTCGCTTTTGGAAACCCCTTCATGACAAATTTTGATCAAGGCGTACCTCTTGTCGACATGCAGCAACTGTGGTGGCAGTCAGCGCCCTTAAGCAATCTGACCTTCAATCCTTCTGAGATGAATCTGTCACAACAACAACTCATGCAACAGCAGATGCAGCAACAAATGCATCGACAGATGCGGCAGGGTGATTTCTCCGAGCAGCAAGACAAACAGGGCTCTCCCGAGCAGCCGCCTGGTTAGCAGCGGAAGAGGGAAAGGAAACGGAGACGGGGACGGGGAAGGGGACGGACTGGCGACGTAATGTCTGGTGCAAACAATCTTATCGCGAGTATAGATATGTGAACACGGGTTAACGAATTCACAAGGTGTACACCAGCGTGTGCAACACAGATGGAAATCCCATCCTTCCTTGACAGCCATCTCACTGTGGCGCACAAACATGTTACATACATGTCCAAGCCTATAAAGATCAACTTCGCAATGAAAGCCTCTGCAACAAAATCCCAACTTCACTCCACCACATTCTCCATCGACGGTCTACCAAAACTCGACAAAGACTAAATGTCCATTTCCAGATCAGCGAGTCTTTCTCCCTAGCAAACACCCCAGTATCGACATACCTCATTTGGCGACAGGGTCTTGTAGAACACAAAACCGCTATACGCGGGATCGTAACCGTCCTTTCACAAGTTCTCAGAGTGTTCTACACGCAGCAAGCGGACGACATCCTTACCTTTTCATCGAAGAGTCCAGACGACAAGAACCGATACAGCGTGCGATACATGGCTACAGCACCATCCCATATCCACGCCATGGTTGTCTTGGCGATACGAGGTGGGGAGAGCTGGGTATTGGTAGCCACGGGTGAAGTGCGATAATGGGCTTGGGTGACTGGTGCGACGCAGGTGCCATGGTCCGCACATCAAGTGGGTGGTTAGCCAATATAGGTTTATTGAGAATGCAGAGCTTAGGTAAGATTAAAGTCAAGATGAGGGTTTGGTTATGCGTCTGATGATGCGGAATGGGGTTCCGTAACCAATCATACTCGCTGAGGTGCGCCTGATGTGGGGTTGGGATGGTCAGATGGAATTCTTCCAGGCAGTCGTTTGCGTTATTTCATTGCCTGTACATGTAGAGATGCTTACGCCGTGGTAAACGATGCAAAAGTCAATGGCGTTGGCGTGGGATAGCCACAAGATTTTTCGTTTATCCAATTTACAACCAACATGATCGTAACAGTCTTATGCAAGTCCATCGTTACTTCGTCAGAACAAATCAACCACTAGACGGCTGTCTCTTCTTCAAGACGTTCCTCCGCTGTTTCCGATCCGCCTCCAGTAATCTTTCCCGATCGTTTTTATCCTTGTTAGTCCCACTCCCCTCGCCGAATCCCTCTCCTTGTGTGATGGTGACTCCGCTGACGGCTTTGCCCGCGCCAAGAGTGATACCATTGGCTCCGAATTTGCCCGCCATACTCTTCGTGCTCTGCTGGCTGTCGAAACTGGACCTCCTGGCGGGCGTGTGGTTAGCGGGTGTGGTAGTTTGAGACGGATCTGTACCAGCGACTTCGTCCGATGACCACCATCCTTCGGGCCGAGACGTCGAGGTTTTTTCTGTCATTTGTGAATCGCCGACTGACGCACCTGGTGAGCTGAAGGATATGGTTGACATCCTGTTTGTTGAAGGGGGTGGTGAGGATATGGTCGATATCCTGTGCGAAGGTGGTGGTGACATGATTCTGTTGCGGGAAGGCGAGGGCTTCTCTTCGGTATGGGTCCTTCGGTGAGTGGGAGATCTTGTCGTTTGAGACGCTTGAAAGGGACTGGCTAGTGACAATGGCCTTTCTGCTATCGTAGTACCGTCGATAGAACTCGGTGCACGCGAGTGCTGAGACACTTTTCTTGTCCGCAATGCCACTGGAGCTGTCGCACTCTCATCTCCCGCATCCTCGTCGTCTTCGTCACCGTCTAGCCCAGGTAGTTTGCTGGACTCTGGTAGAAGACCTTGGTACCGGCCAGGCGATCGTAGGCGTCGTTGTTTCTGACTCTCTAAGGCTGCCGCTTCTGAGCCAGCGAATTTGTCAAGCGCTTCGAACACGTGTGGAAAAACGAGAGTGTGCACGGATTGCGCCCACAGGAAATCCAGATGCTCGTAGTGAGGGATCTCTTTTGCAATAGTGTGAGCTGGTAGCTCCTTGAGCATAACATTGATATCAACCAGGCTGTCTGAGCCACCGTAAACAAGCACGATGGGCGTCTTGATGTTCTTGGTGGGGAACTTGGCAACCTTGTAGTACTTGGATCGGTTGGATGTGATTGGATTCGGCGCTTCATCGTCGTACATCTGGAACGTGCCATTCCGAATGATTTGAAACCAGTGTACCACGCTCTTAGTCGACGTGTATGAGTAGAGATGTGGGTATGCTGCGAGCTTTTGCTCGGGTAGGATGTTGACGGCGGACCAGTTGAAAAGGAAGCGCAGAGATGTATCGATAAATCGAACGAAGATGGGAGGATATAGGATAGACTGCCACATGGTTGCCGATGGGAGAATGGTCTTGCGTCCAAAAGCCAGGTAGAGGATATCCGGAGATGCTTTGACAAAGGCGTCGACAATGCCAGAGGCAACACCCTTGGGGGACATGGCCGGGGCTAGCGCAATGAAGACATCGACCTTTTCGTTCAGCGTAGGATGGATCGACAAGGTTGCGAAAGCCTGCGCAGTTCCTTGCGAAAAGCCAATGTACGACAGAGAGGGCTGGTGCGTGGTCTCGAGGATGTAGGCGATGGAATCCGGGATATCGTGGAAGGCGAACTGGTCCATGCTGAAGTTCCAGAAGCTGCTCGAGGTAGGGGGCGTGTGAACGCTCTTCTTGGAGTACTTGTTTCCGCGGTTGTTGCCGAGCCAGACGTCGTATCCTCGCTCGACCAGCTCGAATGGCAAGCATCGCTCCTTGTCGGTCAAGCAGACCCATACCTCGCTGTTCATCATGAGACCGTGGTGGAGGTAGACGACCTTCTTCTTGACGCCCTTGGCCCTATCTCCGCTGTTGACGCGCACGTTTTCCTCGCCCTGTCGCCAGCCCAGCCGGTGCAGACCCAGGAGATATCCATCGCCCGTCTGCACAATGTGTTCCTCGCAGTAGTAGCCGTACAGGTCGCATAGCTCGGTAAAGTCGGATGCATTGGCGATGGAGCTCCACACGCCCTTCTTCTTCTGACGCGAGCGCTTGGACGAGGGCGACGAGAGGTGGTTGAACAGGCGGCGCGTGAGGCGGTAGCAGAAGTTGATAATCGGCGTAGGGAGGGCGAGGGTGATGACGGCAATGAAGGACTCGAGGATGATGAGGCAGATGGAGAGGACCAGGGCGATGTACTCGCGGATGTGGAGGCGCGACAGGAAGGGTATATGGAGCGCCATACTGCCCTCGGGCTTGTGAAGACGGGCAGGGCACAGAAGCAATTAAAGCAGAGACAAGACGCAAGCAGGACAACGCATCGCCCCTCTGTACGCGCGGGCCTCGGAAAAGTCACAGCTCGCGCTCCAGCCCCTCTTGAGTTACGGTCAAGTCTTGCATGATAGCTCAGCAGCCAGAGTCGAAATGACGTTCCAGACGGAAGCAGCCATCCCTGACATGTGACAACGCATCCTAGCCCCGGAGGTTAGCGCGACGTTTCGCCGACGGCTACAGTAATGTGTGCTCCACCATATCACTCCACACATGCATTGTTGAATGCACTGGTAGCCACACGCGACCACCTGCCACCATGCCGCAGTCCTGCAAAGACATCCGTATGGCTTATTCTATCAGTTGTGCGAAGCCTCGGCTAACCGGAGTGGCTAGGCGCTGCGCTGGCATTCTGCCTCCAAAATAGCGACTGCATCATGGTCGACCGACACACGCCCGGCGAATGTCTGCGCCCACCCCTCAAATACACCCTCCCCACGCAGTGCCAGCAGCTGCAAAAGGGCTACGCCGAGTGCAAAAAGGGCATGATTGACATGCGCAAGCGCTTCCGCGGCAACCGGCCCATTGCCGTGCCGGGCCAACTCGAGACGGGCGCTTTTGGCCAGGGCCGCGCCGAGGCGGACGAGAAGACGGGCACCATGGAGGAGAAGGGATACATGCTCTACGCGGGGCGGCCGTACAAAGACGTCAAGGAGACCAAGGGCGATGAGGATCCAGAGAACAAGGGCCTGGACCGGTAGTGCTGCTCCATGGCACACGACAGCATAGATTGGCGTTTGGGTATTACGAAAGGGGACCCCATCTCCCCTCTGTATAGCAAGCCTGTACATTACGCATACTAGCGGTATATCACGACTTCTTGACTAGCTCGCTCTCTAGATGGCAAACACATACGATCGATCGAAACATTCGTCCCACCCCGAAACCCCGCCCTTCCAGTATCTCTTCAGCACCGAACACGCTTTGAGTGGACAACTAGTCCCCAGTGTCCTACTTATATCCTCCAAGCTCGCCTCGATCCAGTTTCGCGTCCCTTCCCCGCGATGCATGGCTTCTACACCCGCGACAATGAGCGGCCAGACCATAAATTTTGCCATTCGCGGGGCTTTGAGCGCGGTGCTGAGGTTGCTGAGCAGGACGTCGCCGTAAGCTGTTTGGCTCTCGAGCAGTGAAGGCGTAGTCGGGAGGACCATGAGTGAGCAAAGGGACAAGGTGGCGTAGAGCGCGACGGCGGATTTGTACACCAGACCAACAGTGAGCCATTCGGTGCAGAAGGTGCCAGGCCGCGCCCAGTCCTCGACTGAGAAGACCTCAATGCGGCCAAGGACGTCATAAGCTTCGAGTGCATGATCCGGGTTGAAATCACATAGTTGTATTGCTGTAGAAGCTCTTGCGCGTAGCTGATTCGTCCGCAATATCTCGGTGAAGAGCTCTCGCGGACAAAGCGTGTACGGGAAGATGAGACTGTACACGTCGATTATGTCTTCCGTCATTTCCTCCGCAGTGTTACTGATGTCGACTTGGTCCCATGATGGACTGCAGGTGTTGGAAAGCGACACAATACTGACCATGTGAGTAGACTTTCGAATCTAAGGGGTTGAAGAGACGTACAGTAGGTACAGCACCATCGACGGGATCAGATACGGGGCTTCCTTCATGAGCTGCTTAGGACCACCTCTTAGGTCGACTATCCGCTTCATGCCATTCACATGTGAACGACCGTCCGCAAAAGTAGGGTTCTGGAGCTAGAGGTCCCTATCAGCATGTGGCTCCGAGTATCAGGTTTCAAACGCGCTCGCATACCTCTAAGCACATGAACATAAGAATGGTGGTGATGGTCATATCCGAACATCTCGTCTTGTCTTGAGCAATGTGTCGACTGAGTGCTCGCAAGGCTGCCCCACGATGTTGGTATACTTTTGTCCGCGCTATCACCGCTGTATGGCCTGCGCCTAGTGGCAGACTGTGGATGAAATGGTTGAGTGACAAGCAGACTAGTGCATGATGAATGGACGGAGTAAGCAAATGTAAGACTTGCGGGGGAAAGAGTACGAGGGCGGGATTAGGTGCCAGTTCTTGGGATGCCTTGTATTGTGGGTATATTCGTAAGTTGTCTGGTAGCGTCAGCCATCGGTCACGCATGTCGCTTCAAAGCTAGCCCCATATACTGAGAGTCACTCACAGTATTGAACGGCCTGCACCACTTCTGATGTTTCGTCCATGAGATCATCATAGAGTGGTACATCTTGCATGCTCAAAAACGCGAGTAGTCGCTGCAGCCGTTGCAGTGGATCACGACCCGAGCGCAATACGCTTGCGGCTTCCTCATGCAAGCCTTTCTGGACGATTTCTTCGATCTTGATCCTTCCGCCGATCTCGAATACCCTGGCGGCTTCTCTAGCCACTGCTATCATTTTGAAAGATAGTACATGGAGATCAGTGACCCGATACTGGGGATTGACGATCCGGTCCTTTACCCATTCGGTCAAGGCGGCTTCGTAGTCTATGGGTTCGCAGGTATAGTTAACTTGACTGTTGGCCGCCGTGTTGTTGCTGGATCTTTTACGCGGACTACCGTCTTTCTTTCCTCTTCGTTTAGATGTCACCATCCCTGGCTGAACCCACTGAAGCGGCTTCGCGTCATCGTAGCCCGAGCATTGCCGACCGCGTTTCTGACACTTGTTGCAGCGCGGCAGCGTCTTGTCGCACACTAGACGTCGTTTAAGACATTCCCAGCATTGGCGCGTTGCTTTGTTTTCTCCTTTTCCGGCCATGGTCGCTTGTGCTGCGGATAGATAGACTTCAACCGGAAGGTACCCGCAAAGAAGGCGGCGATGACAGCGGCTTTGGTGGCCTCATAAAAGCGTGCATTTCTGCAGCTTTATTACTATAGAGGGCTCGTCTGACTGTCATAGGTGGCTGGTGGTGATGGGTTCAGCTGGTTATCACGTCCGTCTTGGCCAACTTTACTGCTGTATTGGGTCTAGTCCAGCGAGGAAGCTTATGTGCATGTGGCGCTGGGGGCCTGAGACCCGAGTGTCTTCGTATTCGGAGGTGCCGAACCGAAATGTCTTGTGCCGCAAATCGTAACAGAAAAGTGCAGGTTCTGAGCGACCGACGAAAGTTTCGAAGCATGTGTACATATGCATTTAGCAGTCTGCCTAGCGTGGTGTGGCTGTTTATGAGGAATGCGCGACGCGCTCCTGCCCGAACGGCAGTTGCGTCATCCACCAGCCGAAAGCCATCATGAAGCTCGTTTTGGCAGATACGCCTCACCAACGATCATAACGACGAAGCTCTAATGAACATTGCCATCACCAATACATTTGTTGTTGCTTCTTACCTGCACATCAGTATAGTGTCGTTTTGTATCGAGCGGCAGCCTGCTAATACCTAAATATGTACATGGTGCGAGGTATGTTACTATATCGCGATCCGGGCTTGAAACGCGACACCATGAAAGTCGCTCTGCCTTGGTCCAACTTATATGCCTATTTTTTTTTGTTAAGCTCGTTCGATTGAGATCAAAAGAGCGGCATGCAAAGGCAGTGCTTGACTGTGTAATCGTACCGAAGTCTTGGCCATCAATAGTACTGTGTCAGGACAAGCCTGTGGTAATCCTATTGGTAGTTACGGTCACCCTGATCTTGCGCCCTAGAGTCAGCAAGGGTCATTTAAAGATTGCGTTGCAGGTCCTCCAGTTCAAATACTCGAACTCACTTCTCACTTCTCATACCGCCTTACTACCTCGTCAAACAAAATCTATCATGGCTCCCCCAGACGGCGAGATCGTCCCCGGAAGCGTCTATCTATACCAGCCTGTCAAATGGGCTCCGCCTATGTTCGCAGTATGGTTCGCAGTTGCTACCATTGCACATACCTGGCAGTGTATCAAATACAAAGCCTGGAAAGTCACTGGCCTCCATCCATTCTGCGGGCTGTGCTTCACAGTTGGCTTTGCTGTTCGTTCCTATGGAGCTTTTCATTACGACAATATCGGAGCATACGTCGCAAGTTCGATCCTTATATACTCTGCACCGTAAGTAACCAAAACTTCTCTTTGGACGTAGCTAACACCTTATTACCAGTCCCATTCTAGAGCTGGCCAACTACCATGTGCTTGGCCGAATACTCTACTATGTCCCATACTACTCCCCTCTCCATCCTGGCCGTACGCTTACCACTTTCGGCGCAATATCCAGCATTGTTGAAATCCTGAATGGCATCGGCGTCTCTTGGCTAGCGAACCCTAATGTGCTCGAGATCTATGCCGACGTCGGACATATCCTTATGAAGGCATCGCTGATCTTGCAGGTTGGTGTCATCCTCCTCTTCTGCATAATTGCTGGTGTTTTCCACAGACGGTGTATCAAGGGTGGCATCAAGTCAAGAAAAGTACAAGGCCCTCTCATCACACTGTACATCAGTATGAGCCTCATCCTTGTCCGCACAATCTACCGCATCGTCGAACATTTCGGCATCAGCCGGGCACCAGCAAATCCATCAAAAGACTGGGATCCAATGAGTCTCTCGCCAATCGTTCGATACGAATGGTTCTTCTGGGTTTTCGACGCAAGCTTCATGCTCGTAAACACCGTGCTGTGGAACTATCGCCATCCGCGTCGTTACCTACCGGAGGACTACCACATCTACCTGGCTCAAAATGGACAAACCGAGCTGCAAGGCCCAGGCTGGAAGGACGACATGCCGTGGTTCATGACTTTCATCGATCCGTGTGGGCTTACTGCGTCCATAACTGGTGGTGGTAGAAGGAAAGAGAGGCCATTCTGGGAGAATAACGGCTATGAAGCTTTCGAGCTCGTTCAAAGAGATAATGATGATGTAAGAATAAAAGTGTGAAAGGATCGATCTATTTTGGTGGGCGATTTGCAGGAGATTCGTGGCTTTCGGTTTCCTTGTCAATTGATCGATTGCGAGCTGCAACCTTGGAAGTATGCGGCATCAAGGTACCGGTGCGGATTCCGAGTACACGGAGCTAGACGGGGCGTAGATCAGAGAGGGCGTCAATTGCAGGTTGCAGGCGCAAGTAACAGGGCGCAGCGTAGTGAGAGCTGTCACCGTTTTGAGAGGAAAGGCTGATGTCATAGACGCGTCGCTGGCCTCTCAGCCCTTCCAACACACGACGAGCCCCACTACGCGGCCCGCCTGATCGTCCGCCTTCCTCTATCTAGCCATGTCTGCCTATGCTACTATTCGCGTGCATCGTGCCTGAATTTTCCCAAACTACATCAATGCTGTCGCTGCTGCGATTGAGGGTAGAGGTGCATTGCGCATTTTACCTCGGTTCCGCACAACATGACCGCGGATCTCGACACGCGTCGCATTCGGTCTTCCACACCTGCTGTGCTTCGGGAATACTACACCCAAATACTGAAAGATGCGCCAATCCAGGAGATCACGACGCAGCTCCTCTCAGCTGTTGAGAGAGGCTCGATCTCGCCCCTCACCTTCGCACCATGGCTCGGCGTAGCACAGTCGCCTTTCGCTATACGCGAAGCGCTCATCCAAGATAAATCTGTACTTGTCCGCGAGCTCGGCATCAAGTTTCTGCGCAAGGCACTTCGCTCTTCGCGATGGAGAGAGACGTGGGATGGCATTGGAGGAACTGCTGGGTTGCTTGCCATCTTTGCAGATCTCTCGGTGATCGAAATCAAGGCTGCTTGTACCGCAATTGGTCGTTCTGGTAGAGGAGCTGACCTGGATGCGAAAAGAGAGCTTTTCACGGAATTCTTCAAAGCGCTGCACCCTGACCATTTCCCCGATACCCCGCATAAGACAAAAGACCGACGTGCACTCGGAAGGTTCTACCGACTCATCATTCCTGCATGTTCGAAGGAGCTCGTGGAGGAGGCTATCGCGAGCGGGTCGAAGGGAACATGGAAAGCCGCGCGAAACAAGGATCTCGTCAAGTACTATCCGGAGTGTATGCAAGAAGAGCTCCTCCAAGCGGTGAGCGCGGAACAATTGCCCAGCGACAACATCACCATATCTACAACGCTATTGCATCACCATCCGCCAGGTAAATCGACTACAAAAGGCTTCTCCAAGTCTATGGAGTTCTCTTTGAAACTCTTGGAAACTCTCAGTAATTCAGCGCATTCGGTAGTGGAGGACGAGACTTTCATCGACCAAATCGTCAACCCTCTCATGAAACGTGCCATCAAGAACCGCGCGAACTGGGACATGATACAAAGAATCGTCGATCTCACGATGCGGTACTTGGAGAGCTATCCAAGCACAGGATGCCACATCACTGGCATCAAGGGCGACTTTCTCCAGCAGGTCGCTTATTGCTGGTCACAACAGCCAAGTTTGTTCGAACAGCAACTGCGGAGGCTCTGTTCTCATCCAGTGTTCGGCACAGCCAGCAAGACCAATATCGAAGACTGGGATGATGTCCTTGCAGAGATTCCAGCAAAGCGGAGCTACCCATTTCTGAGACTTGTTTACCAAGAGTCCACCTTGCTTGACCTTGACAGCGATACAGATCTGAAGAACACCAAGGGTTCGATACACCACAGCTTTTTCGCGAACTTGTCCCCTGCCGATGCTCTGATACTGTTCACTCGTTTGCGAAAAACAAGGGGAGATGTCGGTCTGATTGATTGTGATCAAAATGGTTCTATCTTCAGCCAAACGTCAACTTTTGGAGGTCAAAGTGGCGACCCAGATGTATTCCACATTTGGTTACTGAATCTGAACAACAAAGAAGAAGATGCCATGACGTTGGCCAATGGCTACATTGATGTGCGCAAGAGAAAGGCCGCTACTGCATCTCAACCGGAACAACGTGCGTTCTTCGCGAAGTCAGTGCTATTTGCTACTATTGCCAGTGGATCTCTCGACATGCTGAAAGACACATTAGAGTGGACCAAACGTTTCTTGCGAGATCCGCTTGTGTCACGGGAGATCTATCCCAAGATATATCCCGAAGAAGCCGCACGTCTACTATCAGGCATTCCGGAAACAATCAACAAAATGCCAACCCTAACGGAGTTGCAAAAACGAGTCGCAATGGCAAACACAATCCTGCAAAGAATGTTCGATACAGCATGCGAAGCTCTTAGGGAGCCTTCATTTAATGTGTATGATTGGGGTGGCATCTTCGAGCTACTCCACGATGTTGTTAAACTACGGATGGACCTCACACCGACTATCAAGAAGCAGCTCAATGCCTCTGACATAGGTATATATTCCTGCATTTGGGCTGTCACAATTCCGATGCTCATTGCGATTGAGGAAAAGGCGCAAAAAGAGGAATTCGCAAGATTGGAGGCGAATCATCCTCGTGGCGTCACTGCCTACCACAGATCTTTCACTGTTGAGCTTGAAAACTCCGATATCTCGACGTATGTATTCTTGGACACCCTCGCACGAGCGAGAGACGAACTATGGTGCAAGCTACGGCCATTAAACCATCCTGGAACACTTACGCTTCCTGAACCCTTTCCACGGGGACTTCCAATACAATACCTGACTGCACCGTGGATTCTGAATGTAAAGGATCTCAATGGCAGTTATGCGCCGTACATTTCATCACGTACTCAGCAAGCCATCTTCCCAGATCCGAAGACTGCTCTCCAACCCGTATCACCGGACAAAGACTTTCAAAAGGCCATTGGGCTATTCGTAGACAGTCACGAATATGCCCTACAGCTTTATATACCCAAAGCATGCGACAAGCTAGGAAGAGAAGCTCGTGTCAAAGAGGTGTGGCAGTATGCGATTAGTTCCCTTGCTTCCAGCAGAATGACAGAGGAGGAAGCCATGCGCTTTTGGAGCGATAAGAAGCCAAGCGATCTGGATGAGTGGCCGCCCCAAGGTGTGATGAGAACTATAGAGAAGCCTTGGCCAGTGATACCCGAGGATGACGGTTCGGGTGAGCCGTGTGAATGGAACCCTTTTGCGTCAAGACCGGATTTTGCCGAGCGAGAACTTGGTGCACCGACCTATGTGGACTTCTCCGTGTGCATATCGAGACTCATGGCTTCAAGATCCAGCGTGAACTTTCCGGTTGTTGAGTCACCGGTTACAGTTCCTGCCTACGAAGAAGATGCTAGTCTCATCTGGAGCTCATCACGCGATATGGGTGAGGGTGGCGTATTATCGGCTTTGTTGTATCTCGACACGAAACACGTTAACAGCGACCGTCTACTAGCGACACCGTTTCCTTCGGAAAAAGATACACGATATCCGTCTATTTATCTAGATGAGGAATTCCTCACCTCGGAGGAGCCGAATCAGTTCACAGCTTCCAGAGACATACGTGGTCGTCTCGATACGATACCTCCGACATTGCTAGCACAACTTTCACGCAACCTCGTCAAGGCCCTTGATCACGCGGACGCAGTTGAAGAAACCCACAGCTATACGGCTCTGCACGAGGTCGCTATGCAGCTCATTGCTCGACTAGGCGAAAGTGATAGACCTGGTTTGGCCATGCAGTCAGCTGTCCGTACGATCTTAGACAGGCCAAAGTCGAGCTCGTGGCACCGGGTCCTACTGAAACCGAGTTTCCTCCGAAGACTTCCGGCCTCGCAGGCCAGATTCTGCATTGGATCTCTTTCTGATGAGATCATCAGCATGGTACAGACTAAGAATATGAATAAAGAGAGCTCCGCCGATGGCGATGTTGCGCGACCCACTGGCGAGCCACAAGTGAAAGTCACTACAGTCAAGATGTTGGTTCAAATTTTCCAGGATCTTGACTTGAACGGAACAGACTACGCTCTTTCAGTGCTGTCGACACTTTCCATCATGAACACCCATGTTGATGTTCGGCTCAATATCGTCAAGAGCCTCCTGGTACTGTTCGAAAATGGCTCTCGAGATCAGTCTCGCGCAGTACTTACTCTCCTGGAGTCTTTCATACCGATAGCTGGATCTTTGAACGAAAGACAGCCGCTGGATGAAGCGCAGTGGTTGCAGTGTGAACAGGACCTCACGCTCCCCGAGATACAGGCTGGCATCTCGCTTGAGGAAGGGTCAGAATCACCGGTCCTGGTGGCTTTGATCCAATACTTCTGTTTCAAAAAGAATGCAACGGTCGAGTTCCAGCAATTCGTCGATCGAGTCTTGATGCCGATACTGCAGTCTTTGAGAGATCAAACGACGAGATGGGCAGCATTGTTTCTCCGCAAGTACGGGCTTGAAGATGCCTTGCTCCAAGACATTCGCATCCCATCTATTCCGCGAGACCCGTACGTGAACAGGCTGCTATTGAACATGGACAACGAGAAGCCAGCTCATGTCCCGCATGCTATACTTGAAGAATATGTGGAGTACATGTGCTTTATCATCGGACCTCCGGCAGCTTTACGAGCCATGAATCAACGGCTTGCCGCTAATCCTGCACTAGCTTCACTTCCTGAAGTCCAAACATGGATACGGCTATTTGGACAAGACCACAGCCTCCGGAACGGTCGCGTGTCTACAGGCTTCATTGAACTGCTAGAACACGCAGTGGATTCTTCCGACGATACAGTTATTACACCGAAACTCATCCAGGAGCAATGTCTCAATCTTTTCACAACATTGGTATTTAATGATGAGCCAACATACACCAACCTCACGAAAGGCTTCTACAATAAGTTATTGAGTGGCAAATATATTGCAGAGTCTTGGTGGTCACAGCACGGTAAACCGATTCTGAAAGCGATGGTGTCTTACGTAAACAACTTGCGCAATCGAGGATGGGAGCGCGACCCCGCCCGGAAGCCTTCGGTCCTGCCTGATACTTCTCCCTGGCGTCTTCTCTTGCTCGATTATCCATGGCCGTCACGCGATGAAGGAGAAGAGACCCGCAAGCAGAAATGCATGCTCTTCGCGGGTCAACTAGAGGCAATCATCGATGAGATGAGTAGCCAGCCAGTCTACCATCAAGCCCTTCGAGAACTGAATGCCTACCTTGCTACTGACATCGTATCTTCCAAGGGTAGCGGAAGAGCAGAAAAGCGATTTGGCACAAGCCTATACATTTACGATAAACACGATCTGTTGCACGATGCTCTCCAGAACAATCGCATCTTGACGGCGATCTACGTAGGCGACATTCGTAAGACAAGGTTGAGCTGGTTGACAGCACCGGACCTGTTGAAGGTCGATGTTGCCGTGACACTGGTCCAACTTGTGGGGAATGAAGTGAAGGAGGATCGAGCCATCGTGAATAAGGAAACCAGGCATAAGTTGAAATTGATGGTGGAAACTTGGAAGACATGTGAGAATGAGGGTGTCCGAAGAAGAGGATGGGAAATCGAGGAAAGCTATCTGTCCTAGCCTTACCTAGAAAATGGGTCATAGCAATAGTGCCTACTTTAGTTAGTAAGCAGAGTTTACGTCAGCTCGGATCCTTTGAGGCAATCCAAGGTTAGCTGGTGGCCTAATTAATATGACTTCACAACTTGGCGAGCCCCGCTTGACCTTCTCACTGCAATCCACGAAGTGTGACAATGAAGCTTCTCGAAACCGTTCAAGTCAACATGCGAAAGACGATGGACAGCATGACACCACTTCAGTACTCTTGGCCACAGCTCCCCGACCGCAAGCCCATGCCACCACTTTACCAACCACTGATATTCATCCTTACCATTATCCCATTCTTTTTCCCCAGCCGGCGTCGGATCGCCATCTGCGTTTTTCCGTTGATTCTTAACCTTTGTCTTAGGTCACCGTGCTATACCTTCGGTAACCCCTCTGCCGATTATTACAACAGCTCATTCTTTATAGCGGCACCCCTTTGGTTCCTCGAATTCGCAATCTTGTCTCCACAGAAAGGGCCCGGTGCCCCTGCATGTATTGGAAACCCGAAGCACAACGGCGCTAGCAGCGAGAGAACCTTGGACGACATGAACCTGTCATGGCAGAAAGTTCTCCGGGTGTGCTCACTCATGGTTCCGTCGCACCGTGGTATTGGTTGGAACTGGCAAGTCAAAGGCATTCCTGACGATCCGTACGATGGCTTTTCGAAACGGGCTTTTGTGGGCAGACATGCTCGAAAGATGATGATCGCGTACTTGCGGTCTATGGGCATGCTCGTGCTGCTCGGATGGGGTTCAGCTGCGGAGATACGGCTGTCGTCGGAAGCCCGCCCCTATCACCTCATTGTCGATGCGCTCATTGGCTGGTCCGGTGCGATTTGGGTCTGGGACAGATTGAACTTCGCTTATAGCTTCATGGCGGCTGTATCCGTTGCAACCGGGGTGTGCGAAACGTGGCAATGGCCGCCGCTAATGGGGAAGTTGAGGGATGCGTGGTCCGTGAGGCAGGTTTGGAGTGTGGTGCATCACCAAACAATGAGAAAGGTAACGTTGGAACTGGCTCCTCATTCCACTTTCTACGTCTTTTCTAAGATTTCCACCAATTGCACTGTGCAAGCCTTACTAACGCAAAATTTTATTGCAGATGGTCTCGCAACCCGCAGTTCGCATTGTTCGCCTCCTGGGTCTCCGCAAAGGCAGTCTCGCATCGGGATGCACTCAACTATATGTTTCCTTCGCGCTCAGCTGTCTGGTGCATGAGTTTCAAATGTTCATGGTAATGCGGAGAGACATGGGAGAATTGGTGTTCTTCATGTCGCAGCCGGTAGCTATCACCATCGAAGGTGTTGTGCAATGGATTGCTGTACACACACGGTACCGAGGAGCCGGTCATGACAATATTGGACGCGCACTAGCAAGGTATGCGGGCTACATATGGGTGGTTTTGTGGTTTTCCTTTAGTCTACCGACATACGTGAAAGGTTGCAGAGACGCAGGGATCGTTCATGATGCGATCTTCGGCGACAGACCCTTTGAGGCTGGAGTTCGTCTGGCAAGTTGGATGCTTTTGTGATGGGGAGAAAAGGTTGCTTTCGAGCAGGATGGTATACATAGCACCTTGAAAGGCAGCTCTACAAGAGCGAAATTTATATCAGAAATAGGAAAAGTGATAGAGGATGCAACTGCGAAGCTTTCAAGACGAGATGGGAGCCGGACTGCGTGAACGGGCATGATGATGACGAGGGAGCCCTTGCGCTAGAAGCTTAGCGGCGGTCCGTGCTGCCAGACCCGTCTTACAACCTTGGAAGGGTTTTGTGCCATCGAGAACGCGCCGCACCTCAGGACCACATCTAGACATACAACACTCGAGATCACGAGAAAACCCATGCGTCTTTCTATTCTGCTCTGGAGAACGCTTAGTGTCTCCGCTGCGTGCGACCCAATTGGAAGCAATGGCATGCTCATCACCAAACGGCCCCTCTTTCACATACGGATTACCGGTCGTGAGGAGAACCCTCCTGCCGGAGCAACTCCATGAACACGATGTGATTCGGTGGTTCAGGGTCTCTCAACCCCTCAGAGTCCATGAAATCAACAGATTGAGTATCCGCGTAGCTGAAAGATAGGGATTCATAAAAGAGCTTCCTTCTGCTCTCTGTGTCCAAGAACACATTCGTTCTGCACGCTCGCTCTTCTCCTACATTTGCTCAATCTTCAGTAGCCAGCCGACATGTCAGGCTGCTCGCTCGTTGCCGCGGGTCTGCCGTCCCTCATTGGGTCGGCCACCCCAACCTTCAGCTATGATCAAGCCAAGCATAGCTTTGGATTGGGCGACAACTTCGGTATTCAAATGACTTATATGTCTGGTACTTCTACCTGTTACCAAGGAACTAAGCCTACATTCACACCCATCATTTCCAACCCGTTGCTATTCTACACCCGCACCTGCTCCTACCAGACCCAGGGAGTGCCGGCCACCTACACAGGCATCTTCTGTCAGAATGCCGACCTTTTCGACTGGGTCAACATAGGTCGTTACACGATCGACAACTATGCGTTTCTTAACCCGTTCGCTGCCACCCCCCGGGCCTTCACTGCTGCGTTCGGCGACCAGCCTTCCCCAAGCACTGTCGCTACAAGCTTTGTTCAGACGACTTCGACTGCTACCAACACTGTGTTTGCGCCTGTTAGGCCTGCGGCGACTACTACAGTCTCTTCCGCCTCTGCCACCAGCACACAGACAAACATCGCCACTGTTACATTCTCGGTCACTAGTGCTATCACACAGACCTTCACTGTCTGCCCGACATCCATTCGACCGAGTTCCTCTAGCTCGTCTCCGGCACTCATTGTACCATCGTCTTCCCGCTCAGCCTCTCTCTCGGTTATACCATCATCGTCGGCACAAGTGTCTACTACCACCACGGTCGTCATCTCGACAGTTACGCCAACGCCTAGCTCAATTTCTTCACCCTTCTCCATCCCGTCACCAAGCTCATTTTCTTCGCCTTCCCCCATTCCATCGCCAAGTTCATCTGCTTCGCCTACTCCTATCCCATCGCCGAGCTCGTCCTCAACCGCGTCTTCTATTCCGTCGCCAAGCTCATCTGCCGCACCAGCCCCGAGTTCATCTTCTACACCCTCCCCCATCCCTCCGCCCAGCTCAGCTTCTGTCGTCACCACCACAGTGGTAAGCGTCACTACGACTACTCCATCGAGCTTCTCTTCCATCGTGTCGCCCTCGCCCGCTTCTTCCAGCTCATCAACTTCACCGTCTCCTATTCCATCGTTCTCTTCAGCCTCCGTCGCTACCACCACTGTCGTAAGTGTGACTACGGTTGCTCCGACACCGAGCTCCACACCGGCCGCATCATCCTCGCCTGCTTCTTCTAGCTCATCTGTACGCCCATCATCCAGCTCTGCTTCCTCGAGCCCTGCATCAAGCCCGGCTTCTTCAAGCGCTGCGTCGAGCTCAGCAGCTTTCACCCCTGCTTCGAGCTCTGCTTCTTCAAGCCCTGTATCGAGCCCAGCTTCTTCAAGCCGTGTTTCCAGCCCTGCTTCCTCAAGCCCCGCTTCAAGCTCTGTCACCCCCACTTCAGCCAGCCCATCGCCATCTGCGCCTGGTTTGTCCTGCCCCGCGAGCGATGGTGCGACGTTCACCACCCCTCAAGGGGACTTCGTCGTCGAGTGCTTCATCGACCGTACCAACTTCGATATCGGTGTTGCACCAGGCAACCCTGCGGACTACGAGCAGTGTATCCAAGCCTGCGGAAGCACTTCTGGCTGCCAAGCTGTTTCATACCTGCCAAATGGCCCTTGTTACCTGAAGAGCGGTCTTGGTGCACCCGGGTCCAATGGTGGTGTCTGGGGTGCTAGGATTGCATCAGTCTCTGTATCTTCATCTTCTTCGATGGTCACTTCTTCTGCAGGCGCTTCCTCTCAGTCGGTAGCAACAACCACAGTTGTCAGCACTAAAGTCGTCACCGCCAGTTCCTCTTCCAGCCCTGCTGCCAGTTCAGGCGCTAGTGTTTCTTGCCCTGGCTCCAACGGCTCTACTGTCACTGCCAGCGGCATGCAGTATCTGGTCGAGTGCGGTGCCGACTACATGGGTGGCGATATTGCAGGCCCAATGAGCCCGACCTACCCTAGCTCCTACGAGGGCTGCTTGGCAGACTGCTCTACCACTTCAGGCTGTGTCGCCGCCAGCTATGTCATTAACGGTCCTTGCTACCTGAAGAGCGCAGCCAACAGTGCCGGTTCGAACAGCAACATTATTGGTGGAAGACTGGTCCGCATCGTCTCAACCTCAGCGGCGCCCGCTTCCTCGACGGCACCTGCTTCCTCGTCTGCTGTTGCATCCTCGCCTGCGGCTGTCTCTTCGTCTGTGGCTGTCTCTTCATCTGCGGTTGTCTCCTCGTCTACGGCTATCTCCTCATCTGCGGCCCCCTCCTCGTCTATAGTTACCTCATCTCGCATCTCTTCTTCTATCTCCCCCTCCTTTTCTTCAGCAGCAACAAGCTCGGCTCCAGTCACTTCAGCTGCTCCAGCTCCCGGGCCCTCCACCGTTACTGTGACCACTACGGTCTCCAACACAGCATACCAGTGCGCATGCACACCTGCTAGCGTCTTCACTACATCGTCGAGCCCTACATCATCGAGCGCTCCTGCTGCGAGCCCAACAGGCGCTACTAGCTGCCCTGGTTCAAATGGCTCAATGGTCACGACTTCATGTGGCGCGGTATATGCTGTCGAGTGCAACTCTGACCGTTTCGGCAATGACCGTAAGTTCCCCTATCCAGCGTTACAATGCTCATGAGTTGACATTGTGTATAGTTGAAAATGGCCTCGTATACACCGACACGTACGAGCAATGTCTTCAAGCCTGTGACAACACGACTGGCTGTGTCAATGTCTCCTGGGTCATTGGAAAGCCTGGTGCTTGTTACATGAAGGGCAGCATCGGTGACGTCCGCACTAACTCGAATATCATCGGAGGACGCAAGCTCTCCGGCTGCTCCACCTTCAAGCTCCACCGCAAGCACGTTGTAAAGCGTGCCGGTTTCTATGGCCCTGATTCCACGTTCATTCAGGCTCAAGTCACTGCAACTTCGACTGCTACTTCCAGGACTACCGTTACCACGTAAGTATAGTATTCCTTACTTTCATCAGGCACCTGCTTATCAATGACAGTACCTCGACACCCATCTCCGGTACCGCTACACAGACGGTTTTCACGCTTGCCTCTGCCACCATCATCTCCACCACAAGCGTGCCTACCACCGTCTTCAACACCTTCAGCGTGACCACGTGCCCGACTGCTTCGCCCACACTCTGAGCACTGGGATCTCGCTCCTGACGTATGCCGACATTGTCAAATGGATCTCACTGGTCAACGCTAGGCAAGCCAATCGCAGTGCTTGTCTTTACACGATAATTTCAACTATTGTCGCTCTTTAACACACGCATTGGCACTCTTCGGTGTCTGCACGGGGTGTGTCTCAATCATAGAAATGATAGACAGTTCAATAAAATTTCTTGTTTCCTTGAACAAATATGCGCTCCGCTGCTATGATTCGTGAACTACATGGTCTATAATTCGTGACTGATAGACATTACCTCAAACCTTGCCACCGCCATAACGTCTTCCAGAAATCCACCCAAGGAGCGCGTAACAAAGCTCGTACACACTAAAAACCAGCGAGCGATCACCGAACACCCGCTAAGACAGCATTTCCACTGCGCCCGGTCGATTGTTCATGTCAAAATCCTCGGACTCGTCACTCCACCCGCTGTCCCAAACACCGGCTCCAACCTCACACCGCCAAAACTCCATCCATCGACAAAAACACCATCTTCAAACTTCTTACTAACAATAAACCCCAACGCTCCATCCAACCCCACACTGACCTCTATATCCCCCTCAATTTCTACCCACCCCTTCCCCTTGAGCTCCTCATACCTTCTCGACCCCACCCTGACCCTCACAGCATCGGGATGCAACAGCACACTTCCCACATCTAGCGTAATCTTAACATCAACATAGCGCTGCGAGAATGTCAACGGATCAAACGGTTTCCCGACGCTGAAAATAAGATCCCTCGGGGGAGTATGCGTGCTATTGTGGAAGGAGACGAGGAACTGGACTTTGTATTTCCCCTGCGGTATACCCGTTTTTATTGTGCGGAGGCAGATGTTGTCGGCTTTGATGCATTGGTACACGGCGGCTTCTTCGCGGCGGCCATCGTGGTCGAGGTCTTCGGCTACGGGGAAGATGCGCTTCAGACGCCCGGTTGTGTTGTCGAGGGCGAGCCCGCTTTCGCCGCTGGGCGAGAGGTCGCGGTATTGGGACATGCGTGGGATGTCGTCGAGATGGGGTGAGACGCCTAGCGGCATACCCGTTTTAAAATCGACTTGGGCGAGTTGGAAGGAGGAGTCCATGAGGCCGCGTCCTGTCATTCCTAGGCGGAAGTGGGAAGCGCTGATTTCGAATTTGGGTGGTAGAGCGGAGAGTTTGGCCATGCGTTGGCCGAAGTCTTTGGCGGACCGGATTTGCTCGCCGTCGTTCATGTAAAGTTCGGTTAGGGAGGCCATTTCGTCTTCTTTCATCCATTGCTCTAGGCTGACGTCTGCGAGGCCGCGGTCCACGTCGAAACGGAAGTATTTGGTGTCGGAGTTGTTGTACATGCGCTTCATTTCGTTGTCGACGCGCGCGGTGCTTGTTGCCATGCCGGTGAGTGCACTGGCTATGGAGATGTCTGTTCCGAGACCGAACGGCAGCCATGATGCCATTTTCTTTACGCTAGGGATGCTTTGCAGGCCGGTACCGACGGAGACGATGACGCCGATTGAGCGGCCTTCCCAGAGTGCTTTTGCTGCATAGTCGACTTCTGCGCATGGGTTGTTGAAGCCTACGCCGCCGTCTAGATATGTGACTTTAGGCGTGCCAAACTGCATCTCTTCGAAGAAGGTTGGTGCGGCGGAGGTAGCTCTCAGCGCCTCCCAGATTCGCGTTGTCCGGTCATTGGGATCATAAGTCGACAGAATCCTGGGTAGGCCTAACGCGTTCTTGAGAGAAGTAAGTACGAAGCCGCGACAGCCCTTTGCGTTTGCCTTCTTGTGAACTGATTGCCGGTGATGTAGCTTCCAGGTAGCGCTTCGCATTGGTTTCCGCGGGCCGAACGGACTGTCGCTAAATAATGTAGACAGACCCTTTGTGCTATCGATGCTGTCAGGGGGACCTGAAGGTAAGGAACATTGCGAGTTCTTCATTGTGCCGACCGGACTTTCTGTGAATACCGGCCCTGGCGCCGCATCTGCCCATATGCTGTCTCTTGGTAGATCAGCCGCTTCATCTACCTCTTCAAAAAGCGCCTCATCCCACATTAATTCATCAGGATCGAAGCCTAAGTCTTTCAACGCAGACTTGATGGCATTTGCGAGTACGGCACCAGAAAACCGACTTGCTCCTGTTGGAATCTTCATGCCAAATGCCTTTATCGATCGATCGTGCTTGAAGATCTGCTCCGCTAATTTACTGTAAACAGCGATGCAGGTTTTACAATCGAGTCGCAGTCGTGATAGCATGATAGCTATGATTCCACCCGTAGATGTTCCGCCGATGAGATCAAAATAATCGCACGGTTTCAGCGGTTCGTGGTCGTTCATGGCTTTCCTTCCCAACCTCTTCTCTTCCAATGCTATGTTCTCCATCAGGTTCTGGAGAACCAATAGAGACGACAGTCCTCGTACACCCCCGCCATCTAGCGAGAGCAGGCGCAGCGGCGCGTTGTCATTTCTCTCTGGGTTCGAGGATTCCATGATTGCTGGCGCCGAGATAGGCAACTGATGTCGGTGTCGTCGATATTTGCTTCTGTCGATCAGGAGTTTTCGTAAATGTGGATGGTATACGGTGTTTTGAATTCAGTCGCGAGACGTTTGCTTGTGAGTGTAGGTTGCTACACTGAAGTTGTCGAGTCAAACACTAAACCCACCTCCGACTCATATGCATGACTGGCACGAGGCGGCCTCGTCCAAATCGATGCGTGCTACAGTGGCAACGATGAGGCGTGAGTCAGATGCTCGAGTTGTCTCCAGAAAGGTTCCGAGGTTGCCTACAAGGCTGCGCTTTGCGGTATGAAACAAATGACGTGCCACCTGGGCAGGCGCGATCCCAGAATGTTACCAGAAAATCATCGAAAATCGCGGTAAGTGGGAATAAGCTTCCTATAAGTCCTGTGCCACACACCCCACATAACTACAGTTTTATGTGCTGTACGGCGTCAATGCGTTCATGGAGAATGCTCGAAGCATATGATATGGGTATTGGGGGCCATCTTACGCGCCTGCTTAGCCTATGGTGGCTAGGTCAGACCCACCTTTACGCGGAACAAGGCTACGCGCTGCGCCACGACGGATATGCGGCGCAGGCGGTCTGGATATAGCACAGACGATGTACGTTTACCTTGAGAGTTCATGTATTGCGAGTTGCATCTCCAAGAAGAGTAAAGTTGGCGAAGAAATATCATGTGGCGGGTGCAGCGGGCGGAATAGGCAGCTAAGGCCTGGTGAGGCTGTCTGCTGCAGGGTGTCAGATGTGTCAACCCAATCACTAGCGCTGTGCGATGGGGCTGCGTGCTATCGAGGTCAGCTGCCAGGCGCGGGTGATGTAAGCTCTGCATGCGTGCAGCTGAGGCTCCGCAGCACGACAGGGTGCGCCGCTCGCTCGCTCAGAGACGTCGACGAAGATTATGTTGGAATCAAACCAGGGCTGTAGTGCCCTGTGCTCTATTAGATTACAGTGTATACCCATATGTTAAAACGCTTGTGACCGTGAATGCAGCCCGTAAATGCAAATCGGTTTCTAAGTGCGCCCATATATCCAAACCCGGGGTATTATAATCAGATGCCGTGTGACGCCATGCATGCCCTCGTCTTGAAGTCGTTAAGTCGTAAATCGTGGTCGTTAAAGTCGCTCTGCAGCGCGGAGTCCGCTAGTCATATTCTACGCCGAATTAGTGAGGTGTTGCGTGGAAGGCGCATGGGGTGAACTTACAAGTAGTTTTGCGCGGTATGCTTCCCAATCTAGATTCAACATGTCAGTACTCGGAAACCCGTGCAGTCGAAGAAGGCAGACGTACGTTGGTCGTAAATTTGTTGCAGCATCATATCCGACTCCTTCGCTCTTAGTGTGCGAAGTGTCTCCATTTTGGGGCTGTCCTTCCTCCTCAACTTTTGCCTGGGGACGTAGATCGGGGAAGGCGAAGGCTTGATGGTCCAATGAGACGGCGGAAAATAACTTAGCGAGTGCGAGCGAGCGTGTGTTGTTGGCACCATTGGAGAGCTGGGTGGTGACGTGGCAGGTGTTGATGGGCTCGATACACAGAAACTGGCAGACTCGGAGAAGACAGATGGCGATGGCGATGAAGTCGCAGAGCTGTTGGAGATGACGGGTGACAGTACTATCGGCGATGGGGGTTCCACAGGAGCGAATCGGGTAGGACCGGGTCGTCGCACGCTTCCCTTGCCCGAAAGTGGCGATGGTCTTTTGATGTCGACAACACGAGGGGTCCTCTGCGGAGTCGCGAATTGCGACTTCGTGGATTTCGCTTTGGGATTCGGGGTGGTGCTGGGTTCCTTACGTGGCAGCGCTGGTGACGTGGGCTCCTTGGTGGTGGTGTGGGCCGACTCCGACGATCGCACATCCTCTCTGCGCGACAACGGCGATGGCTTTCTTTCGGCGGCAACAGCGCGTCGCACCTTTGATGGCAGCGTGTTTCTCCGGCCGAACAAAGGAGTTGGACTTTTGACGATGTCATCCGCGTTGAACTGGAAAGGCTCGGATGGCCGGGATGGTAGCGATGGTCGGACTGATTGTGAAGGCAGCGAGTTGCTTCGGGCGAAGAGGGGTTTAGGGACCAACTCGGTTTGTCCTCCAAAGTGGAACATGGGCGGTCCTTTCATCTCCATCTCCGGGTTCTCTGGTTCCTCTGCTGGCGTTGTGGGCGGCGATGTTTTACATTTGTACTGATAGAAGACGCGATGCGGATTGCGTCGCGGAACGGGAGGTGTTTTGCATAGCGTCAACGTCTCGTCCAACAACACGTCGAGATCCTCCTCCATCTTCCTTTTCATAGTAAACGCGATCCAGTGGTAGTCGATGATGCAGCCCCGGCAGTGCGAAGCGAAGATAAATAAGTTGGTGATGAGGCGTAAGCAAGCGAGACGGGTGTCTAATCCTGACACGAAGCTGAAGGTTCCATGGAGTGTTAGGGGAAAAGGAACGGATCACCCGCCTCCTCTACAAAGTTAATTAGTCGGTCAGGTCCTTGATTCCGTGCGCAACACGCGAGCCAGCGCTAGACGTCATTGGACAAGCCGCTGGCGCTGCAAGTTGCGGTAAAGCTGGCTGGATGCGATCGAAGGTTTGCCAGCGTGGCTAGGACCCATAACCCTGCATCCTCATTTTAAAATGCCCCACGACGCGGGCGATCACGCGCAAGTCCCAACAGTCTTCCTCAGGTGAGGCCATGCAAGTAATCCGACATGTGCATTTGCGGTTTGGCGCTGATGGGGTGATGAAGATGAGATGAGTGAGCATCGTCTCCGGTTGTGCCTGGGTAGATGCTCGTCATCGCCGCGAGACTGGACGGACAAACCGGGCGCTAGGAGCCGTGCCCGGTAACGCCTTCCCCAGGAGTGTACCTCGCGATCGAGATCCAACGGTATTCAACGTCAGGCATCATGTCATACCACATGCATCGCTCGCCATGACGGATGGCAACACCCTGAAGTCGAGGTTGAAGTCATAGAGATGGCCTACTTCGGAGTCTTACGGCTCAGGAGAGCAGGTTACGTAGTGTCACCACACTCTGCACGGAGTCCAGGCTCATCGGGATGCCTCCGATCAAGCTTCAGCATGGCAAGGGTGGGATGCATACCCCGGTGTGGTTTTGTGGTCTCAGCTTCTCAGTGACGCTGCTTGCCCAGCCAAAGACGGTGTGTAAACTTGTGTCCTCATTATGCGAAAAGCGCATCTCATATTATCCACTATCGTACCGCCATATTACAATCATGTATTCTTCAAAAACGTCAAGGTCGTGTAAGTACGACAGGAAGTAGCATGTCTTTCGCCTTCTAGATGCAAACATAAAATGCAGCGCCTGGTATCACCGTGAAAATGCAAAGGGAAACCGTCATTCAAGCTCAGCGAACGTCAAGTGCATCAGTCAAGTTCGCCAGAGAACGTCTGTCGACGCCTTGCTGGGGTCCCGATGTTGTTGAGCGGGATGCCGAAGTCGTCTTCTTCAGCCCAGTCAGCATCATCATCTGACTCCCAGGCGCATGGAATCTTCTCAGCGCGGCGTACACGGTACGTGATGAAACCAAACCCATTTGAGATGCTCGTAGCGATACGGAGCATGACGGATACCAGGTGTGCGGGCGGCCCCAGAACAAGCTCACACGTCTTGCTCACCAAGGCGTTTGTAAAGTCTCTCCCAGGGTTGTGCTTTGGTGGGCAGAACAGGTTCTGCGCTGGAGGCATAGGAGAGAAGGCACGTCTCTGTGAAGCTCCTGTGAGCCTCTTCATGCGGATGGCATCCGGTGGTGTGGGGATGTCTATGCTTGCACGTCCGAGGCTGTCGTCGTCGGAATCGCTCATAAGCGGTGGTGTCGAAGGTGCTGATGACGGTCGTCCATCGATCGAGGGAACCGCGAACGGATAGTATGGAGCAGTAGGAGTCACAGGTGCCGATGCATCTGTACGTTCGGTTGACGGGCCGCGGACAGTAACCTCAGATACTTGGCGTCGGTGTATTGAACGGCCCCTGGGCTCATCTTGCTGCTTGGAAAAGAAGTGTGCCCATGGGTTCACGACATCAGCCTCAGCATCCTCGAACTTGGGAGAAGGACTCCGTGGAGTGGCAGTATCTAGAGAATAGAACGAGTCTGCGCTCGAGGCCAGACTCAAGGCGTCCGAAATCTGGCGTTCCAGTATGGGTTTCTCAGTTTCGGATTGCTTTGCTGGTGGAGACTCGACTATGCGCTCCATGGCCGAAACTGATTCTCTCCTGGGCGCTCGAATGGGCGCCGTAACTGATCGCAGGCCTTGAAACATGCTGGCGCGTTCTGCTACCGATGGGCGACGTTGAGGTGATCTGGATAGGAGAGACTTTGGTGCTGCTCTTGCCAAAGGGGTCTCGGGTGCGGCCGGCACTATTTCGCTACTGTCAGTACAAACGCTCGACCGGTCGTCCTCTTCGTATGAAGACGTGGTACCAGTCTCTGAGCTCATAGTACCAGAAGTAGAAGGCCGAGAGCCATGTTGCTGCGGAACCCAGGTCTTGTCCATGACCCACTTCTTTGCCTGCCCTGAGGGCTTCCTCTTTATCGTCTTGCGTGGGGGGCTCTTTGGGCGCTCGAGCTCTGCGACGACCTCGAATCCTCGCGCGAACGGGCACTGCGTCCTCTCGTACTGCATGACTTGCGCCAGTACCGACTTGAACTGCGTGATCTTGTCCTTGTCGTCGTCCGTCTCATAGGGGAGCTCGATGCGGTAGTACGAGTCCTGGCGTATGCGCAGTACGAAGACGGACTGATTGTCGACAAGCCATATCTGGGACCTGGGAAAGATGGTGTGCAGGAGGTTGCCGCTGTTCAGGAAGGAGACGTTGGAGGCTGTCACACGATAGATACGGAGAGCCCCTGTGATAGGTTAGACAAGTTCCAGCCCGGTGACACATGGGATGGCATACCGACTGCGAGTGTGCGCTCTGTAGGCGTCTTCCATGGTATCGGATGCGCTGCGTCACCTGAGCGAGAAGGCGACAGGCGCCGCGCCGGCCCAGCTGTGGTGAAGGAGAAGATCTTGGAGTTGGCACACACGAACAGCGTCTCTATGCCGTCTGCACTGTTTGTAGACGGGGCAGGCACCGAGGTCGTCCTCCGTGCAGTGCGCGCGGGGAGTGTGAAGCTGCGCCTCGAGTTGCTGGGGTTGAGAGCAGACGGCGCGTGCTCAGAATGCTGGGATGAAGCCGGCATCGTCATAATAGGCTTTCTATAGGGGCATTGCTATCCTGGTAGGGCGAGGTCGAGGTGAAGGATCCCGACAGAAGACAGCGGCCGGCGCTTGGAAAGAGTATTACAAGAGTTACTGCGGAGTCGGGGGGTGATGGAAAGGCTGAAGGGATTGGAAGTCCCTGGCTTCGGAACGCTACGCGCTTTGGCCACAGGGACGACGTCGAGTTTCAACCTGGTCAGCGGATCGTCTGAACCCCGCGCGCGTCCAGTTGCCAGTTATGCCGCCGGTTTGAGATGGAATGGTTGAGGATAGGTGCGTGTTCTGTTGATGCACCGGCTTCTCCTATCAACAATGCGTTCTTTGCTTTGTTTGCGACGCGCTGCGCTACGATGGGTCCGTGGGGAGCTGTCAGTACGTCATGGGCTCCGCCAGTTCGCAGGCGTTCGCACACGACCTCTACGTGGACGCATTCCAGGTTTGCTGCGCTGAAAGCAACACCAGACCGTCTGTGCATCCGGCGAGCTTGCCAACATGGACAAAATCGACATGTCCCAGTTCGACGTATCCAACTTCGACCCCAACGCCATCCTGCGGGGAGCCCAGCTTACTCTGGTTGGCGGTAGGTTGAGTCCATCATGGTATCGTGAGTGACAGCTGCATTCTGACACCGCCCCAGTCAATCGGGCTGTCCAGAACCCGGGTCTCTTCACTTCGGACCACTATCGTCAGGCTGCTATTGCTGTAGCTGCAGGCATCGCTATCCGCATCATCGTCGCCATACCCGTACGTCTCAACCATCCACGCATGCCCTATCCCACGCAAACATCGCCTCTAATATGGCCAGATTGTCGGTGTTAGAGTGCTACTATGGGTCCTCTCCCTCTTCGTCAACATGGACCACACGAGCATGGACGAAAGCGTCGTCAACGGCCTCCACTTCCTTGAGCACACCGTCCTCCAGGTACCCTTCTTCCTCATGACCATGATGCGCTACGTCACACCCACTCTAGATCGCATGTAAGTATGCCCGTATCAATTCCAAGGTTTTGCTGACAACGTTTTCCAGGTTCATGGACTCCCTGCGTTGGGTCGACGAGACGTACGTACAGAAGCACAAGAGCGAAGACCCCCACAACCTCCGCGCCATGTATTACCCAAACCTCGAGAAATACCCCGACCACGCACCCAAGCCCGAGAAGGAGAAGAAGCCTATCAAGCAGGCTATAATGCTATACGCAACAAAGCAGGGGAGGAAGGCAGCCATCTCTTTGGCAGTACTGGCGTTGTCTTACGTACCATATGCAGGACGCTTCGTGCTGCCCGCTGCCAGTTTCTACACATTTAGGAAATCGGTGGGCACCCAGCCGGCAGCAGCCATCTTTGCGGGTTCATTGCTGTTCCCCCGCAGATATCTGGTCAGCTTCCTACAAGCTTACTTTTCATCACGAACTCTTATGCGTGAGCTGGTAGGCACCTCCTCAACAAACTCCATAATCACTTGCTGACTACAAACAGCTTGAGCCCTACTTCACACGCGTCCGCTATAACAAAGAGCAGAAGAAGCTTTGGTTCAAAGACCGAGCCGGTGTGCTCTTTGGTTTCGGCCTAGGCTTCTACATCTTTGTCAAGATACCCCTCGTCGGCGTCCTCATCTACGGTCTCGCCGAAGCGTCCACGGCATACCTCATTACGAAGATCACAGAGCCGCCGCTCCCGCCTACCGAAGCCGAGAAGTTCAAGGAAGAGTCACTCCGCTGGAAGAACAAACACGAGTTCCTGAACCTGCCATGGCAGCATATGGACGAATACAATCTCGCAATGCACAAGCCCAAGATTCAATCTGAAGTACGTCAAACACCACGAAAGACGTTCAGCTAGTTTGCGATGACGTGGAAACCTCGGATGACAAACTCTATGCGAGCGGAAAACTGCCGCTCAACATGACGAATACGCAACCTCGCACCTTACAAAACGAACCGCTGTTAGGACATGCGCCGTCGGCAATCAGGTATATCTAGCTGTCACGATATCCGGCCGCTGTACGATGATGGTACCATTATGATTATACCCCGCAGTGGGGTCAATGCGTCCCGTTGTGGTAGGTAGCTCACAGCTCCATCCGATCATACGTAACGTAACAGCCCCATATCATGGAGCTTATCACCCACCTTGTAGTAATAGTTGGTGAATATGGGATTCGGCCTTGTCCTCGGCACGTATCTATTCGTCCCAGATAACAATTGATAGGTTGAGAGTTGCTCCTTCCCCGCGTCTGTTGCCTTCATATACGTGACTTGCCCCTCTCGCGACTGGACGCGTCTTCCCTTATTATCTGACTTGCAGATTGTTTTCTTCTGCCCCTCTCATCTCCCAAGCTTAATACATTCCGAAATCTCGATATGGGCAAAGAAGGCCTACGATATGCGGCGAAAGTCTCGCTCGACAAACCAGCATCGGAGCAGGAATGCCTGCACGTACGTCAGATACTCACAATCTCAGAAATTGATCGTCAAAGATAACACGTGCAGAACCGCTGGCATCCCGAGAATCCCTCCTACGGAACCATCAAGCCTGGCGAAGCTGTCAAGATCGAATGCGTAGATTGGACTGGCGGTCAAATCGGTAACAACGACTCAGCAGACGATATCCGTGATGTCGACCTGACCAAGATCCATTACTTGACTGGTCCTTTCGACATCGAAACTGCGGAGCCTGGCGATGTCTTGGTAGTTGATATTCAAGATGTACAGCCGCTGGAAGACCAGCCATGGGGTTTCACGGGTATCTTTGCGAAAGAGAACGGCGGAGGTTTCCTGGATGAGCTTTACCCAGAACCGTAAGTTCGCAAGAGGAATATCATATTCCAAGGAAGGCAAGAGAACAAGAACGAATTGTAGACTGACGCACATACAGTGCAAAGGCTATCTGGGACTTTGAAGGCATCTTTTGCAGCTCCCGCCACATCCCTGGTGTGAGATTCGCAGGCCTCATCCACCCTGGCAGTAAGCATACTTCATCTCCCCAGTAAACACAGAACTAATCACGTTATCCACGCTCTCAGTCCTAGGCTGTGCTCCCTCCGCCGAAGTCCTCGAAACCTGGAACACGCGCGAAGCCGAACTCATCTCAACGCACACGCACCTAAACCGCACCGTCGCAGAACCACCGCAACCACAAAATGCCCACGCCGGCTCCGCCACAGGTTCCGTGAAAGATAAGATTGCCAAAGAAGGCGCGCGCACAATCCCAGGACGTCCTGAACATGGTGGGAATTGTGACATCAAGAACCTCTCCCGAGGCTCCAAAGTCTTCCTCCCCGTCCACGTCCCCGGTGCAAAGTTCAGCGTGGGAGATTTGCATTTCAGCCAAGTAAGTCGTTGCAACCCACGAAATCAAGCCTGAACAGAATACGCGAACTAACGTCCCCTCTTTCCTAACAGGGCGACGGCGAAATCTCCTTCTGCGGCGCCATCGAAATGGCAGGTGTTATCACCATCAAATTCAGCGTCATGAAGGGCGGCATGAAGCAGCTCGATATGAAGAGTCCTATCTACATTCCTGGTCCCGTAGAGCCGCAATTTGGTCCTGGCAGGTATATCTACTTTGAGGGGTTCAGTGTGGATGAGCATGGCAAACAGCATTATCTTGATACTACGGTGGCGTATCGTCAGACTTGTCTGAGAGTGATCGAGTATCTGAGACGGTTTGGTGAGATTTTTTTACGATTTGTTTCGTTTTGCTACGCTTTCTGGTCTGGTCCTGCCTAGTCTGCCCTGGCGAGGTTCGAGGCTTTTGTTCCGTTTGTTTATTTTCCGGATTTTCGATTCCTTGGCATACTTGTTTTTGGTTTGGAGTGGAAGTTGATCGTCGTGTACGTGACGATGGGGGGTTGGTTTTAAGTTTCAATTAGCGTTATCTTTCTGAATCGTTTACTGACTCCATGATAGGGTACAGCGACTACCAGATCTACCTTCTGCTCTCGTGCGCCCCGATACAAGGTCATATAGCTGGTATTGTCGATATTCCCAACGCCTGTACGACCATCGGACTACCGATTGACATCTTCGACTTTGATATCAGCCCGCAGCTTCCAGCGGAGAAGCGCGATCTTGGGTCGTGCGCATTCGCTGGCAAGAAGTAGATGGTGTGCTCGTGGTGGTCTGGGTATGTTGAACGTGTAGAGGGTTTGTGAGGATGGGTCTGAGGCTGGCACAGGAAGGTCAGTGCTTAGCGATTGTTGTGTCGCCAGAAGTATGATTAGGCTGCTTTTCTTTAATGTCTGATCAAGTAGAATGTCACCATGCTCGAAGCGAATTCACAAACATGATGTGTTATATTAGTCATTGGTATGGTTGGGGAAGACAGGGTATCCAACATCCCTGAAGGCAGACACCGCAGGCCATTTTATGAGCCTCGTGGCTTCTTCATAGAACCTTGTCTGCCGCAGAAACTGCACCTCATTAGCAAACTGTATTCGTTGTCAACCAGTAAGAATCCATACCATTCAAACCTGTGTTATCAGGCTCGACGTGGGCTGCTTTAACGGCACCGTTCTCGATGACCAAAGCGTATCGCTTTGAGCGGTCACCTCCGAAGATGGATGCGCCGTCGAAAGAGAGGTCAAGTGCCTTGGTGAAGCTCAGGCTAGGGTCTCCAAGGAAGCGGATCTAGAAACGTCAATATGATATCTCCTTGCCCTGGGAGTGAACAAGAACGTACGCCGCTGGAGCCGGATGGATCGAGCATCTTACCCCATGCTTTCATGACGAAAGGGTCATTCACGGAGACAACAAAAATCTTGCCGGCATCCTTCAGCTTGGAAGAGTTGATGTAGCCGGGGATATGGTTCTCAGAGCACGAGGGCGAGAAGGCTGCGGGAACACCTGTGCGAGTTGTCAAACACATGTTCACTCAAGACACGCTAGGAGATATTTACCGATAATGACACCCTTTCCAGTCAACTCGTTTGCCAGGTTCACCTTGTTGCCTGGAGAACCCTCGACGAGGTCGACGCTTGGTAGCTTGTCACCGACATTGACGAATGCAGGTGCCGAGGCGTGGAACAGACGTCGACCGGCGACTGGACGGACTAGGGGTAGGCGGCGGGCGGTAGCGAACATGGTGTGTATGCAGGTAGAAGTGCGTGTATGTGGGCGTGTGTGAAGAGAGCACGTGTGCACTTGGTGGTGGTGAGGCACTGGTAGTGGGGGTATTTCGGTCGGAAGACGGCAGGCGCGCCCACCGGCCGCGTTCCACTTGACGTGTGCACCCTGTCCCCGAAGTATGCAATATCGGAACACATGGCAGCATCGTGTCCATAAATAAGCAGCTGTATATGCAGGTTAGTCCTGAGTGCACCAGCAAATTGCGGATAATGATACTGACCCATCCGACCCACACCGGTACTAGCGCACTCCAACTGCGCGCTTGCTGCTGTATGCCGATCGTGCCTCAAGCCGGTGGTGAATCGTCAACGGCGTAATCAGTGGGGACATGGGCTGTAGAAACACGGAAACATTGGCCGGAACAGCGACGCCAGGCGTACCATGGAAGCCGAAAAAAGACTGCAGGTACTATGGCAGCTCGTCCAAGTGTGTGTGTGCGGCATAGAAACGGGCTGCGACTCAGTCTCTTCGTGGCCGTGTCCCGTGTCCTGTCATAGCAGCTGCCCCCTGGCTCGTCTCCTCGGCACGTCGCCCGCTTGGCTTGCTCCTAGCGCATGCTCGACTGCATTCCTCTCAAGCCCAGTGTTAACCTGCTTTAGGCCCGTTTAGCTCCCAAGTGCCCGCGCAGAGGTGCCCATGTCTCCCTGTTTCTTACACTTGAAGGTTCCAGATCTCGTCCATCGCCCTCCGTCCGCCTGCAACACGGCGCGCCCTTATTGGGAAATTTCGTCATCGCCCTACCACCACCGATCCGCCCCCGGCCAAGCAAAAGTTTAGACCCATCGAACGCGCAACCGGAACCTTGCGCACCGTCCCCCGTAGCTCCATCGCGGTCGCCTCCAGTGGTGAAGACTGTGACTGGAATTCCGCATATCCCTTAGGCATCGACTCGACTATCCGGGTGCCGTCGCGCATCAACACGGATCACCACCAACGGCATCTACGCCTATAACGCAGGCCAATTCACCATCATGGATCCCAGCCAAGCCGGTGGGGGAGGGTCCAACAACTCCAGCGACTTTGTGCGCAAGCTGTACAAGTAGGTTGACGCGCCCATGCGCGCTGTGTCTTTGCGCTGAACGTCATTTAGGATGCTGGAGAACCCGAGCGACGAGAGTGTAGTACGATGGGGAAACGATGGCGACAGTTTTGTCGTTCTGGAAGTATGCGCCTCGGCCCTTCACCACAGTGGCAGACTTGCTGACCCAGGCACAGAACGAGAAATTCACAAAACACATACTCCCTAAGCACTTCAAACACAGCAATTTCGCCAGTTTCGTCCGCCAGCTGAACAAGTACGATTTCCACAAAGTTCGTCACAACAACGAAGAAAATGGACAGTCACCTTACGGACCTGGAGTATGTGGCATTCCTGGATACGTCTGCGGATATCGTGGCTAACAGCCCCATAGGCTTGGGAATTCAAGCACCCCGATTTCAAGATGAACAACAAGGATGCGCTCGACAACATTCGTCGAAAGGCTCCCGCGCCACGAAAACCCAACCAAGCCGCCGCTGAAGAGTTTGCGCCCTCGCAACAAATGGACATGGTCAGCGGACAATTGATGGCCACGCAAGCCCAACTGCACGCGCTCGAGAGTCGCTATAGTGAATTGAGCATCCACCATTCAATGCTGTTGCAAGAGGTCATCGGGCTACAAAAGACGGTTGTCAACCACGAGCATGTTATGCAGCAGATCATGACTTTCCTACACGGCGTTGATGCGACGCAGAGGAGGAACAGCAAGCTCGTTTTCCCCAACGGCACCGACTCGCAGAACGGCAGCATGGAACCCGCCGCGGCCACCGACGACGATAACCCTGCTTCTCCGTTGCAGCACGCTTCTAAACTTCTAAGCGAAACAAACGCAGATGCTATGTTGAACCCCCGAAATCTGGAGCAGATGAACGAGATCACCATGCGGATGAACGGCACCTTGACAACACCACCACCGGATTTCGCGCGAGCAACACTGCGGCCGACGAGCCGCGGACCGCCCTCAGCGACTTCTACCAACTCCATGCGTCTGGAAAACCTCGATAACCTCGTTTACCCTGTCGGTTCCAATCAAGGTATCGACCCCATGTACAGCGAGCACATCAACAACATTCCATATGCTGCTCCACCGAAAGCAGTAGAGTCCAGTGAGCCCAGGATCCCAGAGCCGAAGAGGAAAAATGCTATTCCAGACCCAGGATGGATTCGACCACCTCAGATCTTGCTTGTTGAGGACGACCCCACGTGTCGTCGAATTGGAAGCAAATTCTTGTACGCTTTCCACTGCTCCATCGATAGTGCCGTAAGTCATGTACTCTTTTCATTTCTACGCCATGCTAATTGAACCCAGCTCGATGGCTTGGAAGCTGTCAACAAGATGAACGCTGGCTCAAAGTACGATTTGGTTTTGATGGATATCATTATGCCCAACCTGGATGGTGTATCAGCATGCCACTTGATTCGACAGTTTGACACTACACCGATCGTTGCTATGACTTCTAATATTCGAAGTGACGACATCTCGATGTACTTCCAGCATGGTAAGAGAGACGCAGTCATTTCTTGTCTCTGTACTAACATCTTCAGGTATGAACGACGTTCTCCCAAAGCCGTTCACCAAGGAAGGTCTTCTACACATGCTAGAGAAGCACCTTGTGCATCTGAAAAAACCAGTAGCTCAGGCTGACGGGACCATGGTGGCACCTCAGCCTGTGCAAATAGCACGACAACTGGTGCTCAAAGAGGAAGATTCTCCAGCCAAATCTCCCCAGGCGGTCAGCAACTGGAACTCACCCAACCAAATGCCGGGCGTCTCTCCGGTAGGCAGCACGGTCCCAGATGATTTTGCGCAGGCAATGCGAGGCCAGCCAGTCCAACACCCAGGTCCATATGGAGTGAGCCCCATGCACGGGAACATGGGATACAGTACCTCACCACACATGCAGATGCAATCACAGCAACAATCACAACTAGCGCCAGGTCATCGCCGTCAAGTCTCGGAAATATCAGGAGGCGACGATATGAATAACCCAGCGAAGCGTCAGCAAATGTACCCTCCCCAAATGCAACAGCAGATGGGGCCCATGCAGCCGCGCCCACGTTGATAGCAGGCGCAACGACACGGTCAGGCGGTCTTGCTATTCAATCATCACAACGAATGTGGTGCAGCCACCTGCTGCAGGATGACAGGTGTTAATCATAGGCTGTACTGTTGGACGAAGATGTCCCAGCCATTTCAGGGCCGATAGTCGTGATCGGCCCTTGTATCTACAGGAGAAAAGGTGCAAGAATAGGATAGCTCAGGGAGCTGTCTGCCAGGGTATTTAGGACCTGCAGGGTCTGAGGCGTTCCAGGTTATCCATTGTATCAGGTCCGGGTTGGACGGCTGCTAGAAAATACCCTACTTGCTAGATAAACAATTCCATTCTTCTCTCGAATATAGGGAAGACAAAATCAGGCAATGTCAAATACTTGTACATTGTTTTTTCCATCGTGCGCTGCTGTGAAAAATATATGATTACTCGTGTGTTTGGATGTCCAAAACATCTATTACTAGCTACCGAATTGCAAGCTTCTCATGTAGAGCCGCGTTTTTCATTCTTCAAGTCAATCCTCGCCAATCCTTCCAGGTGCAAGTGTCGTCGCAATAAGCATTCCCGAGCACATGTGTGCCCTGGTGGTCCAGACCTTGATAGCCAGCCCAGAAGGCCGCGCACGAGCATGTTCGAGAATCATGCGCAGCGGCTTACCCGCAGAGCCACCCCGCTAAAGGATCTGAGACGTGACGGAGACCCGAAGATCTGGTAGGCGTGGTGGTCCCTGGTCGGGGGCTTGTGACTCAGCGGTGGTGGTCAGTTAGTGGGAGCTTTTTTGGGAGGTTGTAGGCCAAACCCCTCCACGTGCACCACGAATCTAGAATTCTAAGCGCCCCTTCGACCTTTTGCGCAACACACTACCAAAAACTAAACATGCCTCCCAAAGGCAAGAAAGGCCAAGACAAGGGCAAGTCAGGCGAGGAGGAGCGCGACGAGCCGCTGCAGGCTGTGGTAGGTTGCGCAACGTCCTTGTCCGCGAATTATGCTAACCCGGTAGATACTCGCGGATCCTTTCGAGACACGCTTCAGTCCCTTCACACTCGAGCACCCAAGAGTACGCATCCCCCGAACATTGCCAGCTGCACGCTGACACATGCTAGTGTCTTCTGCCCCTCGCGAATACCCCGCTCATCGAGTACACGTTCGAGTTCCTCGCCAACGCCGGCGTGGAGGAGGTCTTTGTATACTGCGGCGCACACAGGGAACAGGTTGAAGACTACATCAAGGGCTCGAGATGGTCCTCCAAGTCGTCACCCTTCTCGCGACTGGAGCTAATCCAGTCGACATCACACTCGATTGGTGATGCGATGCGAGATCTGGACAGCAGAGGCCTGCTGGTTGGCGACTTCCTCTTAGTCTATGGCGATGTGGTCAGCAATCTGCCCCTGGAGTCTGCGCTCGCAGCGCATAGGGCGCGGCGGGCCAAAGACAAGAACGCTATCATGACCATGGTGCTCCGCGAGGCAGGCGCGACACACAGGACAAAGGCACAAGGCACAAGTCCAGTCTTTGTAATTGATCCGCAGAAAGACAGATGCCTACATTTCGAACAGATGCCGAACCGAGACCAGACGCACTACCTCTCCATCGACCCCGAGCTGCTCTCTGAACATCAAGAACTTGAAGTCCGCCAAGACCTGATCGACTGCGGCATCGACATTTGCACACCCGACGTGCTTGCGCTATGGAGCGACAACTTCGATTTCCAAGCTCCGCGTAAGGGCTTCCTACACAGCGTACTCAAAGACTATGAGCTCAACGGCAAGACCTTCCACACACACATCATCTCGGATCACTACGCGGCAAGAGTACGGAACCTCCACGCATACGAGTCGGTCAGCAAGGATATCGTTTCACGCTGGGCATATCCGCTATGTCCGGACAGCAACCTCGTTCAAGGACAGTCATATCGTTTACAAAAGGGCAACACATACAAAGAGGAAGGCGTTATACTTGCGCGTGACTGTGTCATTGGGCCAAAGACAGTCATCGGGCGGGGCACCAGCATAGGCGACAAGACCGTCATCACCAACAGTATCATCGGAAGGCATTGCCAGATTGGCCGAAACGTCAAGATTGACGGCGCATATATTTGGGACTACGCTAGCATAGCAGACGGCAGTACAGTTACCAAGGCCATCCTCGCGAATGAAGTGGCCATAGGGCGCAGGTGTACCATTGAAGCTGGTGCTCTGATCTCATATGGGGTCAGCATCAGCGAGGGTATGACGATACGAGGAGAGCACAGAATCACAAGAGCAAAGCGGAGACGAGAGCAAGGAGAGGAGGTCGTTCGTGGCGATGCAGACCCAGCGACAGTTGGCGAGAAAGGCGACGGCTTCGAATTCCACGACTCTGACGAGGATGATGAGGACGAGCTGGTGGATGGTCTGGCCACCAAGGGCTCAGGTGAGTGCATCGTCATCAACAACTACCTATGTGTGCTAACAAGGACAGTGTACACTTTCTCGAACGAGTCAATATCCACGATCAACTCGGATTCAGAAGCAGACATGATGGGCATGGAACGCCACGACAGATCCGCCACAAGTAGTTTCCTGTCGGTGGGGTCGGCCGACAGTCAACACGCGGCAAACTTCGATCACGACGCGTCTGCAAGTATCTACGATTCGCTAGTCGAAGGCCATGAATCGGCCAACATTCAACTGGAACTCACAGCCCTCCGCATGAGCACAAACGCATCGGACCACCAAGTCAGACGTGCAGTCGTCTCCTCCTTCGTCAAGCGCGTCACGCAGCTTACCAAGTCGGGCGAAGCGATCAAGAGTGCCGTGGCGCAGGTCTTTGGGCAGCACAAAGAGCTCATCGACCGCTCCATCTTCGACAAAAACGCTGAAAGCAAGACGGATCAGATCGACTTTATGCTATTGCTCCAAGCAGACCTATGCAACAAGGAGAACGGAGATGCGATCCTGCTGAGCGCATCAACAAAGCTTGTTGAGTTGGACTCGATAGAAGAAGATGGCATGATACAATGGTGGGAAGATGAGAAGAGCACCGAGAACGCGGACATGGAGAAGGTAAGGGAGAAGACGAAGAGCTTGATCGATTTCCTGCAGCAGGAGAGTGAGGATGAGAGCGACGAGGAGAGCGACGAGGATTAGTGCTGGCCACAGCACGATGGAGGTTTGGTAGATTGGGGTCACTACTGTACCAGATGTTCAAGCCCACGAGTCGATGTGGAAAAGCAATGCTAGCATGAAGTCACGAAAGTCTATGTCGATGGCCGGTTTCATGTGCGAGCATAGGCGACACCATTATAGAGGCGACGTCTCGGCCGCTGTTGTCCGCAATACACACTTGTGCCTGCGAAAGTCAAAGAGACTCCTTGAGGGTACACTGCGTTTTAGTATAATAGACTGGTAACACGTGAAATGGTATGCCCTAAGCGCGCGGTGAAATGTGGAGAACGCGGTCAGGTTCCGGACGCCCCTGGACTGTTGCCTCCCAGAAGGCGCTAGGGCCACCCCGATGAGTGCCCGCATCGAGGACCAGCAATCGACTGCCAGACGCCAACTCTCACTTCCTGTGACTCCTTCCCTTCTGTTCTGCTGACCAATACCCTGCTGTTCCTGCACACCTGTACCGCCACCCACCACACGCGCCTCAGGCCTTATCTCGTCTTTGCACGTCGCTCCTTTCGCCGCAGCCTGTCGAGCCAGCGTTCCGTCATCAGGCGGGACTCCTCCATCATCACGCCGTCCACTACCCTTCGCAAGCGGAAGGCCGACGAGGCAGACAACTACCTCAGCCCCGCCGAGGAATACCCCCATAAGAAGACCAATCACTCTGTTGTTACTCTACCAGCCACGCCCGCAACCGACGCCGGCAAGATGGACTCCGACGACGACTTCAACAGCTCCATGAGCGGCGATGACTTTGACGACCAGGACAGCGACCTGGACCTGGAAGAGGGTGCGCATTCCCCAGCTGCTACTGCACGCATATGTTGACACTGCCTAGACTCCGACTTTGACATGGACCAAGATGACGTCGGCTTTGAATCGCAAGACAAGGACATCAAGCCCACGAAGCAGGCCTTCGAGGTAGACTTCAAAGTCTTCGACCCCGCCCAGATCCAAGCACAGCAAGACAAGCAGGTCGACGAGGTCTCGAGCATCCTCGGTCAGCCGCCCGAAGCCGCCGCTATCCTCCTCCGGCACCTGCGATGGAACAAGGAGCGCCTGATCGATCAATACATGGAGAAGACAGACGAGGTCCTAGAGCTAGCGGGTCTGGGCCAAGACTCTACCACCAACCCGCCGAGAATAGAGAAGATACAAGGCTTCGTCTGCGACATCTGTTGCGACGACGATGCGAATCTGCGGAGCTTCGCCATGAAGTGCGGACACCGGTTTTGCTTGGATTGCTACAGGCAGTATCTCGGCACCAAGATTCAAGACGAGGGAGAGGCTGCTCGCATACGCTGCCCTGGAGAAGGCTGCACTCGGATAGTCGACTCAAAATCGCTAGACCTTCTCGTTACGGCTGATCTCCAAGACAGGTACGTGATGATCGCTCTACTTTCCTCCGACTTACTAACAGTCGTAGATACCACACTCTCCTCACGCGAACCTACGTCGACGATAAAGAGAACCTCAAATGGTGCCCTGCGCCTGACTGCAAGTATGCCGTGGAATGCCCTGTAAAGAGCAAGGACCTCACCAAGATCGTACCGACAGTACACTGCGAATGCGGACACGACTTTTGCTTTGGATGTACATTGAACAACCACCAGCCTGCACCATGTGCACTGGTAAAGAAGTGGGTCAAGAAATGCGAGGACGATTCGGAGACCGCCAACTGGATATCAGCAAACACGAAAGAATGTCCGAACTGTAACTCTACAATCGAGAAGAACGGAGGGTGCAACCACATGACTTGCAGGAAGTGTCGCAACGAGTTCTGCTGGATGTGCATGGGCAAGTGGTCGGAGCACGGCACGAGCTGGTACAACTGCAATCGCTTTGAAGAGAAGAGCGGATCCGAAGCCCGCGATGCGCAGGCTAAGTCCCGCCAGTCACTCGAACGATACCTTCATTACTATAATCGCTTTGCGAACCACGAACAGTCGGCGAAGCTCGATAAGGACCTTTACCTTAAGACGGAGAAGAAGATGCAACAACTACAGAACTCATCAGGCATGTCGTGGATTGAGGTGCAGTTCCTGGACCAGGCTTCACATGCGCTTCAGCAATGTCGACAGGTGCTTAAGTGGACCTACGCCTTTGCCTACTACCTCGCCCGAAACAACCTTACCGAGATCTTCGAGGACAACCAGAAGGATCTAGAAATGGCCGTCGAGAACCTCAGCGAGATGTTCGAGAAGCCTATCGATCAGTTAAAAGACCTCAAGGTCGATATCCTTGACAAGACCTCATATTGCACCAAGCGGAGGATCATCGTCCTCAATGACACAGCGGAGAACCTGAAGCTCGGTATGTAGTCCACACGCGTCCATGCACTCCTCACTGGACTACTGCTAACATCAACAGGCACTTGGAAATTCAACGTAGACCTAGTCTAGAAGCCTCCTAAACGCCGATCACGACTGCCTCTACTCACGTTCACGAGTACCTCCGGCGCTCTTGGACTGAGAACACGGACATGGCAGTATTAACGATCGTTGTCAGGAGGTCTGCGCACGAATGCGACGGGCCAGCAAAGATATGAAGTTTCACGCTGTTTTAATGTTGCATGGTCGGTTCACTTGGCGCTAGGAGAGGTATGGCATTGTTTGCATGGCGTTGATCAATCTGTGGTAATCAGCGGTTCAGCGGGCTAGGCTTAGCATTTTATCTTTCCTCTCACTTCCACATACTCGACGCAGGTTCAGAGAAGATATGGAATTAGACGTTCAATTTTCATTGCTGTTGCTTTGAGTGTGTGGTGATGGAGCGTCGTTTGAAATTCCAAGGTTGTCAGTGGCTCTCGTTCCTGTGGGTACTCCCACAACCAGATGATGGTAACCAAACTATGCTCTTTAAGGTAGGGCAAAGATTGTTCCGCTACTCCTCGTGCCTACTTCTTCATCTCACCAAAGTACGCACAGTATATTCCGAGCCCTCTCCAGACCAGCCCAGGCGCCAACATCGTCGCCGCCGAGGTCAACGTCTTCATCACTAGCGACGTGAGTACCTCCTAGCCTCTCTATAATCCCCCATTCAGCACTGACAGAATACTCCTATAGCTAATAATGACGTCGCAAAATACACATAGCAAGTTCCTGCAACTTCCAACCGAACTACGACTGTCGATATACTCCTACGCTCTCACCAACTCAGTGCCGGTACCGGCTACTACCGTCAGCATCAACACCAACCATGGCACTATTCCTATTCCCAAACTCTACGCACAAGAGGATCATCACACTCGGTACAGTCTGGAGACCCCCAAAGTTCCGAGAATGGAGTTCAACCAGCTCCGATACGTCAGTCACCTGCTGTGTCAAGAAACACGGGGCCTGAGCCTACGACACAGTGACCTCGTTTTCATGAATGAGCCGGGAACAGCAACGCCAGCACGGGAGATATGCGCTCGATTTCTGGAGATTATGCCTGTCAGCGCGCAAGCGAGGATCCGGCAGATGACGCTTATCGAGGGCAGCCGAGAGGAACCGCTGGCAAAACTTAGGATTAGTAGAAATCGTTGGTATAAAATTGGGCAGCTGCTCACGGGCGGCGAGCACCCTGTCATCTACAGCTTCTGTCGCGCCAACCCAGCGGCGAAAGTTATCTTGCGTTTAGACACTCGGCGCGTCAACAAACTGGGACGGGAAATGCCGCACATGGGCGGCAACAGATACACCCTGTTACACGCCAGTCTGCGCCTGTTGTTGCGTGATTCTTCAGCTGTTGAGCAAGCCGTGGAAGAGGCGATGAAAAGCACGAACTCGATCTCCCGGTACCACGAAATGATGTTGAATAAGATACGTAATGGACGGTGGAGGCTTGCGACATACATGATTCCGGATATTAGAATGGGTCGCAATTCTGAGGCGGTCTTTCGTGGGGCGCTGTTAGAGAATTTCAGAGTCACGATTTGTAGGTGGTTTCGTAATCCGGCACCGTTTGCTGAAATGGAGGATGAGTGGTTTGCGGCTGTGAGGCGGGAGTTTGAGGAGGGGTGTTAGGGGGGTATTTCCTGCACAGTAGAGCTATAAGACGGGTTGGAGATGCGGAGACGGAAGAAGAAGGGTCGTGTGGTTCACAACATTGGCTACGGGCAAGATGTAGCTTCATTTTCTGCACCTTGCTCTCCAAACACCAGACCGCCTATGTGACAACTCCATCATCCTCCGGACCTATTCCATCATCCCTACCACTCATCATCTGCACCAAACCAACCCCCTCTAAGCATGGTATCCATACCCAACCCAAAGTAGGCATGTGCATATGGATCTGCCAAATTTGGATGCATACGCGGTCCGCGGTTAGAGCTGACCCGCGGTCTCCTCCGTAGTTCGGTTGAGTAAGAAGGGCTCACGCTGCGGTAGTCGCCCGGGTAGTAACCTTGGCGTGGTTCTTTGTAGTGGTTGCGCGGTGGGGAGACGCCACGCCTATACGCATATGGACTACGTTGTGCCCATTCTTCGGGGGTGAAGTGGGAATACATGGTTGTTTCTGAGAGGGTTTGGGTTTGGGAGTGGGTTTATTGGATAGTGGTGCTTTGGTGTTTTGTGTTGTGGAAAGTGACTAAGAGATGTAGTGGGAATTGAATTGGCTTTGTTGATATGGATCAGGTGGACGGCGTCTTCGGGCTTCTATACGTGAGCGGCATGATGAACGCGTGGAAGACTGTGACCGAAGTATGAGGTGTTACGACAAAATCGGGTGAGATGGCGGATCTTAGGATAGCGATGCGCTGGCTCGCAGCGATGGATTGTGATATTTCTGAGGCGCGGTAAGCATTTGAGACGTTCAACACAAACCTGGTCTAGACGAACGACTATGGAAAGATACCGTCAGTGATGCGCATAGGAAGTAGTCGTACCCGACCGTCAGAAAGCCGAGACATAGCTGGAATTCGGTGAAATGTCTTGTCCGCCTTCGATGCGCATTGTGTACACATGAGAGACATCTCGACCGCAAGGACTACTATCGAGGGGCTGTGGCAATACAAATGTTAAAGTATGCCCGCCCATGATCAGATCAGCCTCCTTACCATGCCTTCAATTGCGGAAAGTGCCCCACCGCTATCACCACGACCACACACTCCGCGGCTGCCGTCGACCTCCAAGCAGGCGTAACTCGACATCAACACTATCACATGCAGCAACAAGCTCTACAAGAATGGTTTTTCGCTTCCATTCCAGGTCAACGTTCAAATCATCTGCTTCGCACCCTTCATAGATGCACGCTTGAATACGGCTTAGACGTCTTACGACAGCGTATAGAAGAAGCCCTTCTGAATCTTGACCTAAGAATTTACCACAAGTACGCCTGTCTCCTTTCTGATCGCGAGGTGGCAGAGGGCGCTTACTTGTATACGGGATGGTGTTTGTCTCCTTTACCTGCCGAAATTCTGGAAGAGTCGGCTCGTACGCGTTTGGAGTATTTGATAAAACGAAAGATAGCAGGTTATGATGAAATTGCGAAGACTGTGCGAAAATGGAAGAAGGAAGTTGATGACAGAATTTGGCGAAACTGGAACTTGAAGAGACAGAGAAAAAAGCGGTAAATACTTGGAATTAATTATAGTGCGCTATTCGTTAAAAAGATGGACTGGTCTCTTGGGATGTTTCAAGCCTCAAAAGGTCAGACCCCAGTCCGTGTTATCATTACCGTGCGTACAGCATTATTATGAGCTGCGTTGGAATCGTGACGATCGAATAGATCCATGCAAAAAGAACAACGCGACTCTTCCTGGTTGCCCCTATGTACAGAGCGAGCGCCAACACGCCGGGTAACGGGAGGAGAAGCATGGTGGTCCGTGGCAGATAAGCCGCGCTCAATGCCATCGCCAAAATACACACGACCATCGCCATGATAGACAACTTGTGACTCTTGATCAAGGCTTTAGTTTCCCACTCATGGCCAGTGTCCCCGTTGGGAAGTAGTGGGTTAGTGTATGAGATAGATCCTCCGCGCAGGTCTTTCGTGACTCGTCGACGCAGGTTAGCTTCGGTGAACGCAGACACGTCACCGCCCTCTTCCTTTGCAGGCTCGCCAATATGCTCTCGCATGGCAGCGGCAAGTTCAAAAACAGCTTTGTGTTCTCCTGCCACATCTTCTTTCCCCCGCCCGCGCTTCTTCATGATTATGTAGGCTCGCAGCCACATAATGTAAAGGCCAGAGCTCCAGGTTATGTGGAAGATTATCATGATGAAGAGCTGGACATACGAGAATCCCCAGTTGTAGTCCTAAACATTTTAGCCAAAGAAAGGTGGTTCTGACAGAAATTCACCTACCGACACGGCCTGGCAGTTACCGCTCCGTTGCAGATAATCTAGATTGTACGTTTGATTATCATACTCCCACAGGAGTTCTGAAGCATCGTAGATCACACGAAACTCTTCGTTCTCGTAATATGCGGAAGGCCCGCGGTCGGTGACTCTTTCTAAGGAGAGGGCTGAAATGTTGAGGACAGGGGGTCCTAGATCGGTTCCCCAGAATGTCGAGTTTGTCATATTCCCTCCGTTGAGACCGAATTCCGCAGCGTCCATGTGTACGTCAGCGACAGTCGTGCTGTTCCAAGTAGTTTAGCTTACACTTAGATACACTGCGTACCATGTCACAGACTTCACGATCCCTGTCGGGTAGGTCGACAGCGTAGCATGCGCGAAACCTGTGACCAAGAAGGTATGTTGATGAAATCATCGGCTCATCTCCAAGGGATTCTGATCAAGCCGCGTTAGAATTCATGATCAAGCCGACATCGAGCCTATCTTACTTGCCTGTTACGAGATAATCGCCTTGTAGACCCTTGATGCGCCAACCGTCATGAATGACGAAGTATGCGAAGCCAAACGAGCCAAAAGGCACGTATTCACCCGCTGTAGTATTGATGATGGCTTCAACATTTGCGCTATAACCAGTCATTGCGCTAGCCAAGGTCGGATATACGAATGTAAACACCATGGTATATATCATGAAGATCATGGCTATTTTTGAATGTAGACCGTGCCGCGTTACGAAATCTCGAATCGTAGTCAGAATGGCAAAAAAGAGGCCACCATTCGGTAGGAATACAGTTCGATATGTTCCAAATGTGACAGGTGTAACTTCCATGGAGGTCGTGACATATTTGGCAAATATGCGCCATGAAATATACGCGATGAGTGCTTGACCACCGCGGCCAACGAGCTTCACAATCGTTAGCCTCTCATGCTGAAGATGTCCGCAACTATTTGACTCAAGAAACAACGTAACTTACAATATCCCAGCTAATGTCTATAGCCTTCACCTGCGTGAAGTTCATGCGGCCCGTCGCCATTGTAATTTGAAAAAAGCCTGAGCTGCTCAAATATCGAAAATGTGAGGATATCATCGCGAAGGAACCATCGGGTAAACAGGCGCCTGGTGAACCAAAACCCGCGGGCTCAGGGGACGATAACCAGATGAGACAAACCCATAGCATGGCGTTCCATGCTGCGATGAATAGCCAAAATCCACAGCGTCGCCATCGTTTGCGAATGTCCCGAGCAGCTTGCCGATGGCTTTCACACCATAGTGTCGCAAAGTGTGGTAGAGGTGTGCTGAGGTTAGACGAGATATGAGAGAGCTTTGGCGGCACCGTGAGATCGGGAAGATAAGTTCTCATCGTTCACGCACCACCATATACCCAAACGTACATGCAATGCAAATGACACGCTACCTAAAGCACTGGAGCAGGGAGTTGGTGAATGAAAAAGAAGACTGCGAGTCTTCTAGCACCTATAATTTTCGTGATAGACTGGGCGGCGTCGCGTAGTCGATCTTCTGCTGACTGCAGCAATGCCCCCTCAAATTTGGGGGCGGGTTTAGAAGTTTAAGGCATACCGTCGCCTATGTGGAATGTCAACCGAGTATCCCGATCAGCAAGCCCAATGCATCGTAGGCCACCCTCAGCAATAAAATCCTGCTATGCCTCTGTGACTGAGTGTCAGTGTTATGGTGGGTGGTGATGGTTGTTCTTGAAGTGGCGATCTGTGCATCTCGTGCGGCATGCCGATAGCAGCCAGCCCCTGCCAGGCAATTGACTGAAAAGGAATTGCATCGCAACGCATCTGTTTTACCGTAGTCAACCCGTGGGCTCGCGAAGCTGGTCGCGACGCGTAAATGGAGTTGGACGCGAACCTTGGTAGACAGGAAAGCGCCGCTGACGCCGTGGCATGAGCGCCAACCTCGGAACATCCTCTTGTTCGGGCCTTCTTCCGAGTCACAACAAGATTAGGGACTAGATAGATGTAACATCTGGCTATGCTCGCCTCCAGTCGTCCACAATAATTGCCATTGAATGTCGTAAATACCTTCCCACGAGTTTCTCCACACGCAACAGACGTGCCTTCCGCTTCCAACCACCGTCGCTCATCAGACCATGGCCATCTCTGGCTTATGTCTCGCCACTTCTGCCTTCCGGATGTTATGGTAGTCCATATCCTCAAGATCAGAGGTTGTGTTTATTGACACCAGCGGATCATCTTGCGATGCATGTGGACTTTGCCTCTTACCACCCCAGATGAATGTTCTGACGGTATTCAATGTTCCTCCTAGCGGTCTCTGAGTAGCGATCCTCGGCGCGCTTGGGTCCTCACGATGGTCGTGGAGCGGGTCGCTTCGCTGGGGACTCCGCCCGCTGCTTCTTGAGGCTCTAGAGAGCCTTAGCACCGACAGGAGACGATTCCCAAATCGCTGGAATACACTATCTTGCTTTCGTCGGTCGTCATCGACAGGGTTGGTGATGAAGACTCCGCGGATAACAATGACAGACGCCATAATCAGCGCAACGCAGGATTCGACCATAAACCAGTACGCAGCCCACACCGGTGCGGTTCCAAATGCTGCCGCTGTTGTTTCGGTCAACGAGCCAACGACCCGTATCAATGCGCAAACAACCATTACCGCCGAGAGGCCCATCAAGGCCACAATCGATAGTTTTCTGGAGAATGACATCATTGACTGGTTTACGACGACGATAGGAACGGTAACGACTAGCAATCATGAGTATTTGAACCATGGTCTGAGTTTTCTAGCTGTATGACTTACTGAGGATATCGCCTATGATATCGAGGACACCAACAATGACGTTACCCGCGACACTTCTGTCATGTAGCCGGGGATCAGCGCCACATTTAGCTATATGAAGTCAGTACTTCGGGTCTTGGTAATGAATCAACGACTGACTGACCTGCGTCTGCACCAAAGTGTGCACATATGACTACAAAGTTGACCACTGCATAGATCCAACCAATGACAAGAAATCCTACGGTGATCCAGAAAAACCGTATAACCCTGATGGATAGTCCAAGGGTTAGGCCGTGAAAGAAGTACATGAAAGCAAACTTGACCAGATAAATGGAAGTCCATCCGAAGACGGAGAACATGAACGCCCACTTGGGGATGTCCAAGATCGCAGGAATGTCCTCTCGGAACGGGATTGTCTTCCTTTGGTTCATGGCTTCGACGAGATAAAAAGGGTTCAGAACCTTGTGGACGCAGGCGAACGCCACTACCAAACACAGTGACGATACTAAGACGAGTCCGTCGTCCCATCGTATCTTTCGGCCTCCAAAGATGCGAATCGCGAAGCGCACGAACACGGAAAGAATGGCAAATCCAAAAAGGAGTCCAGTTGTGATCTGAGATTCTTGTCAGTATTGATAAACATCCGCCAGCAGAGGGAATGCATACTACAAATGGTACTTTGTCGATTCTACCAGCATGCTCGATGGCGTACTGTCTGCCAGGCACGTATTGTGCGGGCGGCAGCTTCGATGGATCAATCGACATGACTTGAGAGAACCTTTGGTAGGATGAGATTTCAGTGAGAAGGCTAAATAATACAGCTACAGAACTTCAGGCGGAACGTCGAGACGTAATAAGCACATCGCAAGATATGGCATCACCAGCGACCGCATAGAGGATTGGGGCTGAGAATAGTTGAAAATAGTAAGTGCATCCAGAACAGATAGCTGCCTGCTTTTCTTTCGCGCTGATCATTAGAGTCGTGGCTTGGTGTACTGGATTATGGCGATAGCTCGGAAGTGTTGCGCTGATAGTACAGTGTGGGGGCCATGATCGGTCGGCGCCGGGTAATGAAGAACGAATCACAACGTCTTCAAGAAACCGACTGCTCGGTAGCATATTATTGACCGGCACGGATAAAATCATTTCAGCTGTCGGGTTCATGGTGTTGTAGTACAAGAATGCGGTGTTCGTGCTATAGATAGCGCTGACATGCATGAAGCCCAAATACGGCTAGCGCCCTACCCGTGCCGCCCCCGAGGCTACTTCCTCGTGCGCCTTGCGCCTTCGTCGGCATTTCAACATCAACACTCATACAATCGATCTCATATCCTCGTATCTCTGCGCCACCGTCTGCGACCTTCATTGCTCAAACCGCGGGTAAGCATGACGCGGGTCAGCATGCCAGCCATCATGGCTGTTGCCGCCGGAGCCTTCGTCATTTTTGTAGCCAGCTTAATGGCTAATCGGCAGCACATCAAGAGGCTACAAAAGTCAGGTGCAGTAAGTCGACTCTGCCGTATACCGCAGACTTACTTCTAATAATAGCAAGCCTATGCCGAAATACCATCCTCTGTTCGGTCATCTCATTGTGTTGAAAGAAACCATTCAGGACTTGCCTCGCAACACTGTTATGCACGTGGTAGTACGGCGGATAGCAGAGTCTTTTCCCGGCGGTGTCTTCTATCTCAACCTATGGCCTTTCAATGCTCCAATTATGGTGGTCGCGAACCCTTTTGTTGCATCACAAGTCGAAGCTGCTTTTCTCGACAAGCCGCCCAATATAAACGCTACTTTAGAGGTTATAAACGGTGGGCCATCTCTACTTACCATGCACGGGAGCACGTGGAAGAAATGGCGGGCGCTCTTCAACCCAGGGTTCGCTACTGGCTACATCACAGGACTTTCACCTGCTATAGCAGAAGAAGTCTCCGTTTTCTGTAAACTTCTCCAAGAACGCGCCAAGAAAGACGAAGTCTTCCCTTTGGAAGAGTATACGCTCCGGCTGACGTTTGATATTATTGCACGTGTTACCCTGTAAGTTCTCCAAATCACACGCATGCAGTGCAGGGCAACTGCTAAACGATGGACACAGTGGCGCACGTCTCTATTACCAAACCCAAGGAAGCGCGCTCGCAGATTGTCTCCGAAGACAAGTATACTGGACTTCGTTTGGCACAACATTCAATCCGTTCCGTCGATATCTTAGTCCTCGTCCGCTTATTCAAAAGTACAACAATTACCGTATGAACCAATACCTCGATGAGGAGATCGACAAGCGCTTTGAAGAGTTGGCCAGCTCTCGCAAAGACTCGTCTGGTGATTCCCGCAAACAGTTGAGATCTATCATTGCGTTAGCCATGGACAAGTATCTCGAAGATGTAGAAGACAAAGATGAGATATCAGAATCGGTCTTCAAGCAGCTCGCGAAACCTCAGCTTCGTTTATTCTTGTACGCTGGCCACGATACTACGAGCAGCACACTACTGTATAGCTACATACTTCTATCGCGTCACCCAAAGGCCTTATCCAAAGTCCGTGCAGAACACGACACGGTATTCGGGTCAGACTTCTCGCTAGATATCATCACTCGGACGATCACGGACGACCCCTCACTCCTCAATCAGTTGCCTTATACTTTAGCTGTCATCAAAGAGGTTTTGCGCATCTTTCCTCCCGCTGGCAGTATGCGCAATGGCCGCCCAGATGTCTTCCTATCAGACGAGCAGGGCCAACAATACCCGACCGAAGGCTGCAACATCTGGACGCTCACCCTCGCTATGCACCACAATCCTGAAGTCTTTGTACAGCCAGAAGATTTCATTCCCGATCGCTGGCTAGTCGGTCCTGAAGACCCATTGTACCCGAAGAAAGCTTCGTGGAGAGCTTTTGAGTGGGGCCCACGTGCATGCATTGGACAGACACTTGCGCAGTTGGAGCTCAAGATAGCATTGGTTATGACGGTGAGAATGTTTGATATTACTCCAGCGTATGAGGAATGGGATAAATTGCATCCAAGGAAGGGTATTAAGACCGTTGATGGAAACCGGGCGTATCAGGCTGAGATGGGTGGTGGTGGAGCTCACCCGGTGGATGGGTTGCCGGTCAAGATTACGCTGCGGGCATGAGTGGTGTTCTCGAACTTCCAGGCTACCTGAATGAACATATTAGTCTACTCTCTGTAATGCTAGGATGGCTTTTACACAAGCGTTCAGCGTTCTAGAGGCATGACCGATAAATTGTGCAAGACCGCCGCCTCTTTCACTCCGACGTTCACTTTCAATTTAATCTCTCGCTAAGTTACGCTCTAATTACGGGTCTTCTAGAACTCGTTCCCGTTCTGTCACCTTCCCTCTCCAGTACCTAACTTTGGAACGACACAAGTAAAGACCACAATAGCTACTCCATCGCATGACGCGCATGTGGCGTTGATGCGAGCGTAAGTCATTCTACCTGTAGTCATACAAAGGAGCGATGGTGCTAACGCATGTATGTAGTTTGCGATCCTCAGGCAAATACTTCGACTTCACTATCACATGCGGCGGCGACACGCACCACGTCAACAAGAACATTGTCTGCTGCCGCTCTGGCTTCTTCGAGCGTGCAGAGAGGTTCCCTGCAGGAAGACTGAGTTACCGATCATTGGAGGGGGCGACAATGAGACCAGCCCGGTAGTGCTAACACAGTAGTAGGAAGCAGCCGAAAGCAAAGTCAATCTCCCCGAGGACGACCCAGCTATCGTGAAGCTACTCATCCAGTTCCTCTACGAGAACGACTACGAAACCAAGGACTTGACAATCAAATCGGATGCACGAGTTGCCAAAACCCTACGTGCGAGTCGCTCGCCCAGCGACTTCGAGTTCCTATTCGACTTCCCGCACACGTGCAGTGGTGATTGCAGATATCCATTCCACGCTATCTGCCCACACCATTACTGTACTAACTGCGCGGGAACCTGCGTCAACTTCGTGTGCGGGATCTGTGCCCCAATTCTTGGGGGAACCGAAATCAATCGTGCTATACTACTTGTTCACTCAAAGATATACGAGATCGCAGACAAATACGACGTGAACGGCCTCAAAGATCTGGCTCGCACCAAATTCTCTTCCCTGTGTGCGCTATTGTGGAACGGGGATGTTTTTGCGCAAGCCGCGGAACATGCCCTTAGCAGCACTCCAGACAGCGACGATGTTCTACGAGAAGTGCTCTGCCAGACCATCATTTCCCACATCGAACTGCTCAACAAGTCAGACGTTGCGGAGTTGCTGAGCAAACACACCGATTTCTTATTTAACGCTCTCAGACTCGTGGCCGAAGAGAAAGCAGGCTTGAAGCCGAAGGCTGAGACAGCCTCCTGAACGGGTTCGTAGTCGTCAACGACCCGATTCGCAACATCGAGGCAAACAGGCACACACGGCAGAGAGTAGTAGTGAAGATTGGTGGAGGAAAGATAGATCCATTCCAGATATCTAATCTACCTCACGTTGCGTTCCATATCAAGAGTAACGTACAGTACATCAACTTGTGCCCAATGAGATAGGAGACACATGCTCCATGTAGAAATCCAGACGCCGATACCGAACCCATCCCATTCCATATATCAGTAGACCCTCTTGGGTCATATTAAAGTTCATAACATGTCACGTTTACTGGCTAGCAACGCGCTCCTTGACCTTCTCGAACATAGACTCCATCTCCTCAGCGATGAAGTCCTCGATCTCTTGCTCAAGGTGCTGGAGCTTGCCTCCGGCGCGGTGAGCGGTGCGGCTGGCAGACTCCTTAGCGCTCTCGAAGTCACCCTCGATCTCGGAGAGGGAAGGGATAGTGATGGTGAACTCGGACTCCTCCTCCTTCTCGACAGCCTTCTTGGTGGTGTAGCCACCCTTCTCAACGATCTCGGTGTAGTTGGAAGAGCCACCACCGTTCCAGGCGAGGACGTTCTTGGTGTTGCTTGGGACATCAGAGAGAGCGCCGACGGTAGCGACGGAGATGAGGTTTTCCTTGAGCTTCTTGGGGGTGATGTCGGCGACAGCGTAGGCAGAGTCCTTGGAAGGCTGAAGAGACAGCATGTAGGCGAGGAGACCAGCAATGTGGGGGGATGCCATTGAGGTACCAGAGATGGTGTTGGTGGCGTGCTCAGAGCCGATCCAGGTGGACAGGATGTTGAGACCAGGGGCGAAGATGTCATTGCACTTTCCGTAGTTGGAGAAGTACGCACGCTCATCGAGGAGGGTAGAGGCACCGACGGTGACGGCCTTCTCAGCAGCAGCGGGCGAGTAGTTGCAGGAGTCGGCGTTGTCGTTACCGGCAGCGACGGCAAAGTGGATGCCAGCGTCAACAGCAGCGTTGACGGCGAGATCAAGGGTGGTGGACTTGCCACCTCCCAAACTCATGTTGGCAGCGCTTCCCTTGAAGCCCTTCTTCTTGCCGTCCTTGGCGGCCTTGACGGTCTCAGTGTGAGACTTAGCAGCGTACTCGACACCCTTGACGACGTCGGACATGGTGCCGGAGCCGTTGGAGCGGAGTACCTTGACGGCGTAGACGTGTGCCTTCTTGGCGACACCGTACTTCTTACCAGCTACAGTGCCGGAGCAGTGGGTGCCGTGGCCGTTGCCATCCTCGTCAGCATCGCCGTTGGGGATGGTCTTGCCCCACTTGGCACGACCTTCAAAGTCGACGTGCTTGGTGTTTGTGCCAGTGTCGATGACGTAAACGTCAACGCCCTCACCACCGTCGGCGGCGTAGAGGTACTTGTTCCAGGTGCCGAAGCTCAGGGAGTCGCGGTGCGAGATACGGGCAAGACCCCATGGGGAGTTCTTCTCGACTTCTGGCTCGTCGTGGCCGAGAGTGTGGACCTCTGAGTCGCGCTCGATGTAGTCAACCTATCAAAGTGTTAGCGCCAAGTCTTATGCAGGTACAGGTACCTAGATGGCGTCACGTGTGCTGATGCGGAGCCGGAGCTGCCTGCGGAGATAAGGCCGCCTAGGCAGCGCTCGCTCCAGGCCACCAGCGCGCTGACGCCATCTGGGATGATGCAAGCTAATGACAGCTGGGAATGTAACTTACATCGGGGTGGTTCCTGATGGCCTCGATGGTCTCGTCGTCGAAGTGACCAGAGTAGCCCTTCATGCCGGCCATCTCGTAAACGTGCTTGAGACCATCGAAGACCTCAGTGGTAACGGGGAACTGCGAGGAGCGCTTTCGCAGCTCCATGCGCTCCTCGTTGTTCTTGGTGTGGACGCTCTGGACCCAGTCGTGGTGCTTGGAGGCATCCTTGACGTGCTTCTTGAACACGACCATGTAGCTGTTGGGCACCTCCTTGGCAGAGGTCGACGACAGCACTGGGGCGGCGTTCTTGTGGATGGTCTCTACATTGAAGGTAGGCGACGCGGCGGCCAAGGCCGGGAGCGCGAAGACCAGGCTGTACTTCATGATGGCGGAGCTCGCACAGCGAGAACTAGAAAGACAGGAGGGGAAGGGATGCAAAAAGCGTGATAGATGAAGGAAGGGGAGATGGGAGGGAGGCGAGTGTTGTGGAGGAGAGATGGGGATGCAGCTGGGGTAGCTATGGCGATGGAGCTTCTTATCAGGACCTCGGTGCATGGCCCGGGCGCGCTAGGTGGATGACGCATGACCTATCCGCGCCCGCGCGAGTGAGGCTGGGGTGAGCTAGCGCACGCGCCATGAGTATCAGATGAATGATACATGGTTGGTATCAGGACACCCGAGTGCCCTGGGATGCAGACGAGGGCTGTGTTCGTGGAGGCGTGGCTTCACATATGGGTTGCTGGGAGACGGCGTTAGTCTGACATGTACTGAGGTAGTTCTCGATATGCCCAAGTAGCTGTGCCAGCCACACCTGGGCAATGCGTGCTCACGTGAGAGGCAATAGTCAGGAGCGCACCCTGCGGCCCGCGTGAGACAGAACGCGTGTTTATCATAACTATGTTGGTAGGCGATGTGCACCGCGCCTAGTGCTGGTGCATTGTTTATCAGTACCCTGCTTTTGCGGCGACTTGATGTTGCTCGGCGCGTGGGAGCCTGGCTGAGCTCTGGACTGACAGGGATCAGCTTCGATGACCACCGGCTTAGCAGCAACCACCACGAGAGCGGCACCCGCCCGCCGTAATCAGCCATCAGTGTACGCCCGCCCACCACCAAACGAACCGACTGGTCTTCCCCGCAAGTTGGGGTCTCATGTGCGGGCTTGGGGCTCGGGAGATATGAAGGCGCCACCCACGCAGCCATCACCTCCACCCAAATTCCGCAGCAGCGGTCTCGCCTGAACATGGCGACGACCCGGCCGCACAGGTCCTCCACGGCCGCCTCACGACTCCCGCCGATGAACAACCAGATAGCCGAACTCCGAAGCCTGGCGGACGAATTGATCAGGGCCTCCGAGACGACACCACCGACCTCCGACGTCCTCCACAACCAGAGCAACGCCCTGCGCCGCATGCGCCAGCTGCTGATCGAGTCCAACGACCAAACCCATACCAAAGACGCGTTCCGCCATGTCCGCGGCTTCGAGACACTCCTCATTACCCTGCGCTCCCTCTCCGGCTTCTACAAACCCGCTGAGCTGCCCACGCCCGACCGCATCGACTTCTTCGAGGTGATCAAGGGAACACTGGACGTGCTGTCGGACGCGCTGAACGAGCATGCCGGTAACAGGCGCTTCTTCGCCAAGCGCGTCGAGCACGGCGGCTGGAGTGCTTTGGAACAAGCCTTGGCCAGCACTGGCATTTTTGGCGGACAGTCGCAGAGCAAGCGCGATGATGCCGGCCAGGAGCAGCTTTTCGGCACCCTGTTTGCCTTTGCATTGGGCGAAGAGACCATGACACGCATATTCAGGGATATCGATAAGAAGGTCGAGATTGCACAACCCAAGCAGGACGAGGATGCAGCGGCCAGCGGTGACTCTCAAGCTACTGAAATCGTAGTCTCTAGCCCGCGGTCCGTGTACAGCGATACCGACATTAATCTCGACCCACTACGCAGCCAGGTACGGGCTATATTCAGCGGCAATGAGATACTGCAGAATCCAGATATCATTCCGACCATCTTCCACTTCTGGCGGGGTCTGTCTGGTGAAGATGCCCCGGGCACCCACTCCAAAGCTCTTTCCGTTTCTGTGCTACTTGCTATTTTGGAAATCACTTCCATCTCATCTTATAACAAAGCTGCGCTGCACGTCACTGGCGTCTTGAGCACTGTCTTGCCCCTGCTCTTTGAGAACAAGTGCGCTCCTGTGGAAGCGAGCCTATTGCAAGAGCTGGCCGACGGTCTAGTCCAGTACGGCATCAACAAGCTCGACGATGCATACTATCTCTTCCGCAAAGCAGCGTCTTCCGAATCAGCTGCAGAGTTTCTCCTGCGTGGTATGCGCACCTCGCGCGACCCGCCCTTTATACAGTTCGATCTATCTTTGCATGGTTTCAGCGCCATTGAACTTCCAGACATTGGTCGCCCGTTTCCGCCCATGTCCCCAGGAGGTGGATATACATTTGCTGCTTGGGTAAGGGTCGACAGGTTTGACGCCGACTGCCACACCACACTCTTCGGCGCATACGACGACACGCAAACGTGTTTCCTCATGGCATACCTGGAGAGAGATACGCGTTGTTTCATCCTGCAGACTTACATGGGCCATTCTACTGGTGTCATACCCAGTGTCAGGTTCAAGAAAGCTCCTCGTTTCGAAGCAGGCCGGTGGTATCACATCGCTGTGGTTCATCGAAGAGCCAAAACTATCGGTATCGGCGCTGCCAAGGCATCTCTTTTCGTCGATGGTGAGTTCACCGAGACCATGAAAGCCCACTACCCTTCGCATCCTCCGTTACTGGATAGCAGCCAGGATAGCTTTGCCTCCATGTCTTCTAGCGTGTCAAAGCACCACATACTCGCGTTTTTGGGAACACCACGGAACTTGGCGCCTCGGCTGGGCAGGAACGTCATTGCCTCAAAGCTCTCGGTCGCCTCCTTCCATCTATTCTCTGAACCGCTGTCAGATGAGCTGATCGCTGTATATCATAAACTTGGTCCGCGTTATTGTGGAAACTTCCAAGATAGGCTCGGGTCGTTCCAAACCTACCGTACGTCTGCTGAGCTTCATGTTCACAACGAGATCTTGCATCCTGGGAGAGAGGAACGATCCGACATCGTAGCAGCTATTCGGGCCAATGCAAGCCATCTCATGCCTGAATCGAAGATAATACTGAGCTTCTCTCCCAGTTCCGTAATGGACGACGATGACAGAAATGCCATCGATGAATCCCAACTAATACGCTCCCTGTCGCGCGAATCAGCTAAAACCCTGCATAAGTATACCAGACTCCATAGTACTCCGATCATCATCAATGCTGCCGTACCTTCGGTCAATGATGCACTGTCTCAGCCGCGAGGATTTGGACGTCTATCTGGTGACCCTGTCGTCGTCGTTCCGCAGTCACTCGACGATGCAATCTGGCGCATTGGTGGGTGTGTTGCTGTCGGCCTGAAGCTGGTACAATC